CCCTCATTCCCATTAGACGGAATGATAGTCGCCATGCATTTCAGGGAATCAGTGAATGCAGGTGCCTTGGACCCATTTCTTATCTATGTCTATGGAGGAAGCCTATGTTTAGTGGACAAATAATGACTGAGATGATAATGATGATGATATACCTATTGTTTAAAAAGCGTATAATTTTATAACCATATATCAGAAAGATAAACTACCTACAAATGCTCAGCTTATAATAAATTGAAACTATTTTTAATTTCCCTCAAATAAAAATAGAATTACATAGGATATTATTATTGAACTGAGTCTTATTGAATGATATAAAAAAATTCTAGAATACGAGATAAGATACGAGTTCATTATTAACATCATAAAATTAAAACATAATATTATAAAATTTATAGGTTAAAGTTTAAAATTAACCAGAAAATATAGTCTAATTTTATAGCATTTCATGCATTATAATAATCGATTAACACATAAAAGGTCACCTATTCTCGTATACTTATACGTAGATAATATCATATTAATATAATTATTATCATAATATTATCTTAATATTAATTATCTTAATATTATCATAATAATATTAAGATAATTAATATCATAGTAGCTATGTATAATAAAATAATTAGAGCAGATCTTATTATTTATTAAAAATTCCTTTACGGGTTTTTTAATGGATGAAAATGAAATAGTGATTCCGCTTGCGTTATCGGTATTCTCTGACAAGGTACCACTGAGAGATGTTAGGTAAGGATGAGAAAGGGTTTTTTTTTAATGGAATAGTAACCCCATTTGTGCTAAAGGTATACGTGTTGTGAGAGGTGATGTGAGTATTGATAAGTTAAAATGAAAAAGCAGCCGCAGTAGTTAGCCCATTGTGATTAATACACCTGGAGTTCAGCACAATGGTTTTCAATGGGACCACGTGGAGGTCGACCTGACAGGTTATATTGTTTGCTATGCGACTATTTAGTCCGCATTACTAACAATCCCTTCTTCCCGAATGAAAAAGGGTAGTTAGCCCATCGTAATGAATTCGACTAGAATTAAGCACGACAGTGTTCAGAGAGAACTACTGTGGAGGTCAACCTGATAAGATATATTGCTAGCGATAGGACTATAAACAAATATTTCGTCTGGACGAGTCTTCCGCCGTGCGTTTTTCAAGGCACTTTCTTCCATGCACAACCACTCTTTGGAATCAACTTCCAGCAGCAGTATTTCTGACCCGATACGACAACATAACCTTCAAGAAAAGCGCATATTCCTTTTTAAAAGGCCGGCAGCACACCTGCAATGCCGTTAGTGTTGTGAGATCATAGACGGTCACTTATCATCAGGTGAGCCGCATGCTTGTTCGCCCCCTGTGTTGTAAAACAAAAAATAGACAACACATTGCATTTTGTGATATCTATGGTGCTGTTTATGCCTATATGCAACAGTTACCACTTTTCATCAGGAAGGTCGTGAGTTTATTTGCCATTCTAAGTTAAAAAAAAAAACTTTAAAAAGGTCGGCAGCACACTTGTAATGCCTCTGGTGTTGCAGGTGATCATGGACGGCGGTAGTCACTTACAATCAGATGAGCCCCAAGCTCATTTGCCCGTTGTTATAAAAAAAAAAGTTTCTTAAAAAAAATCTTGCTAATTATACTCGTAAACTTACACCAACAAGTACAAATTATAATAATTAGGTGGGTTCTATTTAGATCTGAACTCACCAGAAACATTTGGTGAAAGTATTTTCTAATTATATAAATAACCCTATACCATTTATTATATTCGTTTAATAAAAATAAAAGTACCTAAAGCAATTCTTTTGCTCAATAATCTTCAAATGCACTTTGTTACAATTTATAAAACTAGGAATAAAACGGATACGAGATGAGAGAAAATATTATTGAAATTAGTTTATTATTAAATACCAGAAACTTATGAACCTCGACTTATAGTTATACGTATAGGACTTATAGGTACACATTTTAAATCCGTAGATTTATAATCTTGATTTTTTTACAAAAATATCATTCATATTATAAGTGAGCATTGAAAAAGGATGTTACATATATCATCCTCATGATTCTTATGGAAATGAAAGATAACGCGGTCGAAGTTGCAGGCAATGGCTAAGTTTTACTATAAAATAGAAAAACGTCAAACTACGAGTAATAAGTTTTTTTTTTTATTATATTAATACTAGTATATATTCGCGACTTCGTCCGATTTAATACTACATTTCATGATGATTAATGAGGAATTAAAGCGCTAAGACATAATACAACAAAGATAAAAATTCATTTTCTCATTTATAGTATTGGTATAAAAGCGAGTTTTTGGGAATGTATGAATGGATATTTTTATTATTTCGGATTTGAATGCATTTTAATACAAGGGTATGTATTGTATCGTTTCGTATCGTATAGCATCATATCATGTCATATTATGTCGTATAAAAAAGTCGTAAATTGGAATTATTTTAAAATTTTGCCCACAACTGCAAACTTTTAAATTTTTAGATCCATTTTTCCATGCATTTTTTGTTTTACGTTGATAGATCAGTAAAAATTAATTATGGTGCAAATTAAGATAAAAAAATGAAGCACTAAATTCCTGCAAATAGAAGAGGCCTCTTTAAAAGTTACTTTTTACATCAATATTTGTAAGTGGCTTTTTGTTTACGTAAATCACAGAAGTTTAAAAGTTTAGAGTGCAGCGACATCGCACGGCATCAGGTGCGATACACTCACGCAAATATTTTATGAAAATACCAAGAATTTCAACGGTAGGGATGTATAAATATCGATATTTGTCGCGCTAAAATTATTCATATGTAGCATTATACTTTAAAAGCCAAATTTCACAAATCATACGCTAAAGTTGAAGTTTTAAACTATATATAATATATAGTAAATAAATATACACATGAAAATTTATAACTTTAAAATACTAATTAAGAATCTACGAACTAAGATTTTTATTGCTCATTAAACTACTTAGAATTCTGTGTAGAAAAATTATAACATCAAAAAGTTTAATTTACGATTATCGCCTTTAAATTATTATTAAGTATTGTCAACTTGATTTTAAGTTTGATGAGATTTAATAAATGATTCCTATAACCACTGGTATAAAGTATAAAATTTATGAGAAAAAATAGCATTTATCAACCGATTTAAATAAAGATGGAATTTCTCATTTCGGTTATAATTTTTTGTTGTTACCTCATAATTTCATCAGTTATAAACCAACTTGGAAAATTCCATTTTATCTGAAAGTTCTTTTTTAATTATATCGGTCCAGTAATTTGGTTTTTCAATTTTTTTTTTGTTTTGCTACAATTAAAATTTTTTGTTTTGTTTTGCTACGATTAAAATATTTTTTTTCGTGGAATTAAATTATATTAAATTATTTATCATTGCATTAAGTGAATTAAGAATTTGCTAAAATACGAGTAAGTAAGGTAAAATTATTTTCTTACAATGTTACAATTGCAATAACGAAAACATAATTAGTTCATTATTTTCTTTACATAGAACATATTACTGAGTCGATAACGCTCTGTGAATAATGGCTATGAATTTCAGTCAAGAAAGCAATTAAAAAATAAATTAGACGATATCGAGTAAGTATATGTAGGGGGAGCGTCGTGAGACATGACTAGGGCGCAGAGCGCGCGGTGGGTGCCCGCGCCGGGCGACGCGACGCGGCCGCATCCTAGCCAAACGGTAAACACTTTGCTGTAATCTCGAGATGAGAAAACTTTCAGTTCTCTTAATTCAGAAACTTATTCAACAACCTAACAACCTTAGAGCGGACCAACCGACGGACGCAAAACAAACAAACTTACTCTTTAATCTCACTTTGTATACATTAAAATAAAAGTACCTATTCTACATCGCAGTCGTGATATCGATGACGGCCACACTCAACATGTATGTGTTGTATATATCGTTATTCACGTATATAAAGAAGATTCCAAAGACATTAACTTAGTTGATATAAATAATTTTATACTGTCTTACTATGAAATTTAAAAAAGATTATAAAACTACATTATAAAAATTCTTATTCAACATTTATTAAAAATTTTAAAATAATTATAGCGCATAAAGGAAGTAAAAGATGTATGTTATTTATATATATTTTTAGTATAATGTACTCTGGACAATTTTCTTTAATATCGCAATATGAAACAGTTCGAAAAGAAATAAAATATCTATTAACGTTTTAAGTAAGACTTTATAACTCTACGTGTTGGAAAATACAAGACTGTACATTTCAACTTATAAAAATTGTATTATTATTATTATAAATCTATAGTAATTTAAGATATAAAATATTCTATAGTTTCTATTTCCGCTTAAAATTGTAACAAGTTTGAAATAATTTTGAGGACAAATTATTAATTAATTGTAACTAATACGAATAATTATTTTACTTTACTTATTATTTATACATAAGATTTACCTGCAAACTCCACCCTCTACATTTTATGTTGTGTTGACAAAATTTTCATAAACATGATAAATTCCATGTGTTTGTAAATCTAACTTTTCGACTTTAAAACTTTAACAGACTCATCAAATTATATTTGGATCTAGACATTGCTTGGTATTCATTACCTCAGTATGTTATATATGTTATATACATATTTTAATATTAGTATTTCACAGTCTCACAAATTCTGGAGTAAGGTGATTATGATTATTTAGTACCTAAATAGATTATCGATTTAATTAGAATACGTCTTAATAATAATAAATAATTTTATTTGCCTCAAAATAAGTTTACAATTTTCTGAAGTTAATAATTTATACTTCATAAAACGAGACAAAACCGACTATGGCTCAAAGGTGTCAGCTCTAAAAACATGAAGTAATTCTCAATACGTTGTAATAAAATACGTTGTCGACATAAACAATCAGACATTAAAGGATTATCGTATAAATGACGTAACTTGGTTAAAGCCTACGGTTGACAGTAAGTAAGCACATGGATAAGTACACAGAATCGTAACAGTTAGTAGGCTCACTTTAGCTGAAGTCGCGTGTCTCGGCCTCGAATAGCCTTTATCTAGTTTACCTTATGACAAAAAATGGGAAAATAAAATAAAAAACATTTACTGGAAGCAATTTGGATGTACCGTGTCAATTCAATTACCTACGTAGAACGCCCCAGTGTTGCCTCTGAGATTAGGGCAATGAAAAAATATTCCAGAAAAAAATATAGCAAACATTTAAGGATTTTGATAGACAGGTACGATTTATAATTTATATACTTACATATACTCTGGATTTTTTAAGTTATATTCTAACAATTATGGTTAACACAAAATCATATTAACAAAAAGTGAGTACACGGATAATCTGTAGCGGTTGTTCAATCGTAAAATATAATGAGTCACCATTGTTTGTGAGATCACAAACAAATTCCGTCTAATGAACGTACCGAAAGGCAATTTAGGAATTCAAAAGAGAGGACATGAAAGTAATAATGTGATTTTATATACTGGTAGATGAGTCCAGGCAAACGCGGGCCGCTGTGCGACGCAAACGAGTCGCGTCCGAGCCTCACCGTCACAGACATGGATACAGTGCACGAGGAAAATGACAACGATAGGTAAGATATTTACTACATTGTTATATTATATTCAGCATTATTCACATATCATCTTAATTAAGACTTTATAATCACTTAGTAAATTTATAACAATCTATTACTTAAAATTTATAATACATTAACATATATTTCTCATAATCTATTTTTTAATTTCTTAAAAAAAGATTATTTATTACTTTATCTATACTACACAGCTTTTCTCGTAGTGTAATCTTAACGTATATTAATATACTAATACTAATAATATTATAAAGAGGTAAGATTAGCTAAAATGTATTATAATTAGAAAATAAACTATATACCTATAACAAGTTGAGGCAAATAACTATTCTAATAAACATATTATAATAATTTATACCTATAATATTGTAAAATAAGTACCTACAGTTAATCATATTGGCGGCTTAATGCAAAATGAAAAGCTATTCTTTGGAAAAACACGGGAAATGAATACGTCGCATCGCAGACACCAGATAGTTGTCATAAACAAAGCGTAATACAGGCCCTAACCATTTAATTAAAGTTTCTTTTGAATTGTATTTTCTTTTGTCCTCTTAGTTCAGTTTTATCTTAAGCTTTATCATATCATTTCACGATATTTATGTTTTTTAATCTGTTATGTTGCCCCTACCTCTATGTTAGTATGTTAGGCATATTAATGTACAGATATATTCCTCTATAGCAAAATATTGTATGTTTTGTTAAACTTGATAAAAATAGATCATGAAACTTATTTATTATGGTTAAATTCATAGGTTTATATATTAAATAAATAACTGACACAAACTTTTTTAAACCGGGGAGAAAAGTATTGTTAATAGATAAGTCTAACTGCCCTATTGCTAGCTATATGTCCTATCAGGTGGACCTCCACACGGTTCATCTTGAACACTGTTGTGATTAATTCCAGTCGAATTCGCCACTATTATCCAACTGACCTGCTTCATCCTCACCTGTCATCTCTCACTGAAGCCCTGCCAGTGTATATCGATAACACAAGCGGGTTTAGTATTTTATTTACACCAATTAAAAAATTCTCTTTAAATCAAAGAACAAATTGAGTACCGCACATCATATGTTGTACGTATAATATATTTAAGTAGGTATGTATAAGTAATATCTTTGAAATATATTACAAAATTAATTTAAGGTACCGTCTCCTTATCACTTACCATTTATTTTGAGGACAAAGTGAAAAGGTTCCTAATTATAATAACATATTTTGTAATTGTTTATATCGTAAGCAAAATTACATGAGTTCATCTTACAACTGCTAGAATCTTTTTTAAGTATGACTTTTTAAATATTTGATCTCGTTAAATACAAATTCAAGATCTGATATCACATAAGACCCATTGAATTGGGATATTGAATACTTGTTCCAGTTTAACTAGTCCTAAATAAAAAATATTAACGTATATAACTGATTGTCCATTCCCTCTATTTATTTATATTTTAATTTAGATAAGTAAGCAGTATATATATATAAATGAAATTGATTCAAAACACACCCGACATTACTATGTCTAGAAACAAGAATTAAAGAACAAATTTTGAAACGAAATTAATAAGCGAAGCTGTAGGTGGAATTCTTTTTTATACTACAAAGGTGGCAAACAAACATACAACCCGTTTGATGATAAACGATCACTGTAACCTATGGACACCTGCAACACTAGGGCTGTTACGTGCAATATACATATATATAGTCTATTATTACTACTATAGCTTTATCTCACGACTTTGTTCATACGAATATAAATAAAAAAGTAGGATCATTTAGTTTATTCAAAGTTACATAAATTAATATGACTAGAATTTTTTATTTTAAACTAAATGATGTTGAAAATTTCATACATTATTTGGCTTTAGTTATATGTATGATTCCAGATATACGTCTGTGGATAGTAAAATATATAATTACTTTCGTACGTGGAAGACAATTCGTTATAACAGTCCACTGTTGAACATACCCCCCCTCCCCCCCATGAAAGAGGGTAATGCTAATAGTTGCCAAGCTTGGCAGGCGGGTTTACAACCGTTGATCTTTGGTAATACTCGTATTTTAAGAAGGACGTTGCTGCCCATTCCTCGACCTTTAAGTTTCCTTAGTCGCTTCTTACGACATCCACGGGAAAAAAGAAAATGCGTAAATCACTAAATAGAAAAGTATATAATACGTTTGAAAAGAATGAATAAAGTCTCGCGTATATTTTGATATTCAGAAAAGGTTCGAGTGGATACAACTCAGCTTAGAGAGACATTTCCGGCGAACGGATGCACATTTTGGAGATTTTGCGCTCAACTATGCAGTCCAAATAGTTCAATATCTACACCTACAGCGCCATTTCCCTAAATATAAAAATCACAGGGTGCCGCAATATTATTTTATTTAATGATTTTATGCTGTAAAACTTTAAAGCAAATAGATGTAGTATTTCATAACATGTGGATATAACAATATTACCAAAAATAACTGTCTATAATATATATAATTTTTTGCACTGTTAATTTTATTCATAAAAATTGCTGAATATAAACCGAGATGCACATTTTCAATAATAAAAAGAAAAGCAATAAAACTTTAATAGTATTAATATTAAAGTACTAATAAATTTTAATATTGTGGTATTTTTTAATTATTAATTTTGCTAAAATAGACAATACGACAAAATGTTATTCAAAAAGTAATCATATACATAAATATCTCTTTATAATAATTTAAGACTGCGTTCTACAAAAAGCAGACTTCAATTGTCCCACAACTAGTTATTTCCATTTTAAAACTAAACTCCTGTACCAATTTAATAAAATTTATATAGGACCTATCTATAAGTATATTCTTTCATATAAAAAAAGAATTTTTCAAATCGTTTTATAACTGATAGAGTTGTACAATTGGGAGGGAGACTTTGTACAAAAGTCGATTGCTTGGGTACCTCTGTCCCATTCGTCTTTCAACCGTGAAGCAGTTGTGTTTGCATGGCTGTGTTTCGGTTTGAAGGGTGGGATATGGCGTGAATTTACTGGGTACAGAGGAATAACACCTGAGTCCTCAGGAATGGCAACGCATGATGGGTATCATGGGCGAAACAGTATGTACGTGTACTGTTATGTCCATGGTACTGCTCATGTCTATAGGCGACGGTTACCACTTTCCATCACGTGGACCGTCAGCTTGTTTGCCATTCTAAAAAAAAAAAATTAATTGAGGTAACAAAAACATTACAACCGAATTGAGAATCTCCTTCTTTATCAAGTCAGTTGAAAATAGTTCTTGACACCTAAGTATAACGTGAGTAAACAAACAAGCGGAATTTATAATTAGACCCCTATGACTAATGAATCATCTGTCTGATGATTAATAATTTTACACCATAATTTACGAATTACTAAGTTTGAAAATATTTTAGTCGTAACACAATGTTCTCGACCAACCACCAGTTTTATTTGATCTAGGTATTCGGCTTTCATTTTATCACTATCAATTCTTGTTCTTTGTAACTTAAAAAAATTCATTTTTTGTCAAGGTTTTATGTATATTTCTCCAATTGGCTCTATCCTAAACTATATTATAAAGGTAATAAATATTCACGTTACTTGATTTGACAAAATGAGTTGTGCATTTATACATATCATCCATGCTGTGTGGTCCCGGCATAGAATGGACTAACCCTTTCTTTCCCATGGGCTTCGTATGAGGCGACTAAGGGAATTAGTCAAAGGATGGGCAACAGCATCCCTCTTACAATAACACCAAATCTAATCGCATTTGTCAACCCGCTTTTCAAGGGTGACAATTGCTGGTAAAGCTCCCCTTATTGGAGAGGTCTATGTTTAACAGTAGACAGTAAACGGCTGACATAATGATAATGATGATAATATATCAGCCAAATTACTGGCACAACATGATTTCATACAGGATCGGTAAAGCCGATCGTTCAAAGTTATATCTGTTTATATAAAGCCGTGCTAACCTGCCTCTAGGCATACAAATTTAGCAGGAACCCTACCGTAATGTCTGTAGTCTATAAAATCAGCGAAATTTATCCTAAAAATATTCAACACACTGTATATGAATCTAGGGAAATGTAAAATACATATACACCTACAAAGAGATTTCGGTGCAGCACAAGCTTCAGCAATATTTATGACGTTTGATAGACTGCTTTGTACTGATATTACCTACGGCGTTATGTACGCAACAGATATTTACTTAACTTTGGAAAATATTTTGTTTTTACGAGATATTTATGTACACTTTGAACATCGATAGAAGTGATGTACCAATATAATACATTTGCTATTTCTCGCCTTTAACCGAGTTTCTACAGCGATAATAAAAAATTGTTATAAGACGTATTATTAGTAATTTTTTACATGCACTTTCTTAATGACGTAATCTAAGAAAATGTTATTTCAGTAATCTATTACTGATTTAACCTTTAAAAAGTACAAGACAAATTATTATACTTTATAACAATTTTATCTTTTACAATGTTCAGTTTTGGGTATAATTATATTTATATCTGTTTAGTTTCTTAAATTATTAAAGTAAATCACAATAATAATAAGATCGCCTTCTGTTTTTACCTAACGGTTAACTTACAGCATGAAGCTCGCTGTATGTAAAAATATGTAAATATGCAATAAAAAAATTATTTATGGTGCAGTGATGAATCTTCCTATTCGGACTTGGGGCGACTCCGAGATCGCACCCGCGCCATGTTGGAGACTCCCGCGGAGCCGCTGGTGCAGCACGCACATTCACAGCCCAACAGCCGCCGGATGTCTTCTGACATTGAAAGCAAGCTCGCAGCTAACCTTAATACTAGGTAACTAATCAAATAATATTTATTTTTAGTATATTGTATATTACAAGAAAAGATAGCATTAGTTTGTGAAATATGCCACTGTGGCAAACAGTTAGATGAAGTCGCATTGTAAAGGATTGTTTTGTATTTATATGGTACAAAACTCTTTAGTCAAACATACTCAGTGAAATGTGGATCATCTTTAGATAATTTGGGCAGCGTCCACTACAAGAGATATTGCAAACGTAGATATTAGATATTCTTACACCAATTAAGTAATTAGAAGATTAGGCGAAAAAATTTTGGTCGAAATTTTAATTCCATTTACCAAATTCTACGCCAATTCTCTTAAGAAATTGAAGACAAATTTTATAGCTTTAAATAAAAGACCTACAATCTACCTATATCTTCATAACATTTCTAGAATGTACAAAGTATAAAAAAATATTCTACAAATACATGTAACACTGACGTACATAAAAAATATTCGAGTCAAAACTTTAGTCAAAGGTTAGTGCGCAAAATTTGAGTACAACTGATCTCTTACTCTATTTTTAACAATTTAAAGACTATATTTGGAGGATTTATTTATCGTTACTATTATAATGTAAATTATACACGTTTTATAACTAACCTTATACTTTTTAGAAATAACAGTTTAAGAATACTTGTTGTATACGTTTTCTTAGAAATTGTATCTAGCTATAACTAGTTACTTTATTTACATCACAATATATACTATATTTAAAAAAACATATGCATTTGCAATGATGATATTATGGCATTTAATAAATTTCATAACCCATGTTCTGCGCTACATACAAATAAATAATATTAATTACATATATCAATAGATATTGGGATTGTACTCATACAAAGCGAGAAGTATTACTATAGTAAATGTACACCCAGGTACAAATTTCGGTACAAAATTGCGTATGGATGAGAACATCTATAGTTTGTGTACCTATGACATCGATGTTGATGACGCACGCACGTCAGCCCGGTCACGTCAGATCGGTGGGTTCAGTATATATTACGCTATAGACTTAAACTGTACAATGCCTCTTCAAATTTAAGAGAATTAAATCTGTAAATATCTAGCTGGCTAGCTAATATGACTACATCCACACATAGACGACCGTCAGCAATCATCGCAGCATTCCGGCGGCCATCGCAGGCGCTTGCATTATGTGCCGCAACGCAGCGACGGTTCCTGTCCGAGCTGTCACCACACTCGCGAGCCTCTGTCGCCTCCACCGTTCACGAACATCCGCCTTCCGCTGCAGAAATTTTGGGACAGTAAGTCTAATTGTTATTCGGGTCCAATTAATTTCTACCACTGGCTTTTGTTTCTGATTCCACATTGCCTGCGGCTTACTGTTGGCTTATCTTAGTGAATCCATGAGTATAATGTGGAGAATTATGAAATAAAAACATATCATTTGGTTTATATAATTGCTGAAATTAGCGTAGGTTATTTTGGTTATCTAGGTACTTATGTATATATTTATAATAGGTACCTATGGTACCTAGGGTAAGTATTATATAACCTTAGATCATGTATAACCATAGTTAAAATAATTTTCTACATATTGTGCAACTACCTCAAGTAATGATGTCAGAATAATTAAAAAATAACATTATTATCTGAAAATGACGTTTATTTTTTATAGAAACAATATTTTCTCAACTTGTAATAGATCTAAAATAAAAATGGCATCTATATCTTTCTGTATTATTCTCTTATCTATATTACTATATAAAAATATTATAATGTCAAATATGAAACATATTTGTTATCCATCCAAAAATAATGACCTCTTTGATCTTATATATATATATATATATATATATATATATATATATATATATATATATATATATATATATATATATATGATAAAATAAGATCAATACGATAAATCATTTCAAAATCTCTGGCCTTTTCTTATTATAAATCTAATAAGCAAAGGCCAGAGCTATTTAGAATTGAATATAATCCAGTTAAATAACATTACAGCGACCTCTTTGTACTGCCGACAATGCGTAGCGCCTACAACGCGTCAACACTGTTCAAAAGCACACCCTTTATTTGTTAATAGACAGACAGGTTGACAATGCCTCTGTGAACATTCAGTCCAAACACCTCCACATGAATGTAATTAAAATGTGGAATTGTTTTCAATACATATACTGGTGACGCACTCAAATAAGCGTAACCGATGCTTATAAATTGATCTAATCAGCTACACATAACTGTTAATATTATTAAACTATTCTAAGAGGATAGTGATTTCATTGTTTAGATTTATTACGTTACGTCGACTATTAGGATTGTTATTTACAGATTCTCAAGTTTCATTCGTCTTAGATAGAGACAAAATAACAACCTATGATACACTTAATTATTTCCTGGCACACAGTATACCTATCTCCTTATCAAACATGTTATAAATTATCTATAAAAGCAACACTGTTGTGTTTTAAAAATTATTATTAAAATAAAATATTATATATTAAAAAAAAATTAAGCAATCAAATTCAATCAATGCACATAATAAAATCGTACATGGAAGATATATAAAAAAAAACTATTATAAGGGGGCTTTATGAATGCAATAAAACTCAAAACAATTATTTTTAGAATTTTTGTCTGTTTGTCTGTACGTTTGTTCACGCTAATCTCAGAAACGGCTCGACCGATTTGAATGTGGTTTTCTCTGATGAGTAGCGGTTTGCTCCACTTAATATTTAGTAATTATTTTATTTCAATCGGTTATGAACCGAATAAAAAAGTTATACCAATCTAAAGAATCACATATAAAATATATAGACAGTGACCAGTTACAATTTTATTATATGTATTGATTGATTTAAGATAGTATACTAATTATTACACTCTCAATTTGCAGTGAAGCTCTGAGCAAAGCATTATCTGCACTATATGCCAAGCTGTTAGTTGTTCTTGGTCTAGCTTTTCCTGTCACTGAAGTTATCGCGAATGGTGTTCCAAACGCATATTATCAGGTACATAGATTTAATATACTAACTCACCGGATTATTTCTAATAGGTGCACTAAACCGTCAGGGGGAAAGGGATTGTTAGTAATGCGAACTACCAACCCATTTTTAGTAATATACCCTGTCGGGGCGACCTCCACGTGATCCCTCCTGGAAACCATCGTGCTGAATGTATCACGATGGACTAACTGACCTGCCTTTTCATTCTCACCTATTATCCCTCACTGGTGCGCTACCAGCGTATACATTCCTTTATCATCTATTAAAAAACCGCCAGTGATATTATTTAGAAAACTGAACAACTATCACCAAAAAGTTGGCTTTCGGTATTACTACTAACAATGTACATCATTAAATTATGTATTGTTTAATATTTTTATATATAATTATTTTTATAATATATAATCATTTTATATATAATATATAATTTCTATAAATTTCTATAAATAAAAATAAATTTTTCGTTTTCAGGGTTTTTACTTGTATCTTTATTTAGTTTCACTTCTATTCGTAATATTTCAATATGCAACTCTAATGCGCCAGAAAGCTGTAAACCTAATTATACATACCTACGGTAAGTCATAAATTATTTTTAGCTCGTTTAATCTAAATAACTAAATGGGAAAATAAAACAACTACACACTTCAGTAATTAGCCACATTTGCTTTACAAAATGCGACATTAAAATCACATCTTGTTTGCATAATTACAACTGCAAAGAATATTGCCTTCTTCAGTTTCCATTCCACTAACGTTTTTAGCCATTCGTATTAATGTACCGGAAAATTCCTCTCCAAATATGTAAATACAGATATTGTTAATTATCACTAACGATTAGTGTTTTAACCATTTAAAATATTTACAGAAGACCCTGAAAAAGAAGAAAAAAATGGCAAAACGACGCCTGGCGAGAAACTTAAATTGAAGGAGAGCAATATATCTCGTTATGGGAGTTTCTATTTAAGACTAGGTGCTATTGGTAAGCGATCAAATATTCATTACTTTCTTATGGCTACATTTTTCTTATACCTACGTTTGTTATGTACGACTCGACCATTTTAAGAAATTATTAATTTTTTCAGCTTTCGGTATTGGCTCTATGGTATACAGTGGATTAGAATTCGGCGAATATTTTGAGACAACAGATCGTTGCCGGTCCGTTCTTGCTGTTATAACTCCTGGTCTGCGAATGACACTAACACTGGCGCAAATGCAATTCATTTTTCTTACAAACAAAGACATCGAAGCTGGCAGTTACAAGTTGATTCAGAGATTCGGATTTATGCATATGATAGCCACCAACTTGTGTGAATGGTTATATGTTCTGGTTGAGGAAACGAAACACGAGATACATCACTTAGAAATTCATCATATTTCGAACAGCACCCACCTCAATGACACCTCTGAAATTCCTTGTCAAAGATCTAACATTATGGGAACACTTCTACAAAACGCATCTCCTTTTCTTTTTCCATGCACCATTGAATATTCTCTTATTTGTGCTGTCATTTTATATGAAATGTGGAAAGAGGTACTACTGCTATACTGAACATAAATATTTAGATTTAATATCATTATATATTTGTAATATATTTAACTATAATCATGTTTATAATTTTTAGGTGAAGTGTACGCCAGAGGACTTTGAAAAAAAATTTAACTATGCCAAAGCCAAGTCACGTAATAATTCTGTGACACCTGAGAAAATTCTTCAACAATTCGGTAATACTGTTACTTAAAAAATAGAGATGACTTCGTTAATCTAACTTGATTCTTGGTGAAATCAATTTAGAAAATAAATTTTAATACTTTTAGTCGGTCTTGGTGTTTCGGTTTGTGCCCCATAATAAATTCATCGTAACTTATCCTGTCTTAAAATTTTGTTTTACGTATTTTATTACCGCATTATGTAACTATTCTAAACATTTGCTTTTATTTTACAGCGGGTATGCTAGGGGTGAGTTCTCCGCATGGGAGCCGCGCAGCTCTGCATCACTTCTCCGTAGACTGCTCACATGCACACCGTGGCCTCTTTGGTGGGATTCTGCTTATCGTCATCACCATTATATCTCTCATCATGTTCTTCGTGTTAGTGAACAACCCCGATACCGTCAATGTAAATAGTATTTTATATTTTTTAACAAATTATTCCACTACTAACTTATCATTAATCACTTTATTAAAAATTTCAGGATGCTATATTCGAAGTCAATATATGCGAGTTAGTGCTTTATTCTTTGACTCTCATAGCTGCAGCGGCTGCTCTTAAACAAATGAGAGTACTACCGTATAAAAGAAAATCAGAAGGTATTTTAATGATCTCTTTAAGTTACTTTTATATAAAATGTACAAACTTTATCTAAAACAAAAACATAGCCAATAAATATCGAAAATAAACACAGAACAAATATATAAAGCGTAGGTAAATGTAAAGAAAATGAAACCGTGGCGTACTAATGAGAATTTTGCAAATACTTAACGTAAGAAAAGTAGGTATAATTTGAACTACGCCTTTTTATGTGTAAGTACATTACCCGATATATTTGCCAAATACTGACCCAATTATCTTTTAGAATGAAAGGATTTTATTCCAATTTGACCACATATTAATTTTGCCAGGATTAAAGTCGCATTTTTGTGAAACAAAATCTTAAATTATTTCAGTAACATGAAATATATAAAGTTAAATATTTATATATACATACATATATAACTCACTTTTTCAGCGGTTCTTGGACTAGACACATCGCTCCTGATCCTTGCGCAATCGGGCATGTTCGTATATTGTATGTTCAGCTTGATAGGCTGTCACCATACTTTACAGAGCGACCAGGGTGCAGGCCTCACCGGCTTTTTCTCAGAGTTTTTATCCTTGAATCAGGTGGGTACAGAAATTGTGTATCTTTATTTATTAATTAACATACCGTTCTAATTTTTAATCAGAATTATAATAATACCTATTTTTTCCTTTGCAGACTATATTACAATCTCTGTTCATAATAGATGCTTGGTGGCGACGTAGTACCACATCAGAACAAAGGCGAGAAAAGCCTGGACGACAACTAGTCACATTCCTACTCGTCGCTAACATGGCAATGTGGGCTATTAACACTCTTGAGAAAGTAATGTACATTCATTTTACCTTGATAGAAATAGCAAACAAATAGTGTAAATTTAATTAGACCTATAACTCACCTTAGCTGATGACGATGTATGTTCGTTTAAGTACTAAAAAACTATCTTCTTATCAAAACGTATATATATGGTATAAATACAAATAATAACAATATAAATAATACTACAACAACAATTATATATATATATATATATATATATATATATATAAACTTGAATGAATATATATTAAAACTGTTTGCTACACTTGCTATATAATTATTATTACAAACAATAACTCTACACCAATTAATAAAAAAGTGAAGCAGCAATCGCATTTCGATTTAACTATGTATACATCATAATCAAAAACATTTTTTTTTGGAATATAATTATAATTTTCTACATTAGTACTAATATTAGTAGTATAGTATATTTTTCGCTCTAGTATACTTTATTATTCGCTCAAGGAACTGATAACCGATATGGTTAAATAGCGTCTACTAAATGAGGTAAACTAAAATCTGAATCAGTCAGTAGACATAGGCGACTAAGACGGTTTTTTATGATAGTCTTTAAAGGAAAATGTTCAGAAGTAGACAATTAATGTTTAAAATGATGATGCAGTGAAGTAAATTAAATCAACAACGTCTCAATATTGATTGCGAAATATAATATCTGTGCTGAATAAAATGCATAAGTAATTGCTTAATTATCTCCATTACAGAATCGAGCGGAGTTCAGGCCAGCTCATCTGTCATTCTATGGACCTTGGGCGTGGACTATTATCACACATGTCTCTATGCCACTCGCCATCTTCTACAGATTTCACTCTACTATATGCCTCTTTGAAATATGGCGACACAGTTTCAAGAATAAACCAATATACTTGGATGTATAAAATTATAATTAATAAAGTATATGAAATTTTTCTTGTTTTTTTTTTTACTTCCAAATATATCAATTTATAACCTGCTCTTTTGTATTTATCTAATAGGTTTTGATTACGTTGAATAGGTTTTGATATGCCAAATTTCATGCTGTTTTTACAGTTATGGCGATAAGAAATAAACAGATAAACTGGCATGTATAATACTAGACATATGTAGAGTTATGATTAGATTGGTATCTATTTACGTTTGATCTTACAAATTAAAAATAATACATTATTTTGACCACTATCTGTAGAAATATTTTTATTGTCTGAATTTAATAAGAAACAAGGTCTTAAAATACTCATAGTAAATTTGATCCTCACAGCATCTTATAAATATACAATGACAATTTATTTTTTCTCGTTAATTTCCAACATGGTAGACATCATGTTTATTCAGATAATGTCACCATGAAAACTTCACATGCCTTATCTAGGGTGCCGGCGTTATAACCAATTGACCGGCAAGGTTTAATTATTTACATTTTGCAGGCAATATATTTAATTGAACTTACTGGTCTATTCAGTTGAGTACTTCATTAATATAATGAACAAGACAAATATCTGGAAACAAGCCTAAACCTGAGTTAATTCTGAAAAATAGCCTTCCTAAAATATTGCCTGATCAAGAATAGAACTTATCGCATCCAAATCACCTGGAAATACTTTTAAGGGAAATAACGTGTCTAGCCCAATGCTAATAAGGCATATAAGTAAAAAAAAATTAAAATGCTAAGGTATATTTTTTATGAATCTTCACATGTAATTAAATTTAAAAATCATACCAAATATAGAGTAATAGTAATAATAATATAAAGTTAATTTTAAAACTATATGATCGAATAGCCGAAACAAGAAAAGAATTGTAACATTTATTAATTGCATATTACGTACAGCAGCCACAGGTATACATCTAAACAGATTATATTTTAATATACCTACTAACTACCGATATAACTTACGTATATTCTAGTTGATTATTATTTAATAATTATTACATTTAAATATAATATATGCTTTATTGCACTTAAACAATACATGCGACGATTAGTTTAACAACTTGTTAGCAAGGGAGGACTTATCTCTGAAAGAGATCTCTTCCAGCCAACCCAGTATAGTTAGAGAGAAAATAATTTAATTTGGGTAATTTAGTGCAGGAAAGGTACCAGTAAAAATAATGTAAATACAACAAACACAAATTGTGAATAAATATATAAATAAATAAATAAGTAAATAGATAAATGTATATACATATGTATAAGCGCATAGAATTCATTCAATTCAATCATGTACTATTGGTTAAAAGGTGTGAATTCAGTTTTCTTTTGAAGGAAGTAATGGAAGGACTATCGCGTATGTCAGCATGTACTTACGAAACTTTTAACTATCTAAATCGATGTCGCAAAAAAATTTGCCTTTCTACTTACATCAAAATAGTCTAAAAATATTTCAGACATCCATTTAAAATGGTTATAAAGATATTTATTACTACATCAATGTCTACATCCATAAATTAAAAGTCTCTGTATTATAAAAAAGCAGACAGCAAAAAACTAAGTACATACCACAATTCGTTAGCTTAAAATTTACCGAATGAAAATCAAACCTAGCATTTCATTTATACAAATTAACATACCGTGCTTATTAATGCCGTTCAGGATGGCACATTTTTAAAAATTAAGGTATCTATTGTCGTCACCATAAATCTATATCTATGGTGTAGAGCACGATGTGGAAATTAACTCGAAACCCTTTGTCCTATATAATAGTGATAATGCGATTGCAACAATGCCGCGAATTATCTACATTAATTCAGTAAGTAAGTAACTATAGGTAATTATCTAAATGTAGAATATGTCATGATGTACTAATACCAAAGAGCATAGTGTGTTTCTCACAAAGCATATGTAAACTAAGGGAAATAATGTAAATCTTGTAAGTGATATCGGTTTTTCATGGTCATCACAGTTGTCTGCAATATGTTGTCTGTTTTGTCGCAATTCATATCTCGAGAAATAGTTTCGTTTCGTATCAGATGAACTTATTTTCGATACTAGGCATGCTTATATATAATGTAAAGCAAACAACTACCTGACTGTCAAAGGCAAATATCTTGAATATAAAATTGATACTGACCGGCACTAAAACTTTTTGCAAATTTTTCTACTAACTCTCCAGTTAAAAACATGTAAGTTTCGAATATGCATTCCAATTAAGTAAAAAGTTTTTTTTTATTCTTAGAACCAAGTTAATTGTGTCATAAACAAATAGAGTACCCTGTTTAGACTACAGTCGTGAAAGCATTTTTAAACGTATTAATGAATACTTACCACTGGCTTGAACTTAATTTCTAATTAGGTTTAGATCATAATTAACTGCACGCATCAAAATCAATGCAGTGACATGCATTTGTGGTTTTCGTACAAAGGCTCTGAATAGCAATTATATAAAACCTGTCAAGTGCAAGTTGTAGTTGAATATTAGCGAGGAATATTAGTAGGTCACACAATTGACTATATTATAGGTATATTTAAAAATGGGTAAACGATTTATTCTATGGATAAATATTTGAGCTTAATTACCAATCAATGAGTTAATATTTTAGACACTTCATTATATATTCCGTTCTAGATTAAATATTTAATGAAATAATGAAATCATTCTATAACGCTGTATATGTTTTATTTTATATTTAAAGTCAGCTCAAATAATTTTTAAAGTCGCTTTTAACTATATAGTTCCCGTATATCATTCCCATTGGAACTCTTTATGTCTCTGGTCTTATATTGTATTATACACTTAAATGATAATTACGTACCTAATACCTTCATAAAGTTTCAGCCAATTCAACTGATCAGTTATTTTATAGCATTTTATATGCGATCCTTTAGATTAACATAACTTTCTTATTTAGTAACGGATTGAAATAAAACAAACAATAAATATTAAGTAAAGTAAAGCGCAATGCATTAGTAAACACTGCCTTCAAATCGGTTAAACCGTTTCTTGAGATTAACACACGCAAACGTACAGACAAACAGACAAAAATTCTTAAAATCATTATTTTAGATTCTATTGCGTTCATAAAGCCCACCTACAATAGTTTTTCTTGTATATCTTACATGTACAGACAGCGACCAGTTACGATTTTATTATATGTATTGATTGATATAATCCTACTTAATATTATAAATACTTGTAAAAATGTTTTTGTTATTTATTACTAAAAGACACCTAAATGGCTGACCAAATTTGAATGAAATTTAATACAGAAATATACATTCCATTCCAGCATAGGTTGTTTTTATCCTGTTGAAACAGATAAAATTTCGGAGAGCTAATTAATAATAATCCATGATCAACATTATTTCATATTTAAATATTTTATTACAAAATTACCCACCATATCTATTCAGTTTTTCAAATTTCACACTATAGAAGTCGGCCGATATTCCATCTCGTAGAGTCATAACATCAATTGGCAGATATTAATTGTACACTGGATTATTTAATTATATCAAATATTAACGAAGTAACAATCTACTCAACACCTTGGCCATGATTTGGATTACATCAACATTTATCTGAGACTATCCAAAGCCTGCGACGGTCATAGATAAGAGAATATTATGTCGGATGCCGCATTATTGCTGTGACGAGTTCACAAGATCTAGTGGTACCTTATTGTTGAGAAATTAATTGTGCGAAAAAGAGATGAGAAATCTAAATCCGTCAATACAAATATTTCAATTAAACATGGAAGACATTATTCAAGAGGACGAAGAATGGTGAGTATATTAAACAAACACATTATACTCGTAAGTAAATAAAAATTATACAATTATTAATGTAGATTTCGATAATTACTAATTATAATAATTTCAATAAATAGTAGAAGCGATAATAAATAGCAATAAATTTATGCAAAAAGTAAGACAAAGTTAGTTTATAATATTAATAAAAAAAATAGGTTCTAAGACCTATATTTTTTCCTATAAAAACAGTCAATTTCAATAGCATTCCATAAAGTTTGAATAATACTTATTAGGATTCAAATGATGAAAATGAAAGTGCAAGGTTCGACTTTTATATAAATTCTAAAACTAGTAACACAAAAAAAGTATTTTGTATTATTCATCTCTACATGTGGCGGTGATAATTTTTCGTTAGTAAGATTGACAGCTTTTTTGCTCCTTCCAGTATATATAATATTTAGAAGTGATTTCTAAAAGGAGAAGATTGTCAAATCACATGTATCTTTTGCAATACCTTCATTAATTACAAACTGAAATTGTTAATTATTTTTGCAATCAATAAAGTCCACTCTCGTGTTGGTTTCATATTAATAAAGGTCAGTTCATCCAAGAGTTAACAGTGGTCCAAGTATTCGAAGATAGAATCATATCTCAACCTCTATATTTTGCACTTTATATTTATATAAAATAAAAAAAATATTACCACTTCGCCATTTCTTGAGTGATAGCTTTACTTTATCCAAAATAACTTGAACATAAAAAGTAACTTTATTCAAGAGAATACACTGATTAAACATACAATGAAATTTAACAGGCCAGGCGAAGCAAACATATTCAAAGCTTCAACATCTAGAGGGCGCTACGACCATACCTCGTATCGCTATCTTCCCCGTAGACCAGGCACCAGGGCTTTGGAACGGAAAATTCGCAATAGTCGGTAAGTATTTAAAAAATATAAGTATTTTATACATAAATATAATTTTGAAACTAAAAACTTATTAAACTAGATGGGGACTCTATACAAAGGCTATCTGCATGGGTATTTCTATACCCACGCAGATAGCAGTAGACAGTTAAAGGTTGGTATGATAAAATTATACTATTTTACATATATTGACAAAAGGTACCTAACGTAATACTATTTACTCTACTGTCATAACTCATCTCACGCATGCACAGCAGTTCTGGAATGTCTTGAATTCCCCTTCGGATAGTACTGGATATTAAATTAATATTACGAACACTCAGGTTGTGGAATGAGCTCCCTGCCGAGATTTTCCCAAGAGACTACAGCATGGGGTTCTTCAAAAGAGGGGTAAAGAGGTTTCTTCAGGGTCGGCAACGCTCGCGTAATACCTCTGGTATTGCAGGTGTTCATAGGCTACGGTAGCTACTTTCCATCAGGTGGGCCGTATGCTTGTTTGTCACCTCAGTGGTATAAAAAAAAACATAATTCATTATCATTAATATTTTTAAAAGGGTTTGTATTTAACCCTGGACAACTAACCTTCGTCAAATCGACGAATACGCGACACAAAATAGGCTATCTCTTTTTAAAGCGGGCGCCAGTGATCGTGTCGCGACTTGTCAACTCAGTGCCTCTCGTGCTCTTTCAGAAAGCGGTTGTGTGCGGCAGGTAAGTTTTAAAGTTTTTGAGATATTCAATATTTAGTCGTCGTTTCGACGAATGGTTAGTGTTTGTGTCACTTTTCATATTTAAATTGAATATTTTATTTCGCAGTTTTCTTTGTGATGGCTTCAAAACAACCACTATCGGAAGAAAATATTACTCGTTTACTGTTAGAAGAGGATGATACGAGCATACCGGAGGATTCATGCAGTGAAAATGAAGATAATTTAGAAGATGATTATGTGGAAAGTGATGCTCAAGACGAGTCGTCAGATCGCGAAGATAGCTCACTAAACATTCCTGAGCCGTCTACATCGACGTCACAAACACCACTTGATTTAGGTCAAGAAAATTCAAGTTCAAATACTAACATATTGACATTGACACAAAGTAATATCCGTGGTAAAAACCGTCATATATAAATATTATTACTATAAATATTATTCGGGTTGCTAGAGGACCAACTCGAGCTGTTAGGGGTATTGTGGATCCACTGGTGTTGTTCAGCCAGTTCTTTACAGATGAGATAGTGGACATCATAGTGAAGTGGACGAATGAAGAAATTGGTGTCAAAAAAGAAAACTATGACCAAGTATCTTCCACGCAGAATAATACGTGTAACGAAGAAATCAAAGCCCTTATCGGCATTCTAGTTTTGACTGCAGCTCTCAAAGACAACCATTTATCCCTCGAAGAACTCTTCAACACTGAGTATTCTGGTACAAGATACGTCTCATGTATGAGTAAAGAACGATTTGCTTTCCTTTTCCGATGTCTTCGATTCGACGACAAAACGTTTCGATTACAACGACAGAAAGATGATCCTTTTACACCGATAAGAGAGATATGGGAAATGCTTATAACTAAGTGTCGAGATAACTATGAGGCTGGAAGCAACGTCACAATTGATGAGCAACTGTTGGCATTTCGTGGGAGATGTAAATTCAGAATGTATATTCCGAACAAGCCTGCAAAGTATGGCCTCAAATTAGAAATGCTTTGTGATAGCGGCACTAAATATATGATCGACTGTGCTCCATATCTTGGAAAAGGCACTGATACTGGAGGCTTGCCTTTGGGAGAATACTTTGTAAAGGAACTTACACGAAGCATCCATGGTACGAACAGAAACGTAACCATGGATAATTGGTTTACGTCGATACCCTTGGCGAAACAATTACTTCTGGAGCCTTATAGACTGACAATTGTGGGTACATTACGATCCAATAAAAGAGAAATTCCTGAAGAGATAAAAAATAGTCGCTCAAGGAATGTAAATACCTCCATGTTTTGCTATAATGGTCCGCTTACGCTTCTTTCGTACAAGCCGAAGCCGTCAAAAATGGTCTACGTGCTATCTTCCTGCGATGAAGAAGGTACAGTGAATCCCGAGACACATAAGCCAAATTTGATTGAATTTTACAACAGCACAAAAGGTGGTGTGGACACTTTTGACCAGATGTGTTCGGTGATGACTTGCAACAGAAAAACTAATCGGTGGCCCATGTGCATCTTCTACGACATGCTAAATATCGCTTGTATCAATAGCTACATAATTTACTGCCATAATGTGTCAACTCTGGTACAAAAGATAATGAGCCGTTGTAATTATATGAAAGAATTGCATTCCCAACTTGTAAAACCGTGGCTCGAAACACGACTGCAAATGCCCACAATGCCCACGCACACAAAAACGAAAATACAAAATGTATTAGGGATTGGTACTGATGTTGAAGGTGGTGATCGTGACAAAGTGCAGTCAACGTCGAGAAATGAGTCTGTATCGACAGGTCATAATATAAGAAAAAGGAAAATTTGCGGTATATGTTCCTATAAGAAACGGCGTATGACAAAGTCCATTTGCTCACAGTGCAGCATCGCAATCTGCGGTGAACATAAGATTGATTTCTGCACTAGTTGCGCAGACAAAAAATAGCTTTTATATATTTTTTTATATTACTAAGATCTCGTTCTATAAGTACTTAAGAGAAGAATATGATTTTTTTTTGTTTAAATATTTTTGTTAATTTTCCAAAGAATAACGTTTTTTTGATCTCATGAAAACCAAGTGCCTTACTAAAAATGTTAAGTTTGAATAAATATTTCTCATTACTTTATTTTTTGTACTTTTATTTGTAAATGTAACCTATGTTATTTAATTGTTCAGAAGAATTTAGATAAAAAACAGCATAATTCACCTAAAAATACCACGTTAAAAACATGTTCGTCGAAACGACGAATGGTTAGTTTTAATAGGGTACTCTGGAAGGTTAGTGGTCTAGGGTTAAAACCGTTTGGAATTGGACGTCTAATTAATCGCATAGGAGACGAGGAGTGCAGGCGACGAGAGACGGTCGGTATATGTGGCTCGTTAGTAAGGCCGCCTGAAAGTGACACCTTCGGCGCTAATTACCCGTGAGGACAAGTTTCTGACCGCCGATGCAGATTTACTGCAACGATAAATAAATCCTCTTTTTCTTGATTCTGATATTACTTTTTGCGCGCTGCAATATTTTACTGAAGAAAGATATTATCTTTCTATCACAAACAAGATTATTGCAAACCTTACAACTTGTAAACCTTATAAGAAACTTTTACAACTCCATTTTGAATTTTCCACCATTTTAAATCCACGAACCTACTAGGTACTATTACAAGGTTGTTGTTGTAATAGCCATTAAGCGTCCACCCCTGAACATAGCTTCCCCCATATGGGGATTGCCATGATATTTACCAATAATTACCACATGTGGCAGGTGGGTTGGCAACCGTAGTTTGGCTTTTCGTGATGTTTTAAAAGGAATCTATCTCTTTTTTTTATACAACTTAGAATGGCAAACAAGCTGCCCACCTGATGGAAAGTGGTAGCCGTCGTCTATAGACATGAGCAGTACCATGGACATAACAGAGTATACTGTTTCGCCCATGATACCCCCCATGCGTTGCCATTCCTGAGGACACTGCACCATAAGATCCCTTAGTCACATCTTATTACACCCATGGGAAAGGAGGGGGTGACCTATTCTATACCGGACCATACGACTTAGGATATGGAGACATAATATAGTAGTCGTCAGGAATGGTAACACAAGAGAGGTACCATGGGTAAAATAGGATATCTTGTATTGTTTATGGTGTTGTTCTTGTCTATAGCCGACAATTATAACTTTCCATTAGATGGGCCGTCAATGTGTATACCATTTTAGGTATAAGTATGGGCGGCGGTAGTCACTTACCATCAGGTGAGCCGCATGCTCGTTTGCCCCCTGTGTTATAAAAAAAAGAGTATCCTAAAAAAATAAAGTATTTAGAAATAATATCGTAATATATATAGATAACTAACTGTAATACGCGGCTCCGCCCGCGTGAACTTAAAGTATCCTTTGTGTTAAGTTAGGGTATAACATAACTATGTACCAAATTTTATACAACCCTATTCAATAGTTTTACATGAATAATGATATTTAAAGAGTTATAAAAGTTACACAGGTATTTTAATTAATTCAGAAGGAACAAAAATTGAAAAAGAAATCAATAAAAGGTTACTAATAAATAATAAAAATAATAAAAATTAAAACAAAAATACAAATTAAATTCATTCAAAATTTTTTGACAATAAAATTATTATCAGAAAATTATTTAATATAAAACCTATAGATTTCCTCCCTATACTAAACATTTATTATCCTCTTCAACATTCAGTATGAAAAAATGACGCATCAACAACACATTACAGTTACGGTTAGCTGACTATCTTTTTTATATTTTTATCCCACAGAAAATGCGTAGGCGCCTCTTCAAAAATAATTTTCGAAAATTCCCTTGAAGGAGTACCACGGGAATTGAAAGTTTGTTCAAAAGTCCGTCAATCTTAATCTTGCAAACGGAAATAAAATATATTTGGACTTCTGTCACAAAAGTAAGAGGGAGTAAAACACGACAAAGCATGACCGAACCCGTAGTAATTGTGACAGGGGTAAAAGATGAACGAATAAATCTAAAATATTTTATTATTCAAATTTTTTTTTAATTAAGTTATTAGCCAAGAAGCGTCAAAATTAAATTTTTGTCAAATAGTTATTTACCTATAATGAAAATTTTATTTTCATACACTTAAAATAGTCGTATTTACATGATTAACCTCAAAATCTTCAGAGCTAAAAAATTTTACAAATGGTAGTGTTGAAACGGAGATTAGGTACATATTTTATTATTATCTACTGAGATTATTATTATTATTATTACAAAATTCTCTTTCTCAATCTGATATATTAATAGATAAATAACGTGTGCCTAGTCATTGTTGTTAAATAAAAAAGAGATCCTAAAAAGCTTCCGTTGTTGTCATTGTTACAAGGTGAAATAATTTATTACCTAGTGTGATATGACTATCTAATCAATATGACGCATACTCGCGGCTGTGTTACAGTGAACACGTAAGAACATAAATATTTCAACGTGATTGAACTCTGTTTCACTAAAGATCAATCGTAAATCATAAAGAAGACATTATAAAAATAAAAGGCCCCTACTTTATGCTAAGGAATCATTCCTTGATTTTTCATTTAATTGTAATTTAAAAATATGTTTTTTTTAGTTTCACTTTGAGCTTTTTAACTTAATGTTACAGTCTATTTAAAAGAGACAAAACTGTTCTATAAATATTGTATATTATGTGAACTTGTGTAAATCTGTGTGGAATTAAAACTGATATTACGAATAAGCCCAATTAAATATTTATAATGCTTTATCTTTCAAATTAAAGTATAAGTATGTAAGAAAGAAAGAATTTTATTTATGTATTTTAATATGTATCAAGTGTTAATTAAAATAATTATTTTTAATATTTTTATTTATATTTAATTTATATTTTTAATATTATAATAGCTTATACATGATAAAATTTAGTATATATTAATTTTAAACTTTCGCGTTGTTGACATATATTTTCAAATAAATACATTTTTTATTTCACAGCAACATCCAAAAACCTTTTAATAAAATAACATAAATATATTAAAAATCTTATTAAACATAATATTACAAGTACCATTCCATTTATTCATAATTCAATTATTTTAATAGGGTTGTCTTTCACATGCTTAACCTACATATTATATTACCTCTGTCACAAATTATAACTAATTATTTACACACGCCAGTATTACTCACTTCAGAGGGGCCTTAGCGCACAGTCCATGGTTTGCACCACGACTATCGACACTGTGTGCTTATACTGAAGATTTAACAAATGGTTTTACAATCTATATACCTACATTATAGTTTTCATTTATTAGCAAGGATTTTATAATGAGCTGATGATGCAATCATATTGTTCATTTGAATTTTAATCGGGTGATTTATACGAATAGTTAAATAGAGTTAAGAATATTCTTAAAAATGAAAAATAAAGATAAATCTAATCAAAATACGGTGAAGGAGCGACGTGATTGGCGGGAGAGGTCTGAGCCGCTACTCTCCGTGCCTGAGGATGAAAGGTGAGTCCGACGAGCGCTTCATTAAAACCCACTATTAGTCGATAAACGTTCACTAAAACAAAACAACTTCGCTCCGCTGTAATATTATATCATCAGTTGCTTTACTCTATAATTTTTCATAGTTGTTTCAATCTAAGTTGTTATTGAATTGGAATGAAAATAAAAATAAGTTGCTGTTACAAATTATCCTTATACAGGAGTGCATGGAAAATAACAAAATGATGTATGACTAATGTCAAATTAATCCAGATAAGTAATTAATCCTATTCTAATCCTACTGAGCATACAGAAAGACTATTAAGTATATATTTTACAAAATAAATAAATGTTATGCAATACTTTCAATGCAAATATTTGTAACGATTTGTAATTTAATAAAAAAAGTAACTTAAACAATGTCTATAGGTGTGCATCTGATTACACAATTAATATAGAATTATTAAATGTTTTTCGCCCTAATTGAGACCAGTAAATAAATCATTAGATTGCCTATCTACAAACGAACAACAATTTTAAAATAGCTTTTTGTTTAGAACTCAGTAGAAATAATTGAATGTAGATTAGTTAGTTACCTACAACCAACTTATTTTTTGATTAAGGTAATCTTACAAACTATTTTCATACTGTGTACCTACTATGTCTGAGAAAAAGGGATTATAAGTATACATGTAGCACACTTTACAGTACAGCATATTATCAGTACCTAATATATAACTACAATTAAATTAATTTGTAGCAAGGTCAACAGAAGCCATTTACATTACATAGCCTATTCATAAAATAGTTACAATAAAAGTTTCCCAAAATTTTGTAAATAATTTGATTTCAACTTATTATTCTACAATAAAAAAAATAAAACATGGCATTGCTGTTCTAATAAAGAATATACATATTTTCAACAGTACAATAATCATTATGTATAGATATTAAGTTTAAACACGAAACAGTCATTATTTATTTCTTTTTATTTATTTAAACTAACGCACAGAGTGGATATATGCATATTTGGCGGACTTAATACCAATATTACGTTATTGTAGCATAATTATTTAAATATGCCTATGAACTATACCTATTTGTAATATAAATTTTTCCAGTGAACAATCTCCGCATTCACTGCCACGATTGAGCGTCATTCTACCTGCTAGCACTTCCTCCAGCATCGATGACATCCCGCCACGGCCGCCTTCAAGACGAGCACTCTCACAGGGAGAGTAAGTTTTATTACAATATTTAAACATTCGTTTTATTTCTTTAATCATAATTTCTACTGACATAATATTTTTTTCGTAGCTTTAAATAAGGTTCATCCATTTTCTTCTCCAATTTATATTTAAAAGAAATAATTTCTTCATGATCCGTAACATAACATTTACACAACCAATCCATCATTTCGATGATCTTTATTTATTTTCTTACAAGTATCATTTCATCAAATCAAAAACTTTTTAATAAGCATGAAAATGGTTGTGTCAATTGTCATCACTTTTAGATATTTTAATTATAATCTACATAATCTAATTTTTTATCTTTCAATACAAACATTATCGATTTAGCCCTACCACAATGTATTTAACAAACTAACGAAAGTCGTTACTCATCTGAATCATATTTGCAGTTTATGCAATTTCAATAATTAGTTCTATATTTCATGTTGTTTCAGCGAGTCAATGACAGTAGTATTATCAGCGTTTTATGCGAAATTATTAATAGTTTTAGGAGTAGCGTTCCCTGTGACCAGCACTATACAAAATGAACTTAACACAAACATTACATCTGATGTAAGTATTATTTTTATTATTATGTTTATTAGTCAGTAAGTAATATTTCACTTTAGAATTATTATTTAAGATTTTTCCCGCCTGTCGATAACAGATAGAATGATCAAAATAGACGTGTAATTGACAAAGATACTCATATGTACTTATTTAACGATTTCGCTAAGCAATATGTGTGAAATTGAAAATTTAGATTCAGAAATAGATTTAAAAACTGATGCTTCAAAATCAATTCACTTAACTTTTTTACTGCTAACTAGCTGTGGCCCGTAGCTGCGCGTGCTCGTATCATAACGTTGAATAACTAATAACCTACTTCAAGAAATGACCTTATCAAATGAAAAGAGAAATTTTTCAAATCCAACTGGTAGTTTTAGAAATTATCGCGTTCAAACAAACTCTTGTGCTTTTTATATAAGTATAGATAATATTTTCTTGTTATTATTGCAGGTATTCACAATGTATCTATACGTAGTCAGTATGGCGTTCCTTGCTTACACTTTTTATCACCTTAGGATGGCGAAAAAGGATAAAAACGGTACTTAAATACTTATGTGTTAGACATACGCTTCTTTAAATTTTATGTAGTATGTAAATAATCTAAAATCATTAAAGTACCTAATTATTTTCAAATGACTATTGTAAAACAGTTCTTTGGTCATACAATAAAATTGAGGATAATGGTATCTATTTAAATAAATAGTCAAACTATTGTCTACAGAAAAAGCAAGGCGTACACGATATGGCAGTTTTTATCTTCATATGGGGGTGGCTGGGTTTAGTGTGGGCTCCATCATCTATTCGTGCCTACAGTTTGGTGGATACTTTGACCTCACTGGCGACTGCCAACTAATCATTGTTGCCATCAAACCAACATTTCGCGTACTGTTCATGGTCGCCCAGACGGTGTTTATCTTCTCATATACAGATGTGAGTATGATATTTTGTTTTTTGCTAAAGTAAGAAGTTTTTCCTATTGCTAATATTATAAATTCAATTAGTAAAGTAACGTGTGCTACTTAAAAAATAAGTCAATTTGGGGTACCGACCATCTCCATACAAATCCTTCAAGAAAAGCAGGTCAAGTTTTTCATATAATTTTACATGATAAATAGTTATGACTGGTTCTTTTATAACCTCTATGTTTATTTTGTCTTATAATTTATGCATCTTTTTAATACGTAAATACTAATTTTATTTATTAAGTAATTAAATATAAATACGTCAAGATAAATTGTGTGCGTAAGTATATAGAACACTAATAAAAAAACAAGTCAGCTAGTTTGACAACTAGCTAATAAAAAGTTGACCCGTTTTTGAGACTCGATGCTCTATCTATATAATCTAAGTGAATCATATATGTTAGGGTCAGTATCCCAAGATCTACTTTTATAATAATAGATCTTCGTTTTCTTAACTAGAAAATAGTTTTTTTCTAGTCAAGCAGATGAGGTCGTTGACATTTCTTCTCTTTCAATTAATATCTAGTCTTTGCACTGTGTTGTTCTCGTGTTTTTGTGCCACGATTAATGCTATCATTTTCGGAGCAAATCTTTAATTATGTCAAGCACAAGTTATTTTATTAACCGCTTATATTAATCAAATATTGATATGTATAAATTAAGTGTTGGTACATGTATGTACCTAGTCTTACAAACAAATTTCTAAAACATTTTTACTCAAAGCATAATGAGATAAGCTAACTACTATGTAATTTGTCTCCTACTTTATTTGTAAAGTAATTTTTAAATAGACAAACACGAGTAGCCAAGAGACCACTAACTCGTCATCATTTATTTAATCTGTCTATCGTTACTTAGTCATAATTCCATAATAAGACGTTAAAACAAAACAAAAGTGCCTTAAAATCTTAGCTTGGGATACTCGTATATGAAACTGATGGCAGACTGTGATCCCGTCAAAAAACCTAGCTATATAATATGTATATTATAATAACATGTGCTTATATTGAAAAGAAAGGGATTATTAGTAACGAGATCCAAACCAACCCCCCGTGGTCACCTCAGGAAATTATCGTGGTTAATTCTTGTTGGACTCGTTATAATCGGCCAACTATTATGCTCATTTATATTTTTTTATGCTCATTTATTATCTATCACTTGTGACCCGTCAGAGCATGCCGATTGCGCAGGCAAACCACCATTCCATTTTCATCTAAAAAAAAAACAAATATGTATAAAATTTATAGTATTAAAAACACCTATGCTTATAGTATAATATAAACGCTAAATTTACATTCTAGAATGACGGCCCTATCGTTGCATTTTAACTTTTTAACTTCTGTTGTCTTTTTTTCCTTTAATAATAAACCAAAGCTTAAAAATTACTTGTGTTTCTTTGTATTTTATTTACTTATTACTTTATGTATTTATTATTAAATACCATTTCGGTTTCGCCTAGACATTTCGAATAGACAGAAAAATAAATTAGTATTTTATATTACCTTTAATTGGCAAAATTTTGATATTTTAGGTTGCATTAATGCCATTTTGTGAAATCAAATGTTTTAAAAAAAAAAATAAGTTATAAATAATAGCCCGTTTTCAACCAAATTCAAAAATTAGGAGGTTCTCAATTCGGTTGCATTTTTTTCATGTTTGTTACCTCATAACTCAGTTGCAAACCGATTTGGAATTTTTTTTTATCTACTTAAAGGATATACTTACAAATTGGTTCCACAATTTTTTTTTAATATACTAAAATCAAATCTTTCTTTTTTATAATATTATTACGTTAAGATAACGATTTTCTCTATATGGTATATACCTTTGTATTCATAAAAATAAAGTAAAGCTGCGTTCATATGGTCATTTTTATCTTGTGTACCATATGTAAGTACTACAGGAAAATAAACAGCAGTATGTACCAGTTATAATTAGGTATGCATAAACAAAGCATTATTATTTTAAAATTTTATAAAATGTTTATGCTGAATTTATGCTTTCCTGTAAACAAATTTTAATCATGTTTGTTACCTCATCACTCAGTCAATTGTAAACCGATTTGGAAAATTCATTTATTTATCTACTTAAGGAATATACTTGTAGATTGGTTCCATAGAAGTCTTGTCAAAATCAGTTCAGTAGTAGTTTTTGAATCAAAATAACTAGTTTTGCCACATTATACTCACTGATAATATAAATTTCTATAGGTAATAGAAATATTAAAATATTATAAATACTAAAATGAAATCTTACTTCTTTATAATATTAATATAGATAACAATTTTCTCTATCTGGTATCATTATATTAGCCTTTAACAGTCCCCTTTTGCGCATAAGCTTCCCCCTTGGGAAGTTTTGTCAGTAATTGCCACGCTTAGCAGGCAAATTGGCAACCGCAGTTAGGCTTTGGAGATGTTTTAAGAGAGACGCTGCTGCCCATCCCTCGTCCTCCCTTAGTCGCCTCTTACTACACCCACGGGAAAGGAAGGGGTGGCCGATTCTATGCTGGGACCACACGGCTATATATGGTATATACCTTTCTATTTATAAAACAAAGTATGGCTGCGTTCATATGGCCAATTTTTCTTATACACCATATATGTAAATACTTCAATAAAATATACAACAGCCCGTTATAATTAGGTACGCATAAACAAAACATTAGCATTTTAAATTTTTTTATTTTTAAAATGCTTATGCTGAATTTATGCGTCCCTGGAAAGAAATTTTAATCGTATATTTATAAGACAACTATTCCTTACATGCCTCAGCATAACAAATATGTATTTGTTATATACTCATATGTACCTAAAATGTTTATCATGTTAAGACTAATAAATATATCACGTGCATTCATATTTTATGTTAACATCCGCATGCTAATGAATAAACAGTTTATCAAAATAGTTTGCCATCTCTGAGATTTCAAACTACAAAATATGTAGGTAGTAATAATTACCTAATACATATATTTTTATAAAACAGAATGGCAAACAAGCTGACGGTCTATCTAAAGAAAAATAGAAATCATCGTCTATAGACAAAAATAGCGCTATAGTCATTACAGAAGACGTCGTGACTATCAAAGTGCCTCTTCTGCATTACCATTAAATAAATTAATTAATACCTAGTTAGGTACGGTTTACCTTTTAAATACAAGTATTTATTTACTTAAAAAATAATTTATTAGATATTAATCTGGAATATCAAAAAAAAGCTAATTTTAACATCCAAAATAATTACCAAAACCCAGTGTAAATAGCACTGGTTTCTAATTTGCCCCATATACGTAGATATTTCCTGTACATTGCTGTATAGAAACAGATATAGAATTGGAAACGCAAGTAAAATAATTCTACTCAAATTTACGAATTAAACTGTCCTATATCTCATAAATACTATAATAATACTTAGGTACAATCTTTCTAAATAACTTACCATCTGAAGAATAAGTCATGTCTCCGAACGTGGCGTTCATGAATTTATACATAAGATTAAATAAGAACATGGCTTTTATTTTATTTTTTTATTTCTCTAATTTTAGCTTACTAATATTCATATTTATTAGATAGTTTTATAATATAGATATTATTTATGTAACCTGGATTGCAGTATATATGTTTTATTTTACAGATCCTGGATCCAATGAGAGGCGTAGTAATAGACAAATTTGGATTGATGCATTTGATTGCAACAAATGTATGTGAATGGTTCAACGTTGTTATCCAAGAAACAAGAGACGACATAGTCGCTGTGGCGTATGATAGACCGACACTTTTTCGGTACGCTAACATAAGCGGGGCATATAAAACTGTAGTAATAACAGATGAACTGGATAATGTAACTTTTATTGAAAAACCTAGAGGTCAGAATCCAAAAAATGGCATGGAATTCATAAATGTGTCAATGCAGAAACAGAATTGGAGCTGTAATGTCTCTGATATGATTACACCATTAATAAGGAGCGTCAATCCTTACTTAAGGTCGTGTGGTGTGGAGTACAGCCTTTTGTGTTCCATCATTATCATCGTCATATGGAACGATATATGCACTGTTCCTGGATCAGTAAGTTATTTTAATAAAATCATTTTTTCATTGTTATAGTCACAGATTTATATTTCACATCATTTAATTTATTTATATATAATATGTAATATTTTTTTGTTATATATCATATATTTCATGCTTGATCATATATTTTATATGTTACGAACATCCTTTCCGAAATTTTAAAGTGTATACAGTAAGTGTTAAACCAACAAACACTTTTTAACTAAACATTTAGACTTATTGAAAATTATTTTGTTATTTTTTTTTGTTTTGTTTAATTAGTAGGTACTACATATGAATAAACGATATCACAATTCAATATAAACGGTCTTAAAATATAGAACAAAAAGAAACAAAGATCAATCCAATTCAATAAATATAAAGAAATCTCAGTATTTCCTAAATTGTAATTATGGTGTTTAAAAATAGATTTAAAAAGCAACGTTATAGACACTCTATCCTACTGAATCCTATTTTGCAAATCTGTTCTATTCAGCTTCTCCGCCTTAATTAGAAATAGGAACGTTATGTGCTTATTCATCAACAAATTTAGCACTGAATGTATTACTATACGTAATTTTCAATTAGCGTAAACCTATGTAGAAATAAATATAAACGCCTGTATAAGGGAAACATTTTTTTTATACTCAAACCTAAATTTTATTTGAATGTTGTACCATTTAAAAAAAGGTGGATGAAACAAATGCGAGATGACATTAATCAATATTATGAATTTTTTATTGTACAAATTATAAAACGCTTTATTGGACAGATTTAATCATCTTCATTAAATTTCAATAAAATTTCTTTGTTTCAGAAATGGCTAAAAGGACCTCCTAATGCAGTTTTAAACAAAGAAGTACAGCAATGTTGTGAACGTATAAAATCAAACAACCATTTCTCAGTGGACTGCGGGAGTGCCCATAGGGGGCTTTTTGCGGGAGTCGTAGTACTAGCTGGCACCATAGTTAGTCTTATGCTTTTTAATGGTCTTTTTCAAAAGGAAAAACATGTGGAACTAGCACTACTACAGGTATCTATCACGTGTCTAATACCAATAAATATATTGAAAACTATTTAAATAAATATTCGTACTGTAAGACATGTACACTAAAAAAGCTAATTGCGCATTGTCTATGGTTTTGCTTCGTTGTCTAGGGTTTTGTTGAAGTTCATTACAGCAAACTACCTAAGCAAATTTTAAGCATTTTGCAATCAATTGTACAATATTCAATTATACATTAATACGACAATAATTTATAAGTTTTTAACCTTAATCATTCATTTGGCGTCAGCCGTATTCGAAGTCAGGACTTTTGGGATTTATAAGACTGTATAGCATAACACTAAGCCACGGCACTTACAACAACATTATTCTTATTATCATCTTTATTTTCAGATAAATATTTGGGAGACAATACTGTTTGTATTAATGACAGTAGGATCCGGTGCATGTCTTCAGCGCATACGCACGCTCCCACTAAAACGAACTGTATCTGCATTGCCTTTAGAACATGCTTTACTACTGGTCACTCAATTCGGCGTTTATTTATACTATTTGTTTCAAATTATTGGTGTTGGTTTTCTGGTGCATAAATACTCGGTAGAGAGGCGAGCTACTCGGTGATTATATTTTATACTTACAGCGAATTGTAAAATTTTTAATAAGGAGCTTGATACACGCTCGATGCCAACGACGTGTAGAAAGACTGCGGTTCTTATATATAGTACATACTAACCGTATAAAGCCTCTTATAACGAGGCGCGGTGATAGTATTTTTTAATAAAATAACAAACTAAAGATACGCTTGTAATCGTTAAACTGTCAGTTTCAACAACACATAAATATGTCATACATATTATACCTACTTAGCTACTTACATACATATGCGAAATATTATCTGGGTGATTCCTTCTTTTTTACTACTTTTTTTTAACGAATATACTTCTGTTATGCAGGATTTTAGTGCCTCTATGTGCAGTAATACAATGTTCCTGTCAGACCCTGCTGATATTAGACGCATGGTCTCGTAGATGTGAAGAAACAACAGGCCGCCGCCCAGGACGCCAACTAGTGACTTTCCTTCTCGTTGGAAATTTTGCTCTATGGCTTCTAAACCGAGTCAAAAACGCTAGAGCGGAATTTCATCCACTGCAGGTACGCTGTACAAAAGTACCTAATCGTAATTAACCCATACATTTTGCTCCGCAAACAAGTACATATGAAACTAAAACAAGAATAAAATTCTATCGATTTCAAATATATTGAACAAAAACTGTTTAAAAGTGGTGAAGATATCGCGTGAAATTTGATATTTTTCCTAAATATAAGTCGAAACACGACAAAAAGTTCGGAACATCACTTTGTAAAACGCTTCCTTATAACAATATTAATTAGTTCCATATTACGTAGATAATTATTTAGCTATTTATTAATTATGTACCTACGTTTTTATATTTTCAGATGGAATTTTTTGGCGTCTGGGCATGGACATTAATCACACACGTATCCGTACCACTTCTCGTTTGCTACAGATTTCAAGCTACTGTGTGTTTTTATGAAATTTGGAAAAATTCATATAAAAGAAAAAAATATAACAATGATATTAGCCTAGAGGAGCAAGATTTTGAATTAAAAAATCACGTAGCATAAATAAAAATGTAATACACATATTTATTTCGTATTTTTTTTTGTTGTATACCTTTGTCTGGTATGATTTTATTAATATATGTATTATATTCAACAGTGAACAGTTAAAGGCTGATATGATGATATAGGTATTACCTACTTATTACTCTACCCCGCGCCTTTGCCTGCGTAAATTGATATGTAATATAATGGAATATGGGTATCATAACCATATTCCAGATTTCATTAAAATCTGTTCAATCCTTTAAACATAATTGAGTAACAAAACACACAAAAATATATTTAAAAACTTTCACATTCATAGTAATAATATAATATCTACTTATCTCTATGCGTGAAATCCACATGTAGACATATAAAATAACAGAGGTATTTACCTAGACATAAAAAATGAACCTGAATGCTGCTAGTTCTCAATTCTAGTAATCTCTCTCCTTCTTCTTTTCCCTCAATATACACTGCAAGATCAACCTCCACGCGGTTTCGTTTCTTTTATTACTTCCTACATGTTTAATTGTTGATTTTTGTTAATTTAATATTGATCAACATCTTTCAAAATTATTTAATTATCATTATGTATATGTATTCGAATTATGTAGAATGTTTATAATTCATAATTATAAACAATAGATATTAATGATTAATCGATATAATCATCTAGCTGTATCCCACAGTTTCGCCCGCTTGAATTATTATAGTATAGGTATACAGTATTCTGTGTAGTACATTAGAACCTGACCTATCCGTGAACCAAATTTAAATGAATTTCGCCCAGTAGTTTTAGAGCGACAAACATTCATCCATCCTCACAAGCTTTCACATTTATAACAACAACAAGAAAATATAGATAGCAAGTTGTTTTGAGCTTGATTCAAGGGCTACACTGAAAATTTTTAGAACTGGCTACTTGAAAGCAATATAATTAAAATAATTGTTAAAATTTTGAAAATGCAACACTACGAATAATGTTTTACGGTTTGGCGGCAAATTGAAAATAGTCTGTGTAACGTTATCATGAAATTAACACGAGGAAATTTTCGTGCGATGATTTTTTTATAACTTTCGATGTCCTCTAAGTCAACAAGAAAGTTATAATAGACTACGATTGACCTTTCACGATGAAGTCCTGTCTCGTGCCACTGTTTACAACTGGTTTAATGAGTTTAAACGTGGTCGCACTAATCTCACCGATGATGTGCGTGAGTGACGGCCTTCTACGGCGACGACTGATGATAACATCAGTGTTGTGCGGCGTATGATAGAGACTGACAAAATAGTGACCTATCAGCAGATCCGGGCAAGCTTAGGGATTGGTATGAGTCAAGTGCACAAAATCCTCCATGAACATTTGGCGGTCAGGAAGCTTCGTCCGGTGGATACCTCATAATTTGACCGAGGCTCACAAACTCCGTCGTGTTAATTGGTGCCGTGAAATACATGAAAGATTTAACGGAGGTGACTCAAATTCTGTGTTTGACTTAGTTACGGGAGACGAAAGCTGAATTTACTGTTATGATCCCGAAACTAAAAGACAGTCAGCTCAGTGTGTGTTTCCTTCCGAGTTGCCAACTAAAGTAAAGAGAAGTCGAAGCGTGGGAAAAAAGATGGTAGCCTCGTTCTTTGGAAGGACAGATCATTACACGACAATTGTTTTAGAGGATCGAAAAACAGTTACAGCAGAGTGGTACAGTAACAATTGTTTGTTACGTGTTTTGGAAAAAGTGCGTGAGAAACGACCTCGCAGTAGGATTCTCTTTCACCACGACAATGCATCATTGCACACCGCTAGGCAAACGATCGATTATTTGGCGACCTCAGACGTAGAACTACTGGGTCATCCGCCTTATAGCCCCGACCTCGCATCATGCGATTTTTATATATTCCGAAAAATAAAAGAAAAACTTCGAGGAAAACGTTTTATGGACGCCGAGGAAACTGTGGCTACGTTTCAGAAGACCGTGGAAGAGATCCCTAAGGACGAGTGGACAAAGTGCTTTTCTTAGTGGTTCTATCGGATGCAGCGATGTATTGACGGGAATGGATACTATTTTGAAAAGATAAAATAAAGGTAAAAACTTACTAATTTAATCAGTTTTTTATTTTCTAAGGACTTTCAGTTTGACCCTCGTACTAATGCATATCTGGTCTATAATCAGGTAATAGGTAGAAGAACCATCAAAATAGACTCGCAATGGACGAAAATATCACATAACATGTGTTTAAACAGACATAGATAGATGTATATCGTTTTGAAGTAAATTGAACAGTCAACGAACTACGACTAGCGACTTTCCAAACTTACAGCTACTTTAGAAAGCTGCTAAGAGCTGCGTCTAAATGATCGTCAGTAACGTGCTTTCGATCAAAAACATCCCACCGCCTGATTACGTATTTTACAGTTTGCTTGGATTCTTGACTTCGAGGTATTTGAGGATTGGGAGATAGTACCTACCTACTTTTATTGTCTATTTCAATAGAACTTAATAATAATGCAAATAAAAAATCGATTGATTCAATGTTTCGATTTGATTAACTATTGTAACTCTCATAATAAATATAAAGATACCTTGTTCTAAGGCTCTCACTGTCATGCTTGATGATTACTGTTGTCTTTGTCTGATTGACATTTACTATTTCCAGGCCTAAGTCACTTCAAACTAAAAAACAAAATCTATGCATCCAATTCTTTGAGTTTAAAAATGTTTCATTATAACCTTTTTCATTCGATCTTTAACAGTGTCATAAAGACTAATTGTAATTAGTCATAAAATACAGAAACTAGTTGTTTATTTTATCATGCTCTTATTTCTAGATATTTGCATAGATTTATTTTCCAATCTTCTTAATGAAAGGGAAGTGTTCACTCCCATATAACGCAATGATTTATGTCAGTTTTGTAGTATTGTCTTCTTTTTTCTCCGTCAATACAAAACTGCCCTCAAATTTGTATACAAATTAAATAAATTTCTAATAAAATAAGGTATTTGTAAAAAAATATGGCTTCTGTAATGGACGTTGATGAAGAAGAAGTCGAGATGGCTTCCTCGAGTAGTGGTAAAGGAGATAAAAAAAGATTCGAAGTTAAAAAGGTAAAAATAACAATTCATGCATTGTCATGTTACTCATGCAAAGTGTTATTTGTGTTTATTTATTTGTTTATTTCCTATTATTACAGTGGAACGCCGTCGCATTGTGGGCCTGGGGTATGTATGTCATTAAATTTTATATCAGAAAATACAAAAACTAACCTTAAAATTCAAATATTTTCTATTCACTTATTACATTGTCTAAGATTTGCATGATTTAGTACCTAATGCGTATTGTATTTTTCATGATGAGTTATGTACAGGTAATGCTTCATAGGATGGACATCATAAAATTTATTTTATTATTTTTTCTAACTAGATATTCACATAATGTGCACTCAACTTTGTCAAAATAGTAACATCAAACTTTATAAACTATCATTTCTGTGCAAATTTCATAAATTCAAATAAATCTCTTACTTCTATAATAATTGATAACAAATTGTTAGTTTGTACATACATAAGCCATTTTGTATTACTGTGGCACATGCATGAAGAAAAAAATTTTTACTAATTTTATACATTCTGATTTTATTTTTGATTTTTTTTTTTAATCTTTTGTACATGTATCTTTTTTATCTTTTTTTACTTTGCTTCTGTATCTTTTGCTGTTTGTGTGCTGTAAGTGATGCAAATAAATTATCTATCTATCTACATGTATCTTATTCTTAAGCCTCACAAGATAAATTTTTAAAAAATTGTGTTAAGGTAATGTAGGTTATGGAGCTTTATATCTCATATATTTTTAATCACTAACACATAAATACAATAAAATTAATATAATAAAAAAAATTGCCCTGAAATATAATAAATAGACACTATACATTCTATACTCATAGTGCAAACTCTGGCTACAAGCTTGGGATTAGATAGTGCTGTGTAATAATGTCCAGGTCTATTTAATATATTTTATACATACTTATACCAGAAAACTCTTGGAATGGAACCTGTAGATCTTAGATGGTGACATGATGTGTTAAATATCTGGTCCACTAAGGCATATTAATTCTAAACTTTTTATTACATCTTCATCTTCTAATTTAAAGTAAGGATTTACCTATTTCAAACTTAATTAAATTAATATATCATTTTAAACCTTATTATTAATAAATTTATGTGTTTTTAATTTTTAGGATTGTCATTAAATATTATAACGTAACAGCTGAGAAAAAAAGAATAGTGTAAAACATAACACAAAATTATCTTCACAGTTTATTGTCTAAATCAAGTTTCTCAATTTCAAGTATATGTGTATTAGTTTTTGGAAGTTATATATTTTTTTATATCCCTCTATACTTAGTAATATTATTAATGTGAAAAATGAGTTTGTTTTTTTCTTCATTATTTACTTTTTGATGTCTAAACAGCTCAACCAATAATTATGAAATTTTTTTGGTATACACATTGTTTGGGGTACAGAATCGCATAAACTATATTTTATCCTGGTCAACTGAAGTCATGAGTAAAGTGATTTGTAACCCTTTGCAATATCATGCACAAAATTGTTTAGAATATAATATACACAGATATTGAAAAGCATCATTAGTATTTAAATCTGTGAATATCTATAGAAACCTAATTTTCCCAATTTATGACTGTAATAAATATTTATTTTTGCAGTATAAATATGCAAAATATGTAATTTTAAAAAGTAAAAATGAATAGTGCACCACCTGTCCTTTGTCTTTTTTCTTAATGTCCAACACCAAGATTATCTGAAAGATAAGTGAACAGCCAGTTTATCTCTTTAAAAAACTAAATTGGATGCAGATTCATTTGTTTGAAATTATCATTTCAAGTACACAGAACTGTAGCATTTACTGGCAGCTTCCGCTACCAAGCAACAAAATGTTGGAACAACATCCCGCCACCATTTAGGCATCTGACTACCGTACACAGTTTTAAAAAACATCACAAAGAATACTTATTAAAAAAACAAATTTTAGGCATTCCACAGAAATTTCTTAGCTAGCGGTTGCAATCTCATGTAATGATTTTTAATATATTTTTTTTTCTATGTTTCTCTTATTAATATTTTCTTTTTTTTTTTTTTCGCTTTATTCTTACCACTCAGTTAAAATTATATCAAATTATACTCTGAACTATTTACATTATTTTTATTATACACACACTGCACAGACACACACCAAAAATATTGCTCTTTTTATTTTATATTTATTTTAATTATTATTTTCACGTACTCTCAAATGGGTTAAAGCTGAAAATCAGTGTTTTGTTCCTTGAACAATGTTACACGCTGAGCTTCGACCTTTTTGTATTGCTGCAGATCACACATAATAACACACGTTTATAAATCTTATGTTGTTTTATGTATTATCTATTCTTATGTACATGTTGTGTGTGATTAGTAACAAACAAATAAACGATATATCTATCTATATTGCTTAGGGATAAGTTTGCATTTTGTGTCACTTTGCATTAAAATTTTCTATATTTTTTTTATTTTATAACTAGTTCAATAAACTATAAAATGAATAAATAAAAATAAATTTAAAGGAATTCAATATAATTTAATTGATATTTATCCTCTTGGGTGAGCTTGTGTGGCTATACTAGACTCATGACCTCGACTCATTTACAATGGCCCACATAAGCTGTTTAGGCAATTTACATACCATTTACTGCCACTCTTATGATTTTTTTATATTATAGATTATTGTTTTTAAAAAATATAGGTATAACCTAATACACAATACAAAATGTAAATTGAATTTTAATGCCTAAATTTTTTTATGTGATGAGTTTGCTTGTTTTAGACATTGTGGTGGATAACTGCGCCATCTGCCGTAATCATATAATGGATTTGTGTATAGAGTGTCAAGCCAATCAAGCATCAGCCACCAGCGAGGAATGTACAGTTGCATGGGGAGTCTGTAATGTAAGTTATAATCTAATTATCAATAAAACATTATTATGCGAATAAATAAATAAATTATATCATAATAAGGTGGTGATTCTAATAATATAATGACTATTCAACTTATAGAGAAGAATAAAAAAAAATTTATCAGTATTTTAAAGAATTTTTACTTAGAAATAAGATCTACGCCTCAAGATCGAGAGCTTTAGATTTTAAGAAATTATAATAGTAAAATAAAAATGTTCTTTTTAATTTATTTCCATACATTTATCATTATATTACATTGGATTGAATACACTTAGACAATGAATGTTATTAAATAATGATTATAGGTGCAAATTATAGTTCTACATTTATAAAAAAAATCTCTTCCTTCTGCAATATCTTTTATATCAGGAAACCAATATTTTTTAGTCAAAAAGCTATCAATAATCAGTGAGATATTTAGATATTTCTGTAAAAATGTTTCTTAATTCTGAAATTTTTAAGTTATTTTAAATGAAGCCGTAGTATTTTTCATTAGATAATAAAATGTTTTTAAAAATCTTTTTCAGCATGCCTTTCATTTCCACTGCATCTCACGTTGGTTGAAAACGCGCCAAGTTTGTCCCTTAGACAACAGAGAATGGGAGTTCCAGAAGTAAGATATTTATATTATTTCTTATATTACTAGCTGATCCGGTAAATATTGTTTTGCTCTTTACCGTTATCTGCAAACAATACACATTTACAAAATTACATTAAAATTGATTGAACAGTTTCGGAGATATTAATATCGTGACATATTTTTTATGTAACAACCATGAAAAAAATACGGCCGAATTCAGAACCTCCTTTTTCAAATCGGTTGATGAAAAGCAGTTGACGGCATGTCTTATGTAAGGTGCCAACCACCTCCGGTCGCCAAGCAAACATTAACAAACACCTAATTTTTATTAGATCCCTGTCGTAAAGAATCTACCTAACATCTTAGAGTGACATAGATCAGGCAGCGCACGCCATATTATAAAATTTTTGCCGACTGTAATTACATTTATTGTAATTATTGAAAATATTTGTTTTTAATTTATAAAAAGAAGCCTATAGCACTCAGGGATAATATACCTTTCTAACAGTGAATGAATTTTCAAAATTGGATAAGTAGTACCAGAGATTACCCCGAACATCCAAATCAAATGACACATTTACCTCTTTATAATATTAGTAGAAGAGAAATAGAGATAATTACGAAGCTCATTAATTGTTATTCATTATTACAGGTATGGACATTAGAGGGCTTGGCTTCATGACTCAAACACAAGATCTAACCGTAATATTAATATCTTAATCGCATTAAGTTCTTAATAAAATTACTCAATATTAGAATTTCATTATTAATTTCGCGAATTACTGTAAAATTGTTTTATTAAAAAATACCTTGTAACGAGAAGAATATAAAAATAGTAAATATTCTGACTGACAATATGAAATGTTTATTTTTTTGGATAACAATTTATTCACTTTGAAATTATGTTGCTACTGTAATATATTAAAGAAAAAACCAAGAGCGTGCCGAACACACATTTGGAATCTTTGTAAATTAATAAAGTTACTAAAACATTTTGCATTGTAGTGTTTACCTACTGAAAACCATGAAATATGTTAAGCAACTTTAAAATTTCAAGGTAGAAATGAGGCAACTTCTATATTGTTAGAGCTCATATATAATATTAGGTTAGAAGTTATTAAAAAAAAAGTAATTGCACTTACAACAGGATCTATTCTGAACCATTTCTCTAAACTTATCTCTGAAATTAAACTTTCAATTTGATATCATAGTGAAGTCTTTATTCTAAGGACCAATATGAACTAAATTTCTAATATTAATTTGAATCATAATTATTATAAATTTGGCTCATGATTGTCCATAAAACAGTAATTTCGCGAAAATCAAAAGATAAGATTAAATTAATAGATTTATAGAGAAATCCACCTCAGAATCACTCTAATGTCTTCAAGTGTGGTAACCGTTGCTGTAGTCATGACACCACACCATGGACACCGCATAATACACTATGATATCCATGGTAATTCTGGTACGATAACATTCCAGGGACTATTGTCATATTCCTATGTACCCTGTACTTTTACTCTCATATCCCACTCTTTAAACTGAAATACAGCCATGCAAACAATTGCTTCACGGCAAGAAATGGGTGAGACAGCTACGGTTTTAGTATAAGTTTTCCTTTTGGTCGAAAATAACTCCATCTTTTAGTGATAATTACTTGTTCAAGATCAAATTTAAATGTACATAAGCTATATAAGGATATATGAAGAAACAATTAAATTATGAGAATTCAGATTTTATCTGAGATATTTAAAGAACAATCTAATGTCACGTAACTAATATCCCGTCCTAGGTATTTCCGGATTCCTCTCTGTAAGGTCGACCCCCACGCGGTCCTCCATAAAAAGTATCAGTGAATTTGTCACAACGGACTAAATGACCTGCTTTCTTATTTTGTATTCTGAGGAATTGTTTGAAATGATGCCCACAATCACTGCACCACTTATTATCGCCATAGACAAGGATTTCATCCCCACACGCTTGAACCTTAATTGTCGAGTACAGTGTCGTTTGTTTTCTTCCACGAACGCTAAGACTGTTGAACAAGCTGCCTGTCATTTATCCTAGAGACTACAGTATACTTTTGAAGAGTCAAAAAGGGTACATTCAATTTTCTTCAGGGTCGGCAACGCGCACCCGAGATTCTTACTGTTGCAGGCTTCCATAGGCTACAGTTACTGTGTACCATATATACTTGTTTGCCACCTTCGTGGTATAAAAAAATTCTCATCGTTTATCCTCCACTGATGTACCGCCCTTGATACTATTAGCATAAACGAGTACACCATTCCATTTTTATCCATAAAAAAAAACAACCCAATTATATAAATTTTGGGGTCGGCGTAATGTTTTTATCCTAGATTATTAATACTAAGTCTATGGTTGAGGAGAAAACATTATTAGTGATATGGACTTCCAGTCCTGTTGTTAGCAATATACCTTGGCAGGTCGTTCTCCACGTGGTCCCCCTCCCTGGAAACCATCGTGCTGAATTCCAGATATATTCATCGCGATGGGTTAACTGACCTGCCTTTTAATTCTCATCTATCATTCCTCACTGGTACCCCTCCAGCGTATACCGTTAGCGCAGGCGGTTGCCATTACATTATCATCCATTAGAAAAGTTTATATGTACCTAGTGACCACCATTACTAAGAATCCCTTAACCCAAATGAAATACTACTATCTGGAAATAGTAAACGGGCTGATCATTACAGTATATACTATGCAGTCAATGACGTTCCCGCTATTGAGGACTAGTGTTATGTATAATGTCAGAAACTACACATGCTATTTTTCCCATAGGATCAAAAGATAAGATTTTTTTAATATGTAAATAAAATGAATGTCGCTTATTTGTATGCTGGGGCGCTACCAGTTGGCGCTGGCAAATGACGAAAACATATCTAGACCCATGGTGACGAATTTATAAGCCACGATGGTTTTCAGGGGAACTGCGTGAGTCAATCTTATAGGATATTATTGCTAGCAATAACGCCGCTCGTCCTTATTACTACAAAAATGAAACTGTTATTATTAGCGATGTACTCTTGAAGGTGCATTCCAGTTAAACGCATAGGGTAAGTAATTAAAATAATAGAAACTTGAGGCATTTTATTGTGATTACTTAAATGAAAATATTTCATAATAGCTTATTTGTCAACAATATGCAACTTGTTTCGACTAATTTACTTTTTACATACTATTCCACAAAGGAATATCACAAAAGCTAGTTCATTTACTAGCAATTTATTTTACAGATACTACATTACAACCATTATACCATACCACACACACATTATCTGCCCAATAAATGATGCGCATAGTACTTACTGATGTGACCAACGTTTACCAAGTAGGTATTTATTAAGCATTCTGTAAGTAAATTAAAAAAATGGTCGAAATGAGTTTTAACCATGTTAAACCAAAACATTTTTAAATAATGGAGATAATAATACTCTTACAAATCTAAAGCTCGAGGTGTTATCATTTCCACAATTTTACGTTGGCAAACACGTCACATCATCAGTATTGCCTTGGTAGCCACATACCATCAGTCAAGCTGTATGCTTATTTTCCGTCGTATAAAATTTTTACACAGTATTTTATGTCTTGGATGCTGTCATTGTATAATTTCATTACGTAGGTACCTAGCTACAATATGAACGCAAGGTTTTAAAAAATGGTTATGTGCTGCAGTGAGCCGCCGACATCTAATGCAAACTTCAAATGATTCGGATGAACATGTACCTAGTAGATATTTGTAAAACATGTAATGTCGAACTAAACTTGCGTGAAATATTTTTATAAGTTTTATATAAATCTATAATAAATTATTGGTGCACCAATTACGTAAGTACCTACATAATGGATCTTTTGTCCACTTGTATATAGGTATTGTTTCATGGAAAACTGCATTTTGATACAAAACATATTTGGTAGATACCACTAACAATTATGATAAACTACAATTAGGTTCATAATTCTGTTTTTAGCAATATTATATACATAGAAATTTGTTTACATAATAAAATTGAATAATGTTACGAGTTAAACTTGACTGCCACGTCGGACATACATGCGAAAGTAAAAAAAATACCTATTTATTATCTACCTGCAAAACATTAACAAGTCAAATTAATTAAAATAGATCAAATACTGCGCCAAACCTGGACATTTCTTTCTTCGTGATACATTGACGTGACGTGACATGTGTAGATAGAATCAGTCCTTGTAAAATATACTCAAAAACCTATAATATTTAGAAATTCACTTTAAATTAAATTTGACTACACCTAGCCTATGCCACACATAAACCCTCTGAAAAATAAGAGAATTTATTTAATATTTTACTATGCTCGAAAGACCGAATTAAATAACGATTTTTAGTAAAAAACCCATTAGAATCGGTTCAACAGTTCTGATGTTACAATATCACAGACAAACAAAAACTCGTGATAGCTACAAAACTGTTTTTTTCTGTTTAGTTCAGTCGAAAGTGATAAACGAAATCATTTACATGAAAGCCTATTAACACAAAACAATATTGACGTTTATGTAACTACCTATTTGGTAAAGTTGTATTCGCAGTAATTCCGTTGTTAAATGTAAATATTCAAATAAATCTCGTCAGCACAATTATTAATATATAAGCTTTCTTTATCGGTCAGACCTATATCCTATTTGCAATAATTAATTTACATCGACGTATTTAAGATTAATTTTCCAAGAGGCTCAACCCCTTAATCAGGCGCACATTATATACTATCAAAGATGTTTGCAAATAGCTACAACCATCCCCCCCCCCCTCCCATCACCTTAAATACGCCTATGTCATGACAATTAAATAAGAAAGTTTACTAATTTAAAATATAATTTGTTGCAAAGTACAACAATTGTGTAAATTCTTTATCGCCGTAATGTTTTACATAAAAGCAATATTTTCAAAACCATATGATAATGGATATTACATGAGACATTGTATAAGATATAATAATCTAAAACCCAACGGCTATTTGTAAAATTTAAAACATCTAAAAAATCATGGATTGACTCTATCACGTGGCCGAGAAGGGTATATTACATTGATTGGTTTTTACTTACATTAAATGTGTGGTAAATAGTTTAAATTTACAAATACATACCTACAACCGTTGCATTTCAGATTGTTATACCCTTCTATTCCGCCCTGTATATATTTGGGGGTTTATGTATTATACATAATATGATCTAACATAATTCAGACATGCCTATTTGGCAAATCATAAACAGGTTCTATAAAAACGGGAAATAATAAATTAGTGCTATGAAATAACAAATTTTAGAGTTTCTGATTTTTTGTTTTAATAAATATTTTTCTTGGAATCATCAAATAAAAATCTGATGCCTATCACACAATACTTAAACCAGAAGTTCACATCATAAAATAAATACTAGATAAAATATCCTAGTCAATGAAAATTAAACTAATAATTGAATAATAACGGTGGAAAAATAACCATAAGGTAGTTGCGGCTGTCAGTCTGCCGATATAGCAGTAGGTAAGTCTATAGTACGACTTTCATTGCCAAAAATTAATCTTAAGCGTTTCATGGGGGGTAAGGGACGGATGGGACTGTGTTTTCGATGACGATCTTTCGATCGACGGCGTTTCTTTAAACGTCTTACAGTCTCAGGATCCACACCTTCCAACCGCAACACCTCATATTCAGGCACCTCTGTTGTGGCACCACAATCCATTACTTCTTCTACAACAGGACTTCTCTTAACACGTAATGTTAACTTTAAACCTCTACGTGGTGGAGTACATGGACACTCACTGCTCTTATTAGAATTATCTACCAACCAAGGTGGTGCAGTGTCCAATTCTTTTTTCGATTCTTCAGTCCGATTATTTATATCTATTTTATTTTTGTTCAATCTGCATTCCTTTGATTCACTTGGGTTTACATTTTCTCTAAAGTCATAAATTTCACTTTTAGAACATGCATTATCACTTGTACAATCATCATTGTCATCTGTCTTTTGTTCTTTAATATCAGAATTATTTGGCAGACTTTCCATTCTTCCTTCATTATGTGAACTCATTTGCTGAGATTCTTTTACATTACTTTCACTCTCTGTGTGCCCTAATTCTGTTTTAGTTATATTAAAAACATCTTCCAAAACAAAATTATCTTCTTTCTGTACATCATGTATGGGTTCAGTTTTAACAATAATATTTGTTTCTAAAGAATTAGGCAAATCAGGCTCACCTTTGGGTATTTCAAGGTTCCCTTCTTCTTTCAGTTCCGACCCATCTTTTGAAATTTGTTTCATTTTAGCACAAGTAGTTTGTGCAAAATTATCAAGACGTTTGTGACTTCTCAACACTATTCCACTATGAGAATCTCTACTACTACGTGAACTAGCAGTACTACAACATCGAGAAGGTGGTGCCCGACGTTTTGTATTACCTCTAGGTGGTATAATACCATTTGCAGTACGACCACTATCAGTCCTACGTCGTAATCTCTCACCTCGGCTTGAAGTAGAAGATTCCCTACTGCCCTGTGTTTGTTTATTGACTGCAACATCTGCAATGCAACCTTGGGCTATTAAAAGTTCAGCATCATATTTTGTCAATCCTTTCTGTTTCATTTCTTTCATACTGAGTGGAGATATTATATTAGAATTTTGTCTACCTGTCAATCGGGGTTTTTCAGAATTTTTCCCATTAATCTTTTGACTTTGTTTAGCTTTTGTTCTATTAATTCTATTATCAGTTTCTCTAAATCTGTATCTTGTAGCTTGTTCATCATTATGCGCACTTTTAACAGAAAATGCACCTTTCCCACGTCTCTCACATGTTTCACACTCACAATAACAATTACCATTTCCGAAGAAATCTTCACCATAAAAACAAGTAATCTCCTCACCAACCTCAATATCTCTCAAGACACGAACAAATGCCTTGCCACGATCAGTAGCCTCAAAAGTGCAATTTGGTCGACAATCATGATTTATATATGCTGCGGGTCCTAACCATAACTGTGCACAATTTTTTCTACAGCTGTACATAACAGAAAAATCATTTTTCCCAGTATGGAGAAGTTGTTTTTCTTCATCCTCTGTCATTTCAGCTATACAACCAACAAGAAAATCTATTCTCTCATGCTTAAAAAATTTCTTTGTTGTTGAAATTTTAGCTCCAACTCTGCCTTCTAAAGAATATCTATAGCAAGGTTCTATAACAAAGCCAGCCTTTTTATCAAAAACCCTTAAGTAACGATATATCTGAAATATAAATAACAAAACATTTTTATTATTACTAACATCTTTCATTCATTATTACAATTATGATGTACCTATACTTACATGTTCTCTAAGTTTGCTTTGTTGATGTTTATTTTTACTAAAATGTCTTGGCATCCATTCACCACTGGCTAGTTTAGAATATGCTTTATTATAATCCTGAGTCTGTACAAATTCCTTAATTATTTGCTTAAGTTCTTCCTTATTTGTTTTGATAGGTCTATAACGAATGTTCATTTTGTGTGTAGTGATATTTAAATAGGGATCCACAATAAGTGCCGTAGCCAAGTCGTCGTATTCTGAGAGCTCACGAGGGGTCATTCCCATCGGCTGCATTTTGTGGAGTACTTGCCTCCCTGGGTATGCTGCTGATCCAACAACCATTCTGAAAATACCTGTACACAAAGGACGCAAGATTTTTTTATAACGGTTAATAACAATTTTTTTCCAATTACAGAATAATTTATCTTAACTAAAATAAATATTTATTTATTAAGAGTGTCACGTAATGGTAAAACTTTAACATAATATTGACTCTCAAAGCATTTTTTACAATTTTCTATTAAATAAAAGGACAAACATGGCGGCCCAACATGAACCCAAAAAACGACACGTCAAAACTTGACATTATTTTCAATATATAGCATAAAAAACCTATCTACTATCATAAATATCAACACAGTAAAATATATAAATTCTTTATAACACTTACATAAATCATTTAATACGATTAAGAATCATGTTTAATCCGAGTAACAACTTTACTAACTACTAGCACTTCGAGACGCTAACCTGAAGTTATTTACATATATAATTACATAGCAAGTCATTTAACTTTAAATTCGCTTTTTATACTTCATTCTTAATTAGTGCAAATTAACATGGAATCAAACAGACTTCAAAATAAGTCCCAAGGAAAGCTGAAAAACAACCATGTTTTCGTGTGCTTAATTTTTTTCAGTCCGTAGATATGATTGTATTTTACTATATGGTCTGTCTACGTCGGTTGCATTTGTAAAGATAGCTATCTATTTTCTTACATATATTAAATTTTAAGTTTATGATATATAAGGTTATATTATAAATAATATAAATGTAATTTGAGTATAACAATTTATATTAAAATATCAATTGCTTTTGGAAGAAAATCATTTATTAAATACTTTACATAGTACGACAAAGATAGCAACAAAAATATATTAATTTTTCTTTCTTTGGCCTCGGCTTTTTAGGGTTGCCATTAGCCATTTCTCTTTCAAAGTCAAAGCTATAAGTATAATTTTTACACTTTTTCTTATTGCAATGTCTACATATATTCCAAAAACGAAACTCCTTTCTGTTTAAATTATATGACTTATTAGTATGATTTATATCTAAACTGGAGTTATTTGTTATAGTAACAGTATGGGAAACCTAAATAACACCAACCCTAGAGCCCTTTGGTTCTTCCATTTCATAAAATAAAAATTACCATAATCTACAGGATAATTTAATAATAAATATATATATATATATATATATATATATATATATATATATATATATATATATATATATATATATATATATATATATATATATATATATATATATATATATATAAACTACTAAAGAATACAAATATGCTAGATCTTAAACTTAGTATACCGTACTACGTATTAACAGACTGGCAATACAGTAACAAAAACGAGACGAAAATATAGTACACTTGTGTGCGTGAAATGCAAAAGGTAGCGTAGTAGCTACAAATTCTATAGTTAGATAATTAATCGATTCTGTATACAGTAAATCGAAACTCGAAAATTTCAATTTTATTTAATTACTAGCGGCCCGTCCCGGCGTCGCGTCGCACGGGTGGACATTTTTAACATTTCCCTTCACTGCTCTGCTCCTATTGATCGTAGCGTGATGAAAAGTATACTATAACCTGCCCAGGAGTATGAAGAATAATTGTACCAAGTTTCGTTAAAATCCGTCGAGTAGTTTTTGTTTCTATAACGAACATACAGACAGACAGACAAAAATTTTACTGATTGCAATTTTGGCATCAGTATCGATCACAACTTTGGATATATATTTCATGTACAGAACTGACCTCTCTACAGATTTATTATAAGAATAGATTAGTAATTTAAAGTTAATAATCATTTATTTAACTTCAGTACATATGTAATATAATAAATTGTACGAGTATGTAGTATGTACATACTATGTAATAACTGTTGTAAAATAATTACATTTTTAAAAAATTAATAACTTTGTGGTCTTTATACAATACTAGCTGACCCTGCAAACGTTGTTTTGCCATATACATTATTTCTAGAAAATAGGTGTTTTAGTTCAATCAAAAATAGCTAACACTATATGTTTTTTTTTTTTTTTTATGAGTAAAATGGTAGGCTAACCCAGCCTGCGCTAACGAGATACGCTGGCAGAGCACCAGTGAAGGGTGATAGATGAAAATGAAAACAGGCCAGTTAGCCCATCATGATGAATTCATCAGGAATTAACCATGATAGGTTCCAGGGAGAACCGCGAGGAGGTCGACATGGTTGGGTATATTTCTAGCAATGGGATTCTCAGTCTCCATTACTAACAATCCCTTTCCTCTCACTATAAGCGTGTTAGGATGTAATTATAATTAGAAGAGGAATGAAGCATTGTAGGCAATTAAAATATACTTTATTTAAGTTAGTATATTATTCAAAATAACAAATACATATTAAACTACATTTCTTGATAGCTATTTATACATCGATAATAGTTTTATTTTTTATTTTACTACTAATAATTAAAAAATTAAGAAAGAATAATCTCTCAGCGAGACAGTTTCCTCACGCGAGAACATGCCCCATGTAGTTGTCCGTGGGAAAAGCATGGTATACCCAAATCTAAGCCACAAACAGACAACGTTTGGCCTTGTGACTTATTGATTGTCATTCTATTTGGGAATCTAATTGGAAATTGAATGAATAGGAATCATAGGGATTTGTGGTAGCAATACATTTTCCACTTGCCATTCAAAATGCTGGCTTCGATAAACGTTTTTCATTATCTGCATTGTTTTGTCGAATTTGTTGATCAGATCTTTGTGTTCTTCTATCTTGCATGACTCTAAATTTGATTGTTCGACGACTTTGCATCTTGCTGGTATTCGATACACAATCCACGTCAAGTGCGCGATTGGAATCCTTGCCACCCATAAAGTAAAAATTTAAGAAATTTTCTTAGCATTGGCAACAATAAGCCCATTTTGTAATAAACTTGGCTTTTGATTTGGAACGTAGAATTAAATTTTTGACCGTTTGCAGCAATATTTTCAGTTAGTATTGTTGCTCTGAAAGACGTCATTTGAAAACATGAATTGAATGTGCTAATTAACTTTAGGAACATGATAGAATCTGGATCCGTACCGATAAATAAGCCATGAAATGATTCTACTAGTGCTTCAATTTCCGTTAGTTGCACTTTCCTGATGAGCAACACATCTCGACTGGCTTTAAATTTAAATGCATGACAGTGCGGCCATGCCTTGTCCATAGTACCAATGACCACTTAATAGCAACTTAAAAGATAAAATTTGCACTGAAAAGTTAAAATGATATGATGACGTATAACAGTCTTTGGGATCGAGACACATATAAAACACAAAAAAAATAGACGAAAACTGTAAGAATAAAAGTGAGAAAAAGTAGGCCGGTTTCGTTCTCATCCCTACTACGTGATGTAACTGATCGATTGGTAGTTGATCAGTTATCGACCGGTAGGAGTTGATGATTAATTTAAATTTAGAAAAAAGATATAATTAAAGTAAATTATAATTATAAACTATACATAATAATTTCTCGTACTACAATTATTATATTCTATTGCCATCTTGCAACCCTATTTTGGAAAATAAAAATCGCGATTAAAAAACAGAGGTTGATCGTTAAAGGGTAAAAATTTGAAATTGTATGTATTTTTCAATGCTAAATCATAAAAATAATAAAAATAAAAAAATTTTCAAAAAAATTAAAATTTAAGGGTGGGTCACACTTATCATTGCGGGCTATGAAAAAATAGATATTGACCGATTCTCAGACCTACCCAATATGCACACAAAATTTCATAAAAATCAGTTAAGTCCTTTCGGAGAAGTTTGGTAACAAACACCGCGACACAAGAATTTTATATATTAGATAATAGTCTGTTACCTTTGTCAATTTGTTGAATCGATACAATCGAGAATTTGAAATTAAAATTTGTAGATATAATGGGTATTTGTTATTATTTTCATTTGAATACTTGAGCCTTAGAAATATTAACTTATAAGGCTCAAATTAAATGTGATAATTTTCTCTGTCGATTCATATGCAAAATATTTGTTATGGTTCTAAATATTGCATTTAAAATGTTGTTCACATAAAACATGAAATTGTGTTTTCTCTATTTATTACATTCAGATAAAGCACTCTTAATTATTATAACTAACTACATTTACTTGAAAGTATTATTTTTATGTGTTGAAATGAAATTACCACTTCAATACGTAAAAATAATTGGGATTGAATTATTTCGTTCATTCTCTCGTCAAAACAGCTTATAGCCTATGTTGTGAAAATTATTATCCTATTTTTTCTCTCACTCAGATTATACAGATTATTATATTTTCTATCTCGTGCATTGCAATCTGTATACTTTATAATTTAAGTGCTAGATATACTCAGCTGATTGATTTAGAAAAAATCTCATCTTAACTCTATCTCTTTGAATCTTTTTATTTTTATTTTAGTAACGGTCTAGCGCAAGCCTGCTAAATCATCTACCATCGATAACAGTAGATGCAATGAGCATTATAATACGGATTTTACTTTCTATCCATACTTTAATTTAATATTTTTGTAACGATGTTTATATTGATATCATTAACTCTAATAAACATAGGTAAGCATCTCTATCTTTGCTTTATACTCCTTGGTCTGTGAATGGAATTGCACGATTATGGCAACACTTTTTAGAGTTTGCTTTTCGTAAAGATACATGCTTCAATTCAAATCACAGATAAGATAAATTATTATTTAAATACTTCAGAGATAAATTGTTTGGTTTTTCTATTGTAATGAATTTTTTATCATAACCTAACAGTGAGACATTTTTATATTGACTAATATAAATTTTAGTAAATAGAATTAAGTTTTGAATTTTGATATTAATTGCAATAAAGTGTGATAACTATTCAATAGTTTATTTGTATGTAGGTGCTTATTCGAAAAAAGTAAGGTAAATTTTATCCAAAATTTATAAATTATGTAAAAGTAACACATTGAAATATATATGTTTTTATTTTTTATATATCAATTATTTTTATATATCAGTAGACAATGGATGCTACTTATTTTAGTGGCATCCTTAAAATATTAATTTTATATTAAAAAAAAATTATAAGTTTAAATTGTAAGTTTTACTTAATTATTTATCTAGTCTCATTCACAGAAGCCGTATTTCCACTGAAAAATATATTTTTTATTTTGATAACAGGAGCTAGCCTAAATAAAAAGATACCTGAATAGGTATAAAATATAAAACTGGACATTTCAGAGTTGTATACTTTGGAGGACGGATCTTATGTAAGTTCTTATCTAAAACCTTATATACTTCAAGATTTTGAAATAGTATAATAAATCTAAAATAATTCATCAAACAATTAATGGAAAGGACTCTCTCATATCATGCATTTCCACATCCTGGCTGATAAAAAATTCTCTTAACAAGTGTATACATTCTGTTTTCCTTTTATATTATAACAATATAATTATACAGTATAACTTACTACAATGAACTATAAATATCTATTATTTTTATCATCTCTAAAACTACGTTACTATGGAGCAAAATTTGCTTGTGGTGTTATGCAATATCTTCATCAATTATATATTAATTTTGATGATTTTTTAAGATCTCATTAGAGCACTATGTAGAATGATTTTTAACTTCAAAATTAATTAATATACTTAATATGTTATTTTATCTTATTTAAGAATACATATTAAATATGGCTCACTCTGCTAATACATCTGGAAACTTGAAGAATGGTATCATTGACTTCACTGCGGGTTCTTTAGGTAAATTTCAGTATTACTATTATTTGTTGCATATAGAAATAAAACTGGTCAAATGTGAGATTAACTCACATGCTGAGCATTCTGTATATAAAAGAATCTGTAAATAGGTCTATGTTGTGAGATTTTTAGTAATGTGTAAAAAATATAGAGTCATAATCTATTAGAAATTTTAAAGAAATATTTAAGTGGTATCACTATTGCCATGCTGCAATGCATGCATGCAATCTCAATTTATGCCTAAACAGTTTCTTTTAAATGTTATTTATTAATAATGTGTTGACAGGTGGTGTTGCAGTTGTGTATGTTGGTCAACCTTTAGATACTGTAAAAGTAAAAATGCAAACATTCCCACATCTCTATACAGGAATGTATAACTGTTTGAAACAAACTCTTAGAAGTGATGGTGTAATACGTGGTTTATATGCAGGCACAACTCCTGCCATCTTGGCCAATGTTGCTGAAAACTCAGTTTTGTTTGCTGCCTATGGTTACTGCCAGAAGTTTGTGTGTGCAGTAACAGGAACACAGGTTATTGTTTAACAAACTTTAATAATACATTATCTTTCCATTTCTTTCATTATGTAAATAAAAGTATGTTTTAGAGTGTAGAGCAGCTCTCAGCATTGGGTAATGCATCGGCAGGTTTCCTTGCCGCATTCTTCTCATCATTCACATTGTGCCCGACAGAACTGATCAAATGTCAATTGCAAGCGATGAGGGAGGTCAACGTGCAAGGCTCACAGACAGCTGTAAAGTTAAATTGTTTTTATTAATTCTCAGTAGAATAAGCTGTATAGTTATAGTATTTAACTTGCTATGCTGCTTTTTCTAGACATACAGTACGTATATTTATAAAACAATCTGATATTACTCATTTAATAATAGAACTGGTAAGAAATAATAAATATCAACAATATATTGGTAATCAATTACATATAAAGACCTTTTAGTTAATGAACATGTTATTATTTTGTCAAATAAGGAAAAACAAGATGAAGTATATGGATTTTGATTATAATACATCATCGCATAGTCTTTTGCCAATGAAAATTTTAGTCAATAGTATATAATATATATGTAGTATATAACTAGTATACAATAACATTAAAAAAAATACCTTTATGTTTCATGTCTATATTGATAAGTGTGAAATCATATGTTCACTACTAATTTTATATATATTCTTTATTGCACTAAAACATACGATAACAACAATAAGTTAATAACAATGTCAGCAAAGACGAACTTATCTCTAAAAGAGATTTCTTCCAGTCAACCTAACACAGTAGCATAAGAAGTAGTGAATGGGCAGTAGTATTATATGTATTTGAAATACATCATTGACTTAACAAAATGAGGATATCTGCTGAAGAACTAAAGTGACTGACAAACCTGAAAGATAAGCAAATCGAAGTAACAAAGGGTTGGTCAAATAACTCAAATAACTAACGACTGATAGGAAAGTCCTGAGTGGCGTAAATGATGACGTGTAATGCATGGCAGAGAGTCAATAGATGCTGGTGGTTAGGAATCGTTTCTTATGGCAGCCTATGTTCAGTAATAAACAGTTAATGACTGATATGATGACGATGACAATTGACTCATCACGAATGCGTTATGATAATTATGCATACTCGAGTTCAAAATCTTGTTGTAATTTATGTAAAAGTCTCAAAAACATCAATTCTTCAAATCATAAACATATAAATATTGACTTTATTCTCAATAGAATGTAAATATCATTACGCTTCCTTCTTTATCGGAGATGCAAAGAAAATCAAATAATTATATCTTCTGAACTAGAACTCGACATGATATTAAACTCGCTTGCCCTGAATAAAATTACGCTTTGCATGAATTAGTGATTTAAAGACATAACAGCCACTAAATTGCATATTTAATGCTATTATCGTAAACAAAAATTGTAATTCGATAGACAAGAGTAAAATTATAAAAGTTACGAATTCAAAATTGATATCTAAAACTATTGTGTGTCTCTAAATTAAAAGAACATAATTTGCTTATCACTTGTTTGTATATAATATTAATTATCAACATATACCAATCGTTTCATGTAATATCGTCATTAGTAACTATGTTTTATTATGTATATAATATATCTTATTAATTCATTATGTCTATATTTTCACAGATTAAAGTGACGCCCTTACAGTTAACACAACAAATTTTTAGACAATATGGAATACAAGGACTGTTTAGAGGTCTTGTACCGACAATCATGAGGGAAATGCCAGGATATTTTTTCTTTTTTGGAGGATATGAAGGTAATTACAACCATCCATTAACCCTAGACCACTAACCTTCCAGAGTACCCTATTAAAACTAACCATTCGTCGTTTGTGTTTTTAACGTGGTATTTTTAGGTGAATTATGCTGATTTTTATCTAAATTCTTCTGAACAATTAAATAACATAGACATTTTTTAAAGTAATGAGAAATATTTATAAATCATTTTTATAAGGCCGTGTTTTTCATGTCAAAAAAACGTTATAAAATTATTATTTAAACAAAAAAAAATATCTTCTCTTAAGTACTTATAGCGAGATCGTAATATAAAAAAATATATAAAAGCTATTTTTTGTCTGCGCAATAGGATCAATCTTATGTTCATTAATGGGGAGCAAATGGATTAACAGCTCTATTGGTAGCAATATCTACCTTTTTCTTATATTATGACCTGTTGATACAGACTCATTTCTCGACGTCCACGCAGTTCCCACCTTCAACATCACCAATCTTACATTTTGTATTTTCGTTTTTGTATGTTTGTGGGCTTTGCATGTGTTTCATCCATCACTATTGGGAATGCAATTCTTTCATATAATTACAACGGCTCATTATCTTTTGTACCAGAGTTACCATATGAATTATGTAGCTATTGATACAAGCAATTTCAAAATCACAAGTTAAACAAGTCATCACCGAACACATCTGGTCAAATCTTCATTTATATTATAAATTTGGCTTATGTGTCTCGAGATTTGTATTTTTCGCGCGTATGTATGTTTGTAATGAATAAACCATCAAAAAACTACTTTGCCTAATCTTTCAGAATTTCTCTTTTATTGGATCTTGTACCCACAATTGTCAGTCTATAAGGCTCCAGAAGTAATTGTTTCGCCAAGGGTTAGAAGCTTATCATTCACGTTTCTGTTCGTAACATAGATGCTATATTTATTTCTCCCAAAGCAAGAAAAGATATGGAGCACAGTCGATCATATATATATATATATATATATATATATACATCTCCCACAGGCCAACAGTTGCTCATCAATTGTGACGTTGCTTCCTAGTTATCTCGACACTTAGTTATGAGTTTCCCATTCTCTCTTATCGTGTAAAAATCATCTTTCTGTCGAATCGAAACGTTTTGTCGTATCGAAGACATCGCAAAAGTAACAAATCGTAACATGCGTATCTTGTACCAGAATACTCAGTGTTGAAGAGTTCTTCGAAAAATGGTTGTCTTTGAGAGCTGCAGTCAAAACTAGAATGCCGATAAGCCTTCGTTACACGTATTATTCTGCGTGGAAGATAATTGGTCATAGTTTTCTTTTTTGACACCAATTTCTTCATTCGTCCACTTCACTATGATGTCCACTATCTCATCTGTAAAGAACTGGCTGAACAACACCAGTGCTTAACAGCTCGAGTTTTCTAGGATTAATCGGCGCTCTGCAGAACGTCCTTTGCTGGTGGCCCAAACATTTTTTACCACGTTTACTTTGTGTCATGTCCGTTAATGTGGACCTAAATCAAGTGGTGTTTGTGACGTCGATCGGAGAATGTTTATGTTATTTCGAACGACGAGTAATCACCGATTAAATCATTATCTTCATTTTCAGCATAATTCACTCTCTGAATAGCATCAGTTATCTTCTTCCGATAGTGGTCTTTTGCATCACAAAGAAAACTGCGAAATAAAATTTGTTTAAATATGAAAAGTGACACAAACACTAACCATTCGTCGAAACGACGACTAAATATTGAATATCTCAAAAACTTTAAAACTTCACACAACCGTTTCTAAAGAGCGAGAGGCACTGTTGACAAGTCGCGACACGATCACTGGCGCCCGCTTTAAAAAGAGATGCATTGGAACGCGATTTGACGAGTGCTGTTTTGTGTGGAGTTCGATTTTCATAAAAAGACATAGATTTTTTTTTTATGTGCCAAATCTTATACCGTGTTTTTCGATAAATTTATTATTATATCTCCGTTGCGCGGGAGAATAGTTGATTAATGTCCTCTATTGGTAGCGATATACCCAATCCGACCTCCACGGTTTATCTATCACTATAAGCTAACTGACCTGCATTCATTTTCAGCCATCATCCTTCAGTGGTACCCCGCCAGCGTATATCGATAAGACAGGCGAGATTACAATTCCATTATCGCCCATTAAAAAACCTGTCACGTCACGTCATCATGATGAATTCGTTAAAAATTAATGACCATGTTTTCCAGGAAAGACCGCGTGAACGTCAACTTGATAGAGTATATTTCTAGCAATGGGGTTTTCACATCTCTTTACTAACAATCCTTTCCTCCCATAATAGGCCTACGAGTATTACCACTTATCGCGCGATAGTTTTATTTTGTTCTGCTTCCCTGGTATTGTTTTGATGATGGTGCTATTTAACACTTACAACTGTCACCATGTACGAAGTATAATATCAAAGTTATCTATGAATTTATGCCCAATTTCAAAATCACAAGCAAATGAGAGACTTGATATACATACATACTCACTAATATTACTACATTTTCACTAATATTATAAAGAGGAAAGATTTGTATTTTTGTATGTATTTTTGTAATGAATAAACTCAAAAACTACTTTGCCAATTTCAAAATTTATTGCTAATTGTCAATAATTGTCAATATTTATTGCTAGAAAAGATTAGGGATCCTTACTAAAACTTTAGTAACGTAACTCAAGGTGTAAAAAATGCTATAAAATATCTTTCGTCGTGTGCGCTGTATTGGTAATAGAACAAAAGTTTAATTCAAAAAAGAGTATATTCCTTTTTAAAAGGCTGCAATGCTGCTGGTGTTGTGGGTGATCATGGGCGGCGGTAGTCACTTACCATCAGGTGAGCTGCATGCTCGTTTGCCCCCTGTGTTGTATATATATATATATATATATATATATATATATATATATATATATATATATATATATATATATATATATATATATATATATATATATATATATATATATATATATATATATATATATACATATATACTATATATATATATATATATATATATATATATATATATATATATATATATATATATATATATACATATATACGTATATATATATATATATATATATATATATATATTATATATATATATATATAGGTGCTTTCAAAGCAAAAAAAATACTATACCTACTGATTTATACAGGCGAAGCCACGAAATATAGCTAGTTCTAAATAAATTAGCAAGTTTTGTATATGGAATCAAACCAATTACCTACTTATATCCTTTCGTAATAAGCCGAATATTATATATAAGTGACTGCGTAACTTGGCGTAATCGTAATTTGTTTTGATAATATTCACAGGTACAAGAAGCTTACTTACTAAACCAGGCCAATCAAAAGATGACATAGGTTTTGTAAAGACGATGATCTCTGGAGCCGTCGGTGGATTGGTTCTATGGACTGTTATATTTCCCTCTGATGTAATTAAATCTCGAGTACAGATATCAAATCAAAGTCAAAAGTTTTTAACAGTCGGCTATGAAATAGTTAAAAAAGAAGGTTTGTATAATTCTTATCAATTATATAAATGTGAAAGTGCATATGAGATACGATCTCATGGCTTTTAACAGCATTCGTGGTATTTGAAATGGAAAAGGATAGAATCTGCTTTTATCTCGTTCAATAAGTTTATTCTAGTCACAGGGACAAAGTCTCGGGCTAAAATAAGTATCTCAAGAGGGCACTCAATGGTAGGAAACGGTCATATTTATAATAGGTCATAAAATATTATAGGGTCATAAAAGGACGTAGGAATTTTTTTTTATGGTACCCACATTAAAAAACAAGTTGACTGTTCACCTGATTTATGCACTGTTTCCAAATTTCGCCACTGCTTAAGATTTTTTAAGAGACTCAATGTCGTTGTGTCGTTTAGAGCAGCATGCCGTCTAAAATTGACCATAATTTGAAGTCTAAAGGGTTGAGGTCTGGGCTAGATGAGAGCCAGTCTTCAGCTCTTATAAAGTCCGGAACGTTGGTTTTAAGCCAGGCTTGGATAGTTCGTGCCTTGTGACCAGGTGCATAGCCCTGCTGGAAAATCCACAGTATATCTTTAAAAAGTGTATTGCTGAGAAGTTTCACAACACGATCCAAGACTGTATCTTGATACACTTTGACTGAAGTTTTCACTCCTTTTTCACAAAAATGTAGTTTTGTGACTCCTTGATAAGATATGCCCCACCAAACCATCACTGACGCAGGATGCTTTAAAACTGAGAGCGTATACTTTATCATTTTGCTTATTGTAGTGTTCTTCAATTGTGAAAGTTTTTTCATCTGTAAAGAGGATATTTCTGTAACTTTCACCTTTGATCGATCGACTCTATTTAAATGTAAAGATTGATTTAGGGCATGTCCTGTATATCGACGATAAGCACCGAGCTTTAGATCTTGTTTTATAATATGTTAAATAATGTGACAGAGTCCTAGCGGGAAACTTCATTTCTATATTTTTTGGTTCCTAATGGGGTTTCGACGAATTCTGGCTTTAACAGCATTGACAACCTTTGTTGTTCTAACAGCACGCGGCCGCCCCAATCTTTTCTGGCCTTCGACGAAGGAAGTGTTGTTGTATCTGTTGATAGTACGATATACGAACATACGGCTGATACCAAGCTTTTGAAGTGTCTGCAATATGACCAGCGAGTCCATACCCACTTTGTTCAAGGCGATTACTGCAATCCTATTTTCTTTAACACCCCATTCCATATTGTAATTTGATAATGAACAAGAAAAAATATGTGAAATGGCGCGAAATCCAAAGTTTTTAAAATTATAAACGTATTCCCTTATTCAAAATAATTAAAAAGTTGAAATAAAGAAAAGTTTTTATGTAAGAGTATTTATGGCCAGACTAGTTACTTCCAAACCCATTCTACTGCCGTATCATGTATTTCAAATCGAAACAGTAGTTATTTTTTTTTAAGTTTAATATTAATTTTTTAATTAGTTAGGATCTTTTAAGTGTATATATGAGCTGATTTCTCAAATATTTCCATTGTTTTCAGGCATACTAGCGTTGTATAACGGACTTAAGCCCACTCTAGTTAGAACCATACCAGCAACTGCCGTTTTATTTGTTGTATACGAATATTCAAAAAAATTTATGCACAACACGTTTGGTGACTAAACTATCAATAGTTAAAATCGTTGTTATTTTATTGTTACTGTTGTAATTAATATTGAATATTATAATAAAAACTGTTACAATTGTATACCCAGAAACTTTTTTATTTATCTGTACATTACATGGAAACTGCTGAAAAAGTTTTCATATAATTTTAACTACCTATTAGGTACTTAATTATTTTTTCAGATTTAGATTTAAGACGATTTATTCAATTTTTAAAACACTAAATTGACTGCTCTTATGATGGAGGTGGAAAATTATTATTGGAACTTTGTAATAAAATAACCCCATCAAATTTATGTTAATCAATAGTTGATTAGCATATAATATCAAAGAAATAAAATCACTGAATCTAGTTCCCATGATTAACCAGAACAAAGTGTCCTAGCGCCACTGTACGAGAAGATCCGATTCCAGATAGCGCTAGAATTAAGGGTTGGAAGAAATTGGTTAGTATAATTGTATTATATACGCATTTTGAAATTTCTCACAATATGATTTTACATCTAAAAACAAGGATCTTTTTGAACGTAAATTATTAACAAAATATACAGTCTAAATAGCCAGCGAAAGTAAATATGTACCACATCCTATTATTGTGACGCAACGATATCCAGTTCTTACTCTATTATCTATACATTATTGACCCGTAAATAGATTACAGACCCAAATCTGCTTCCAATGCTGTCATTATTTATATGAAGCGATAACAGTTATCGTTTTACCAGATAAAACATTTTGTTATTTTCTAACTTAACTATGTTTAGAAATGCATTTGTTTTCATTGATTTATTGTATTCTAATGTACCTACTTACACTAGATGCGCTTACAGATTCATTTATTAGTAAATTTTTACTCGCCTGCATTTACATCCGTTTTTTATACGTCACCTAAGAGTATTTTCAAGTAAAGTGTCTTTGATGTATTTTTTGAGTGAAAACGGAATGATACCATAAGCCGATAGCGATAGCGGGGTGCTTCTGCTGTCGGATTACGCTGTGCTAATAAGGATGCGGTCAGATCATTTTTGCCATCATTAGAAATGGGGTTGACGACTAATTGTCTTCATTTCTATCAGTCTCTGACCCATCGTGATATAGGTAGGCTATATAACATACTATATAGAACACATTGGAAACCCAGGAATCTTGAATCGGGAATAATGGGCCAATTGATCTGACTTAATTCTTACCTAATAACATTTATTGTTAGTAATGGGAATCTAACAGCCCTATATAATGCTAGCAGATATACCCTGTCAGGTTGATTTTCACACGGTTCCCTCTGAAAATCATTTTAGTTAATTCTCTATGAAATCTTCACCATGGGCTGACTGACCTGCTTTCATTTTCACTTATCATATCTTACAGAGGGGGTATCGTATACCAATAACACAGGCGGAATTACCATTCCATTATCATACTTTAAAAAAATAAAGTTACGTAGGTATATTATAACTGTCAAAGTAAATTAGAAATTTATGTTTTGATTTGTCTTGTAAGAGGTATAGGAGGATATTCCAATATTTATAAGTCGATTCGATTTTTTTACAATACAAATGGAAACAAAGTACACTAAACTAGGTTAGTATTATTATCATCTATGGTATCGTTGCTTGTTGTAACCCTTGGTTATACACGTAATTTATTCGAAGTTTAAATTCGTGTGACTAGCACTGTCAAATTTCTATTTCTATTTATTTCTGTTCCAATTCTGTGATAATCATTAAAACATTTTATTATGTCGTCTGACGATTGCCAAATACAGAATATATATCGATACTCTAGAAAGACGTTAAAAAAGAATCGCAGAGCACAAGAACACGAATTACACAGTCCAAGGGAAAATTTGAATGTTGAAATGAATGAGAGATCTCCGAGAAGTGATCTAAGAAACGATGATTTCGTGTACTCGTCTCCTGGTTGCAGTTGCGAAGTGGACCAAGAAGCAGACGCGGCTAATATTTTGCATAAAAAGTGCCCTGTTATAAATTTAGCTCAACAGCAACTTCAAAGGCTTCTAGATGAAACTGATAAATTACTTAGTGATAATCCAAGGTGTAGCAGGTATCTAATTTTTACCAGCATATTCTAAGACCCATATTTTTAATATATATACCAAATAAAAAAGAGAACGAACTATATGTTCATTATTTTAAAATGTTAATATGAGAAATTGTTTAAAATGAAAATGCTGGTCTAAATAGGGGAAAGAATATTAATTTTTTTATGCAACTTAGAATGACAAACAAGCTGCCGGCCTACTTAATAGAAAGTGATAACTGTCGCCTATAGATATGAAATATAACAGACAATATCGTTGTGTCAGATGAAAGTATACTTTTCATGCGTTACCTTTCCTAAGAACTAAGGAACTTACTATGATAGTTGAAATATATAATAAACATTCTGTTAAACATATACGAATACTAATTACATTGTAACTCGACAACGTTTGTACGTATTTAGGAAAAAATTATACGATTGAAAATCCAAACATTAATTTTAAAAAAAAAAAAATCTCTGTATGTTTGGTGACGTAACAAAAATTACTACACCAAATTTAATGTGCATTTCACAGTTGTACTCTTGAAGATTTAACTTATATTCCGAAATCCGCGTGTACGGATAGATAGAATACTTATTTATTCATTGTATGTTTTCAGGCCATTGCATGATTTTCTGTACTCTTGTAAAGAGTTACTTTTGAAACAGAACAAGTATATACTATTGGTATTAATCGCTGTAGCTTTTATTTTTGGCATATTGTTGGGTGCTGCTACCTGTGGCTCGTACCTTGGACGATATAACAGTCCCATTTTAACATGTATAGATAACTTTTTTATTTCGGAAACATATCCGATAGGTTATGATAATTTTCTTAGTATTGTATAATTTTTCGCTTTGTTAATCGTTATTTTAAATACCTAAATACATACTTTTAAGCACTTACCGCCTAATTTAATCTATTAACATGAATTTGAATTATCTAAAACGGCCCTGTAGTTTTATTTATTTAAGGTAGTGTAACTAATAAATGAACACTGGATCGCTTTTCTGTAGGTCTTACTTGTTGTCGACTGTTGGTCCATAACTTTTGTTATAATTATCAAATATACCTATTTCAGAATTTACTCATATTTAAAACTCCATAGTTTCGCATGTCTAAACTACTATAAAAAAGTAATTTGTTAAAAATATGCGATTCTGCCTTATAGATGAACACTATATCTACTTTAATTATAAACATTTTGTACCCAATTATTGAACTAACATTTTGATAGAGTTATATGCGTATTTTAACCCTTAATCAGGCCCCATGTGCACTGGCATTAAAACATATTTTTAAATATGGTGTGTTCTTAATTTTACCTGTACAATGTATACGTAAGATCTGTTTCTTAAAAAATATTAAAATTAAGACAAAAAAAAAAGTGGTCGTATTATGCACTATGCCTGTCAAGGAGCTCTCTGTCGTTTTATAATTTGTTTCCATTATCCCTATTTTTTAATCAATGATTAAATTATTTTTTTACGCTACTAGATTTTTAGAATGTTATTTTTGTTAAAAAAAAAAAAAAAAGTTGAATGTTATTTTTATTATAAAAGACCTAATAATTTACAATTATATTTTTATTTCAAAATCATCTCTTATATGATGGAAACAGTGTCCATATCATACTACCGCCAGACGGGTATAGGGCATATAATGACCACTTTCTTTGAATAATGATTTCCCAAAATGAATTGTTTAGTAAAAAATGTTTAACTTCATACGAAAGGTACAAATATTGTTAATCAAATAAAGGTTTTATGAATTAAAAAAAAAAGACAAATATCACTATAAAACTCCAATTACCTAGGTGGTCGAGAAATCGTATAATGCCTGATTAAGGGTAAGCGAGGCGGGGTGATCTGAGTCCACACCAGAATAGCCTGGTGCCCAGCCTACGATCCGAGAGATGTTTCACAAAAACTTTTAAGAGTACATACATATATGTATTTTTTAAAGGGCCAGGCCCACCTTGGAAAATATTTTTATTTACGCCAATAGAGGAACTAATCGATTTAAAGTTTCGAAACTATTAATAATAGGTACACATCTCCAAATAGAATGTACATTATTTTTAAGAAAAGTTTAATAATGTATTCCTCAGCTTCAATATTGTATTTTTTTTGAACCAACTTAAAATCAATGCATTGGCGGGGATTAATGAGTAGACCTGCGCCGACCCCCGGCGGTACCTGAGTGCGAAAGCTATGAAGCGCCTTTTTTTACGAATTCTTTTTTAACGTTTTTTTTTTTTTTATTTATTTATTATTGAACGAAATAAATGTTATTCATAAAATAAATAAATTAATTAATATTTCTCAACAATCCAACTTTGTCGTCTAATCCCAAGCTAAGCAAGGCTTGTATTATGAGTAAGTACTAGACCACCAACTGACGTACAAGTGATGTGTATAGCATTTTGAATTTGGTATACTATTTATATATATTGTTTTGCAAATATATACCTACAACATATTATACACAAACACAAAGGTTTTTTCCAATGCAACTTGTGGGAATCGAACCCATGACCTCTGGCAACAGTTACTTGTATAAAACAGTCATATCATCGTATCTGCTACATCAAAATCGGTTCAGACGTTTTGATGAATAAAGATTTTTTTTATATTACAAACAGTTATATTTATTTGTATAAAAAATTACATAAAAAGCACATACCACTACTATTATTAAATCAGATTTAATAACTCCTTCATCGATAAAATTCCTAGTTACCGTCTCTAATGATTCTGTGGAAGTTGATTGTAGAGCTGTAAAATATTTACTTACTTTTTTGAATTTTTATCACGTTCTTCTTATTTTCTTTTTCTTCTTATTGAATAATAAATTATCTTTGATAAATCATTGCTCAATTGTTTTGTTTTGGCTTTCTCGGTCATTAAAATCCCACGTGAACCCATCTCGCTAGCATCGCATCAGGTTGCGTTCATAAACTCGCTCAAATTAACGACTTTTAATTTTAACGCCGAGCTCGTAATTAAACTAAAACCTAAAGCGAAAAATTAAACCACAAACGTGATTATCTTGGGAGACTTGTAGTATAAGTGCAAAATTTTGTTCTTTACAAGGCACGTGTTGCGCCTATTGTACCTACTTACTTATCAATACTCCATTAAAAAGAATGTGTTGTTGTCTAAGTGTAACAAAAATAATTTCGGTGGCAGCGCCCCTATTGTCTTGGTCCTGCCAGTGAGTGATCCATCTATCAGATAAAGATGAAATGTGGTTAGCTGGCCCAACATGACCAATTAACCGGAAATTAATCACAATAGATTTTAAGGGGAACCACGTGGAGGTTTACCTGATATATTATTAGCAATGAAGTTATTAAACCCCATTACTAACAATTCCTTTCTCATCCCTTCAATAAACCATATTTATAAATAAATTTATGAGAAAGGTTTATAGGTATAATGGTCGCTATATAAGATTTGTTTCATCTGAACTGATTTTTCGTCAGTTTTCCAGTACCATCACTATTTAGTTTGTACTTATGCACCTTTATAACTACTTACCTACTGTCTTATCTAGACTATTTGTAAAATTTTGTAAAGATGTTTGTTAATAAAACAACAACAGCAGATTCGAATTACATTTGGTACATAGGTAGGTTATATCCTAACACATAGGATACCTTATTCCTAATAATGATTCCAAACTCGCACAGTCATTTTCAAGTAATGACGAATTTATGTTGAGAAATAAATTTTATTCGTCATATACGAAATTTGTTTCGTAATGGAATATATTTGCAAGATTAGTTCCTATACAATTTTTTGATATGAAAAAGAAAGTTCTCTTAAATGTGAGATTTATAATTTTATAAAATTAATCTCATGTACCTAATTAAAATTAAGTATTGAAAAGGTGAAAGTATATTTTCTGACAGGGTTTCCCTAGAAAGTACAGCAATAGGTTCTTCAACGATTGTGAAATAAAGTTTTAAAACACATGTAACACACCTAATGTCACATGCATCTCCCTCGTCATAATCAGTAGAGATTATGATCATTAGATGGGCTTTAAGATTGTTTGCCACTATTTTAGTAAGTATAATAAGAAATAAAGATTTTAAATCTCTAATCATTTGTGCAATATTTTCCATATACAATCAAAATTAAAATCTGAAATGCTAACAGTTTTCTTTGAAAAAGTGATCAATTAATTTCTAAAAGATTTCAATTTCCACTTTCACAGATGTGACATGCATATTTTATTTGCAACACAGAAGGAATGGAAGGTTTAGGATGTGGTTGGGGTAAGATTATTTAAATACCTACTGTTGGTTCTATTGGAATGTCCTTTATTTTACTATCAAATGGGAACCCGAAAAACAAGAATATTTATTACAATAACTACTTTATTAGAACTCAAAGCTATGATGAATGATTTTTACATGAAATTAAGTAAAATGCACTAACGATGTTTAAATGATAATAATATGATAATGAGAGCAAACCATTTTAATAGGCATTCCGCCATGAAAAGTTATCATTTGAATCATATGAAGTAGTGTTCAATAAATTAATTGAAAGATTTTAACATCATACTTATTCTAAAGACACACTTCATGTTTAGATATAATTAACCTTTAATTGATAAGTATCTGCCCGGTCAATGAACCTTAAGATAGTATGTTATTGTTGTCAAACATATGAGTTTGAAATATGAAAAATTTATACATTCTGTTCTTTCTTCTACTTTTGTAATGTTCTCCCCATAATCTTGTTTACATATAATATCTCCAAAATATTAAGTAAGTCCTTGTGTTTTTACTTTGTTAGACTCTATGCCATACAATAATCAAAATGTTTGTTTGAAAAATATTAGAAATGTTAAGTTAAGAACAGTCATGAAAATAATGTTTGTTCAGATCCAATTCTTACAATTTCTACAAATCATACAAACTTATTTTCGAATGTTACCTCTGTGTAAAACCTTTCGCTTTTAGAATATAAAGATGGATATGGTGCCTTACTATTATTATTGTTAATATTTAAATACAATACTTGAAAACTCAAATTTACAACACTCCATTAAAACAAATTATTCAATACAACCTAAAAAATTATCTCTAACACTTTATCAATTTATACTCTTAAACATACCTGTAAATATAAATATATAGTAAACAGAAATAACTGCTTTACAACACATGAAAATGTCTTCTTTAAATAAAAACATATCACCTGTGATTTTAGTCGGCTAGTGTCTCAAAATATAAATTAAATCTACAATGCTTTAATTTAGTATCATGAAAAAGTTAACGATAAAAAAATAAAAGGGATTACTTTTCTTCACACCATTCATTTTCTTTGCGCACCTGATCCTCTTCAGTAGCTGTAAAATCATTTTTAATGTTGAAGGTTTTTCGAATTTCTTCTGGAGTTTTACCTTTAATCATATTAGCTACTGTCTTACAAGTAACATCCAAGAGCCCTTTAATATCTAAATAATTTGCAGCTAGGATAAGTTCAAAGAGGGTGCCCTGATCTACTTTTAAGAAATCAGCATCCCAAGACGAAATGTCATCTGTTCTTTTCTCTTTGTTTTCGTCATCCTCAGGTAATGGCGGATCATCTTTATGATAAGTCGCCCACTGAATGACTTTCTTGAGAATAGCAGAATTGACGTTGGGCAGAGGAACAACTTCCTCCTCCTCATCATCCATGCCGAGATCTTCTAACATCGTTTTGATGGTTACTGAACATTTTGCTATTTCCACATCGACTGCAAATACTTCATTGTCCGACGACTGCAATTTAATATTCGGCATCTAAAATCAACAATACATATAAAAATTAGACGCCATCTTCTAATTATAGTATTTTTAGTAAACTGCAGCGTTAAAATGGGATATAAAATATTAGATCTTACCTTAAGTATATTTATTAGATATAACTGGTATTATTCAATATTTATTTCTAGAATTTTAAAGAATAGACAGAAAGAAGACACATCGATAATTGAATAAATGATAACCAACAACCAAATAAAAGCATGTACTATACAAAGCTGCCAGCTATAAAATTTCATATCTCCCCTAATTTCGAATTATTCTCTTTAGTAATAATACTTTTACCCAAAGACTAACATTTATACCGACAAATATATACAGACACATACATATTGCAAATTTATTATCAATATACATAATAATATTATTATCCGTACTTATCTATCAATCCTTTTATTAATCTATTTATACACGCTCGCCGGTTACGGGTACTTTTAATTTGGCTCTTCTTCAACACATCGCCTATTACGTAATATAATCGTATGTTGTCAATAAACTTTTTACTAATATTATAAATGTAAAAATAAAATTGTATATTACCCTTTAGTATCCTAATGGCTTAACCAATCAGTATAGGGCATAGGTTACTTTAAATCATATCTTGATCACACAAATTAAGTTGCGAATAAAGGCTAGACAAAAATAAATTATTTAAAACACTTCATGGTAATTTTCTTTTCTCTAGCAATCTTTCTCTTCCAATGCTTCAAAATGTCTCAATATGAGAAATTTTACCCAGATTTACGTAAGCGATACCAAATCTGGCAATTCCAGTACCTTTTTTTTTTATAATAGCATTATGGTTTTGGATGTTTCCTTTCTTATTATCATTAAATATTTTTATAGTATTGAATATTCTTCTCGAAAATTTTCTATATTTGAATTATATGAATTGAATATATTTGAATCCATATTTTTATGGTTGGAGATAAATGGATAAGTGTAGAGTAAGATAACTCTATTATTGCAAACAGTATAAAACAACTGCATTAAGTAATATTATTTTTTTGGAAAGGAACCATGAGCTTCAAGAGATGTTAGAGTTTGTAGCATATCAATCTATGTATATGAAACTATGGTTACCTTTCTGTTACTGGCTAGTTATACTTATGATAGATGTAATTCTATATCTAAATAAAAAAATTCTGTCTGTTTTTTCCTTTGAACAATTCGTAATCTTATTTTTTCTAAATATCTTCATAATAATAATACGGACTCTATTTATCATAAAGGGGAACTCTTTATTTAAGTACACAGAATATATGCTGTGCACCGCTTCGCGGTTGTCATTTCCTTCTGGTGAACTTCGGAGGGCCCTAAACACCAGAAGGATCTAAGTCGATTTGAAGAACATCTAGGCTAAACCTTGTTATCCATCGGTTCGCCGTTTCTCCTTCTCTCCCTTACTGCCAGAACGCTATTTGAGAGAACGACACCATATGTTGTCAAATAATAAGTAAGTAATAATAAGTCAACATTATTATAATTTAAATTTATACAAAATTCATTTGCTTGGGTACCTCTGTCCCATTCATTCTATCGTGAAGCAGTTTTTTTTTAGTAGGTTTGTTCATTGGAACAGGCTAAGGTCGGAGACCATGCTGCCTAGTCTTCAGTATGATAATTTGTCTGGAATCCTGAGGCAGTTGTATTTGCATGGATGTGTTTCGGTTTGAAGGGTGAGATATGACAGTGAATTTACAGGATACACAGATATAACACCTTAGTCGTTAGGAATGTCTACGCATGGAGGGTATTATGAGCGAAACAGCATACTCTGTTATTTCCATGGTACTGTTCATGTCTATAGGCGACGGTTACCACTTTCCATCAGGTGGACTGTGTGCTTGTTTGCCATTCTAGTAGATTAATTTAAATAAAAAATTAATAAAATTTTGATAGTTCATAGAAAAGTAATTTCGCGAAATTATTAAAATAAAATGTTAGATTAAGAGATAAGAGTAATGGTACCACATAATCGGTGGCAATATAAAAAATAAAATTTGCTAGCAAGTATAGAGTAGTTTTTGACTAACGCAAACTTTGTGGGCTTACATAATTACTCTCTCCCGATTTATCTACTTAGCTAATTAATTACTTGGCAAATCTGTTAATTTTTTGTTAGGTAATCTTTGATTACATATGGTATCTTTATATCTTAGTGGTGACGAGTTGATTTTTTTTTAATATAAATATTTTTGTTATTGTTAAAAGAAAAATGAGTCTGAGAATGAGAAACCAAGTCTGAGGCCTTGGACAATTACTTGGGTACTTGTACAGGTATTCGAGTATTTCTTTTTTTTATACAACTTAGAATGGCAAACAAGCTGACGGTCCACCTGATGGAAAGTGGTAAACGTCGCCTATAGACATGAGCAGTACCATGGACATAACAGAGTATATTGTTTCGCCCATAATACCCCCCATGCGTTGCCATTTCTGAGGCCTCAGGTGTTATTCCTCTGTACCCTGTAAATACACGCCATATCCCACCCTTCAAACCGAAATACAGCCATGTAAACACAACTGCTTCACGGTAGAAACACGAACGGGACAGAAGTACCCAAGCAATCGACTTTTGTACAAAGTCTCCCTCTGGTAAAACTTACTTCATTAGATTTAAACACTTTTTTAATAGATTTTGGAATATAAACTTATGAAGATAATAAATATCCAGTAATCTAATATTTTTCTCCTTGGTGATGAAGAGTATAATACATAAAATGCTGAAATGAAAATCTTAAAATAAACATACAGATAGCATTCTATTCGAGTATGGCAAGTACTTACACGAGCATTTTTTATGCAACTTAATAAAAAAAAAATGGTAACTGTCGTCTATAAACATAAATAGTACCGTGGACATAATATAGTGTCGCCCGTGATACCCTTTATGCATTGTCATCTTTCTATACTCTGTACTTTCACTATTATATCCCTTCAAATCGAAACACAGCTATGCAAACAACTACTAAGTTCTTTAAATTGAGCGAATCTCGGGTTTTCGTCGCACGTAGCCTCCTTAAGGGGACGTGGGGAAGAGCAGTGCAGGGCGCGGGCCCCCCGCTAGTGTTGCTCGCCGCACATTACTATGTGCAGGGTGGATGAGATGGACATTTGTCGGTGACTTCAGAGAACTTCGTCGATGTTCTTTTGTTGATTGTTGGCGCCGCTAGAACCGGTCAGCGCAGTCTTCACCTGCCGGGTGAGACTCCGTGGGGGGAGGCCCGGCAAACTGCCAGCATAAGAGCGGCCCGACGACGCCACGCGTTCTCATCTATGGGACCATGGCTTCAGTTGGTGTTGTTGGACGCGCACGCATGAGTTCACGCGTGTAAGGCCTCGAGTCCGGCGATCGAGCGTGCAGAGGCGCCTCTGAGATGGTCCCATTCCGACGCATCCGCCCGCTAGAACAGTCTGGTAGCCAGGTCCTCTATGTGCGCGTCCAGTGATTGGATCTTGAGGTCCCTCTCCAGTGTGGCATTTCTGATATTCCTATGCGCACCGGTCAAGGTACGCAGAATCAGATTCTGTTGCACTCTTAGTGCCGTTCTTTTGGTTTTTAAAATTGAGCACTCAAGTACTTGAGTGTATACTAAATATTCAAGTCGGTACTCGAGCTAGCCTGACTCGCATCTATCGATGCTCAACTTTACTAATCCGACTACAAAACTAATGTACTAATCATTTGACTGAGCAATTCATTCGGATTATTCAAATGATTTTCATATCTTCCAATTATTAATTTCATCTGACTACTAATGTTATCTGACTACTAATTTCACTCATTTACACTTCTACTAATAATTCATCATTCATTAGTAGTTGATGTACGAGTCGGTACAAACAGCAGAATCGACATATGTTGGTATTTAGCTTGAGATATTAGCCAATATTTCTGTAGTAGAAGAAAATAGGATAAACACAATATAAAAGTAAGTAGTAAAATAAACCTATTTCTAACAACCTGATTGCTGGAATATTTTTTTATTAATGGGCAAGAGTGTTACCATTTAGTAAAAATTACTAATATTCAATAGTTATGATTACAGTATTTTTTTACTAATTAATTATTATATGTAGAGGAAATTAATTTAGTTGACTAATGTTTTATTATGTGTACCGCACGTTTTGTTTTGTTTTTTGGTCGTCACTTATTTCCACTTATTGCTAAGATGGTGATCTCGTAGTGGATATAGGGAACGAACTTTGTTTTCATTATTCTGATTGATTACTAATTAGTAAAACCATTGGAATATGGAAATTAGTATATTACTAATTTAGTAGTTATAAAATTAGTTATTAATAATGAATTAAATAACATAATCATTCGGTTTTGTGCATTGCTACTTGCACATCACTATACTGACGTCATTCACTGTTTGTTACTGTGGAATTAAGAGCTTGCTCTGTGCTTACTGTTCATTATTTTTGTACATTGTTTTCAATATTTGTTGATAGGCTTCTAAAAAGGTGGCTCACTTTATTATAAAGTGCTTGCTAGATCCAGATCGTTAACATTACATTATATATATGGAGACTGCAGAAAGTCCAACATTAGAGATGTCATCAGATAAAAATTTAGAAACGTCTCGTCTTGTGTCTCAAAATTCTAATTCGAAACCAAGCTATATAAACTTAGTTAGCAACTTTTTTGCCTTAGTGTTTTTAGTAATAATATGTTACTACAGTTTCGATAATGGAATTTCTCTTTTCTCCTTCCATCCTATATTCATGAGTGTCGGCGTAAGTATTATTATCTAAATGTTTTAAAGTAATTCATATTTAGCTTTTAGAACTTATCGAAGAACGAAAAACATTATGTATATAGTAATTTATTTGAGATATAAACTCTTAATTTTCGGTCGTTTACACTAAGGGGTGGAGATTTTTTTATATTGTAACTAGTGTCCCCTCCTGGTATCGTACATATATAAATTGCACATACAAACCTTTCTTTAAAAAATTTTCAGACAGTGAAACATGTATCAGTCAATTTAGAAGTGGAAAAACAGACTGACTAAGAACCATAGGACTTTTATATGTTTATGGGTTTTCATTTTGATGCTGACATAAGCTCTGGTCATCAGTAAAGTGTGTTAAGCATATGGCCTGCTTAATAGTAAAATATAAACTTTTATTTTATATTCAGTTACTATTATATTAATGTAATAGTTAAATAACAAGTAAAAATAACATAAACACAGGTTATCTCTGAGATAAATCCAATGGGGTGATTAAAAGGTTAAGAACAAACACTGGCTGTTTAATGATTAGCACAGTGTGTGTATATAAGGTATTTCTATCAGGTAATGTTTATTAATTTATTACTTATTAAATAAATTTGGGCTGTTTATATTAATAAGTATTAATAACTAAATTGTATAACCTATTAAAAGATGTTTTATTCATTATTTAAAATATGCCTTTTTACAATTTTTTGTTCACAATTTAAACACACATGTATAGGGGCTAATATTCTTTGGCTTCTTAATTATCATTGACTCTGTCATTGGTTATCACATCAAATTTTGTATAAGAATGAGGGGCATATTAATCTTGCTATTAAAAATAACAACCCTTGTCTCCATTTACAAATATTATTATTCCTGTTTAAGTAAATATCTTCTAGAACCAGCAATGGCTAGCAAACCCTATTTAACATATTGTTCCTGTCTAATATACTGCACTTTTTAACACAAAATTCCTTTATTTTATATATCTGTTGATATATTTTTTTAATTTTTTTAGTAAATTGCTAAAAGTTTATCCTAATTTTGTTTAGTTGTTCATTAATTAATTTAGTAAACTCTCCAGCTGTTGTGTATTGATGTTGAAACTAAAATATAGCTTAGTAAAGTGTGGCAATGTCGCAATTATTTGTCAATTTTCATTAACAATTTAATATTTTTCAATGTTTCTGATTGTTTATTTTAAAAGTGCTCTGTTAGCAAATTAAAATGTTAATCAAAATATGTTATATATAAATCTACCACTAAATGCTTTGCACCTACTTCATATTTAACTTCAGACTATTTCAAATACAATTTTGCCATTATAATTTTCAGTGACAGCTTAATATCAATATTATAATTATTGCTTATCCAAACCAAAAAAAAAACCATTAATGTTTTAATTTACTAGAAGGGAACTCCTTTAATAAATTAAAATTGATAGATAATTTTGATGTTGCTACACTTCAATAAGCTAAAATTATGAATGCTTTCAACTAGCTTTTTACCTGCGACTTTATTGGTATGACTGAGATATATTGATTAATTTGGACTAAAATGTAGTCTAAGTCTTTCTCCACCACAAATAAAATGTATTAGTCGTGTTCATGTCTCACCTTTCTATGGTTGTGAGTTTAAATCCCGCACAATACAAATATTTGTAGTTATGATAGGTATATCTGCTTGTATCGGTATAGTACCTTTTGTACAAAATTTGCTTTTTTTATTATTATAAACCACATAGCATTATTGAATTATAATTGATATATCTAAGAAACACTGAATATATCTTATAATACTGATTCCAATTTTTATAAACTTTCCACAATTTCTATTTCTTTATTATTTTATTTCAGTGGATGCTTATTATGACATCAGCAATAAATGCCGTCACTCCTGGTGATTTGGCCACAGAATGGATGCCTATACGTCTTCGAAGTGCACGCCACTGGGTTCTTCAAGTAATTGCCGGTATTATCATAACAGTTGGATTCCTGGTGATTATATCCAATAAAATAATTAATAATTCTGCACATTTCACCACTTACCATGGAAAATTTGGTTTAGCTTCATATATTTTTATGTTGGTAACAATGTTAGGAGGTATAGGCGCGCTATATAGCCTTAAGTTGAAACAATATTTACCACCAATTTATACGAAACTTCTGCATGCTTCTGTTGGATTACTAACATTCTGTTTGGGTATAACTTCGATTTCTTTGGGCTTGTTTTCAAGCTGGGGATCTAAGAAAGGGGAAGTTTTCCAATATATTGGTTTATCTATAGTACTACTGGTTATGTTGTTTACTGTATTACGTCCCACCTTAAAAGTATATTTCCGTCTGAGGGAAAGGCTAGACAACGTAAATTAAATGTCGATATTTAACTCTCCTTAGCTTCACAAGTCATGGATTATAATATATTATGTTTATTCAGTGTTTATTACAATATCTTATTAATATTATAAGCTAGTGTTTACCAGTCACTATGTCCATATGATCGATATCATTAAATTTGGTATACACAATGTATTTGAGGTGAATATGGCTATTTTTTCACCATCAGTTACCATAGTCCAGGCACGTAGACAAAGTCGCGAATATAAACTAGAATATATGTTACAAATGTCACAAATTATTTGTAGTTATTCAAATCGCCAATCTATCCAATGTCACAAAATAACATCAAACATTTTATTTTGCAATACATTCTCAGTAAGTTTCTTTTTCAAATTTATTTAGATTACTAGTTTTTATCGACGAATTCATTTGCGTGACCCGGATAAAAAATAGCCTATGTTCTCACTACCAAATCAAATTTTATAAGGATTAATGAACCGTTAAGGAGATGAACAAAATCTCATTTTCTAATTTTTAATATTGATAAGAATTATTGATATTATTACCAATAAATTGAACCAAAGTTCAAAACTGTTCTGAACTGAATTGAAACGATCAGGCAGACAGGCACAAAAAAAATTGTAAGGCTTCCGTTTATACTGTGTATTTGAATTAAGTGTAATAGTATTAGATATGTTATTTCATGCATGTAAAGATCAAAGAGATTATATACGAGGATCTGTCCGGAAAGTTCGTATAAAAGTGTTCTGGAATGCGAGAAAGAGGAGTGGGGAGGCCAGGTAAGCGCAGGACCCTTCCTTATGTCCCTAACAATGCTTCAGTTCTGGTCTGACCGTCGTGCGGTGCGAACTACGCCATCTGTGAAGTTACCTCTTAACGAAACCCCGTCGGCATGGAAAGAGCAGCGCGTCGTAATCAAGTTTCTCTCGAAACTCGGCAAGAATGGCCGTGAAATTTTTGCCGATCTCAGAACAGTTTATGGGGATGATGCTGTGAAGGAACCAACCGTCCACAAGTGGCTAAAAAGATTCAGAGAGGGCCGAGAAAGCGTTCAAGATGACCCACGTTCAGGACGTCCTTCCACTTCACATTCCGACGAAAACGTGGAAAGAATTCGAACTTGTGTTAATGGGGACCGTCGTTTAACGGTCAGACAGGTGGCTGAAGAGCTTAATTTGGGCAAAACCGTGGTCCACGAAATTCTAAGAAACGAACTTCAAATGAAAAAAATAAGATCGTTCCGTGAGTTTTTGAGTAAAAATTCCATTACGGTGACCGAACACCCCCCTATTCGCCGGATTTTCTTCTTGTTCCCAAAAACCAAATTGGTACTTCGGGGGCGGCATTTGGGGGACATAAATGAGATAAAAAAAGCTACGACGGGGCAGCTGAGAAACCTACAACCAGAGGATTTCAAGGAGCCTTCTCACAGTGGAAACGGCGTTGGCATAGTGCATTATGTCACAGGGGGAGTACTTTGAAGGGGATAAAATTGATTTACCTGAATAATTGTAAAATAAAATTTTTAAAAAACTTTTATACGTACTTTCCGGACAAACCTCGTATTATATACTTTTCATAGATGATTACTACAAAACCAAAATACAAGTAGAACTGAATTTGTATCTTAATATAGTCTATAAAGTTTTATATTTATTTAATATTTAGATAAATAATTTAGGGTATTTACCTACTCTATAATTTGTATATTTTATAATTTAATGATAAAGTAATTATGAATTGTTACCGATTTTTATTAAGTTTTCCTGTACAGGGTACAAGATCTCTTCTTTAACTAAAATATAAATTTATTGAATATAAATATTTTACTACTTAAGTTTTATTAATTTATTTATTATTATAATACACAGGAATGTTATGAAATATTAACGAAATGTAATGTAACTTTAATAAATACTTAATTGAGGTGCTTTACTTATTATTATTTACTTATTGTATTCTCAAACATTTTTCGTTCATAAATTTTGCGATATAAGGGGAATAAGTAATATGACAAAGTGTAACGTCATAATATCAGAAATGGGGTCAGACGTGATGATACGTACAATATTGAGTTGCCTATTTAATCTACGTATATTGAGCATACTAATATATCTGTCTCAGATAAAATATGCTTATGGTGTTCCCTGTCATTTTATGAAATGTCTGCTTCTATGTCGGTAATAAACATCATCCATAAATTAAATATCTTAAAGAGTCATATCTTATAAAAATTAGACAACATATAAATGTATTTTATGGTTTTTGTGTTTTGTAATTTCCTATTAAAATAAATATGTAGATAAGCATTACTTCTATTTAAATTATTTTTTAAAATGTATTTTTTATATTTTACGATATACTTACCCTAAAAAATATAATTATAATTTTGTTAAACATTTACTAAATAGGTATAAGTATTCTATATGTTTTAAGTAAAAAAGTGGCCAAATGAATATGTGAGATTTCTATTTATATTTAAAAATATATGTTTAATTAGTAATATAAATATTTATAATAGCGTAGATACCTACGCTTTTTTAAATATAGTACATACATAATATCTACGCGTTATGTGGTACTATGTATATTATATATGATGCATACCTACAATGGTGCATAGAGTTTAACGACATAGTTGGTAAATACATTATTTGTAGATAGCGTAGTAATTCTATGATGATACAAGGTAAAAATTAATGAATTTAAATAGCCGTGATTAATACTCCAAAAAATGAACTAAAAGCCGTGTTTTCGATACTGGCGGTACTTAAATTAGTAAGTGACAGGTGGCAACCCTACTTGTTTTGATGATTCTTTTTGCAGTCAATAGAATTTGCTCTCATGATGATCTCATATAAATATTACACTAACTTTTTAACTTTATCTATTTATAATTTCAAAATAATCGCCTGAGATAAAATTATTTTTTGGGTGCACTTTTTATAATTCTGTATTATATGAGTATTATAGCAACATCTACGGCATCTGTTTTGTCTGAAGTCTAAGATTATTATTATCAATATATAAAAATCTATATACCACTCGAAATAAAAATCATAATTTTGATAACAATATACTTATGTAACGTTATTTATGTTTATTACATCGAGTCCAGATATTAGATAATAATGAAAGACCATTGTCATATCATTTACATTTTGTCTGGTATATTTTTGTCAACAAACATGAAAATCTAAAATGTTATCAGATTTTAATACGACATGCTTTAGATGTGTATTAATGTCATTGTAATTTATTGTATAATCTAACTAGGTGTTATATATTATAATTCTGTACTATTGTAAGTATATCTGTACTGTGAGCTGTGACCTATTTGTCATAAAAATAATAACAATATAGACATGTTTATCAGTAAATCATGTTTTATTCTTGAATCCATTTTTTAGACATTTTTTTACACCACAAAGGTGGCAAACAAGCATTCAGCCCGTCTGATGATAAAAAATCACCGTAACCTATGTCCATAGATTTCCGCCTGCAACCTAGGGGCGTCACGTGCATTTTTAATTTTTATTTAGATACAGTTCAGTCAAATCCTTAGATTTATAAAAAAAATTGTTCACCCCAGGATACAGGAAGACCTTTCAGCTATTCGCAAAGACATGTCTGAGAGTACAGATGCGTCTTATCTAAGGGGGTCAAACTCATGAAACATAATACGCCAACGGAGAGAGAGGCGACTGTTGAATATCGACCTTTGACATCATCGTAAGTAGTTAATTTCTAATAATTTTATCACGATGGGTGAAATGTCCTGACTTCATCCTGGCCTATCAATCTTCACTGATACTTTCGCCGGCCGTTGGGTAGTTTGCCGCTATTTCACTCTCACTTCATTTTTTCTATGCTTACACCATCCAAGTTAATATTGTACTCAATGGCTCCAGCTAGATGCCACCTAATATAAGTACTTGTGAGGGGAAAGGGAATAATCCGTTTCCCCTCACAAGTAATGAGGTCTCGTAGCCTCATTGTTGGCAATATACTCTGCAAAGTCGACCTTCACGCGGTTCCCTCTGGAAACCATCATGGTTAATTCTAGTCGATTTCATCATAGCGGGCCAACTGGCCTGCATTCACCTATCATCTTCCACTAGTGCCAATTCTTTTGCAACCATTAAAAAATAAAAAAATATAGGAATAGGTACTAGAGGGGGAGGTGTATACCGATAGCGCAGGCGGGATTACCATTCCATTATCGCCCATTAAAATACATTGATAAATTCATCAACATGACATGGTGTTATTGCTTATAGGCGATGATTACAATTTTTCATTAGTGACTCTTAGTCGGTTTGTTTGCGACTTATATGCTGCATAAAAAAAATCTGTCAAATTTGTATTACGACAAAGGTCACTTCTAGAAAACACTAACTGATTACAATGTAGAGCAATATGTTTATCTTGCCGCTTGCGCTAACGGGGTTCGCTGAGGGATGAAAGATAAGAATGAAATCAGTTTAATTAGCCCATCGTGATAAATTCCACAAGAATTAACCACGATGATTTCCAAAGGAAACCGCGTAGAGGTCGACCTGATAGGGTATATTGCTAGCAATGGGACTGGTAGTCCGTATTACTAAAAGTTCCTCCCCACCCCGTAATATGTGTTTTACAGGAGTACTATATTTTGTCATTAATTATTTACCTACTTACTAAAAAATATATTTTCGTTCAAAAGTTGGCTAACTTAAGGAACCTACTTCCACATACCTAGTAGATAATAAAGACAAGTTTCTACAAACGTATATAACTCAAAATTGTAATGTTTTTATGAACCCAACACATGTTTCTGGGGGGGAAAGGGATTGTTAGCAATGGAGTTTAATAGACCCATTACTAGCTATTTCTATTGCCCTACAAGATCGACCTCCACGTGGATCTCCCTGGAAACCATCGTTAACAATTCTTGTTGAATTCATTACAATGAGCTAACTGACCTGCTTCATCCTCACCTATCATCCTTCACTGGTGCCCCGCCTGTGTATACCGATACCGCGGGTTGGGTTACCATTACATTATCACCTATTAAAAAAAAACATGTTTCTGGATGTTTCTATACTTAAAATATCAAAATATTGTGTTCCTTTTTGGTAAATTATTATGAATAAATTAACTGTAATATGTGATACTTATAAATTTAATAAGGTATCAAATATGAATTATCTATCTGTTTACAATTCAGATTTTGCTTTCAACCGAGTAATGAAATTTTTAAACTCCTCAATACCCTTTCCATTAGTTTCTTCATATGCTGGTGCAGTAGATTTGACGAGCTGGAACCATCTGTTCACAAACATAGGTAGGTATTTATTATATAGCAAATAGATAAAATTATTTCTCTGTGTAATAATACCGGACAGAATACAATATATAGTCGGTTTTAATATTCCTTTTCATTTTTATCTTCAGGATTTATTTATTTACTAGCAGTCCGTCCCAGCTTCGCACGGCTGGGCACTTTCACATTTTAAAAAGTGGCCATTAAGGCTACACACGCGACGGAAGCTTAATAATGAAGTAATTTCTCCCTTTTTCCCAACATTTCCCTTCACTGCTCTGCTCCTATTGATCGTAGCGTGGTAAAAAGTATATTATAATCTGCCCAGGAGTATGAAGAATAATTGTACCCAGTTTCGTTAAAATCCGTCAAATAATTTTTGTTTCTATAACGAACATACAGGCAGACAGACAGACAAAAATTTTACTGATTGCATTTTTGGCATCAGCATCTATCACTAATCACCCCCTGATAGTTATTTTGGAAATATATTTCATGCACAGAATTGACCTCTCTACAGATTTATTATAAGTAGATATAGATTTGATACAGTTGCATTGTACATTACTATACAATATCCAAGAATAATAGTCGTAGACTAGGAAATTCATTACACATAGATACAGGTACAGTGCAAAAAAAAGGTAAACTTGAAATTAAAATCTATATCAAGTTGACTGGTCTCTGGTCAGCATAGTAATAGAGGGCTAATGGGGGACGAGACAGTTGTGAAATTCCTCTAATAAACTGCTTTAATAAACGAATAATCGCATACGAAAAATAGATGTATCGTATAAAATGTATAAAATTCCTATATGGTTATTCAGGCACTTATGATAAAAAAACCGAAATCTGACCGAACACCCTTCCAGCAACAGTGAAATTTCATAATTAGGTACATTGTATCGAAGATCGAAATAAATTACGAACAATTGTTATTATCATATCAGTCCACTGCTGAACATAATTATAGAGGATGTTTATGTTCATCAGTGACAGGGGAACAGACCTGGTCAACCTGCCTACATGTACCTACTGACTCCTCGTAATGCATTTAAGGTCATCATTATACGTACGAACTATACTTACTTTAAAACATTAGGGTATGGTGTCAAATTAAAACCAACGGCGTCTATCGTAGACACTGTAGCAACAAGGCTTAGATCAGCCAGTGTCAAATTAGATCCAGCAGCATATTTGTGACCTTCTAGGAATGTATTAAAAAAAACTAAGGCTTCTTCCAATTTCTTCAGTAACGCTTCGTCTACTGGTGCACCGGCGAAGATTTGCGGGTACTGCAAAACATTCAGTTTAAGCAGTTTACTATTAAGAAGTTAATCATATTATACTAATAAAGAGACAATACTTGATTGTTTGTAAAGGATGAACCCAAAAAATACTTAACGGATTTTAAAAATTCTTTCACCAACAGAAAGTAACATACCAGCGAGTAACATAGCCCATATATTATTTTCGAAAATTCTATCTACTTGTGTCAAACGCCGGCCCTGTTGCTAGTCCTTAAATATTGGCCTAGTTATATAGCAGTTGTTATATCTGTATGTAAAAGCCTTTGGAACTTATACTAAATTCTCATATAGGTAGTTGATGTGAATATATAGAAAATAAGGTATATAGACTTACAAATAGATTTCCAAATCTAGGGTACAATGTACCCAAATCAAAATCCAATCTCTGGTCAACAATAGCTCTAGCTATTGGGTCTTCCGGATATAGAGTACTTCCAGCTCCATATTTATTGACTAGATATCTGCTGATGGCTCGTGATTCCCATAGTGAGAAATCGCCGTCTACTATAGTCGGCACAGTGTGTTGAGGATTTATCTAAAAATATAATTTTGTATTTTGAGGATTTTTAACAAATTTCTCTTGTATCTTCAAAAATCTGAGGTTACTGCATGTCAGTGCAAGTAGCGAGCGATGGAGAAAGCTACAGTTGGAGTTTCTCCGTGCGCCCGCCTTCTAAGTAGACCGATAATGTTAAGAGGACGGCTAGAAATGGATGGATGCGAAAAGCAGAGAATCGCATATGGTGGAAGGCATTGCGGAAGGCTTATAACCAGCAATAGATAGATACAGGCCGGAATGATGATGATGAATGCAAGTAGGATGAGTATAATATTATAGAAGCGAATAACCTATGTAACTTAAGTACTTGAGGGTTACTGGATACAAAATTTATCGGTAGGTTCTGTTTCTATCACCGAGCATAACAATGTTTCGATTTGAAAGGTGGAATAAATATGCGGGTAACCCTACTGAGTAGGGATGGATAAGGAGTACCTACTATGGAAATTAGTATACTCTGTGTATTGATTAATGTCCATGGTGTTACTCTATGGATGACGGTTATCTCTTTGCATGGTGGGCAATCAATTTGCTATTACAGGTAGTCACTTGCCGGTTATTAGATAATTTAAAAATGCCCATATTTTTATATATTGTTTTGTGTTGTTGTTAGTATACCTAGTTCTGGAAATCAACTTTTTTACCTTTAAGAAATCCGGTTTAAATTGTTCTCCAGCAGACAAGTCAGTTAATTTTAAGTTGAGTTGAATATCAAGTGCCGCTGCGACCAGCAACACTAATCTACATGGCGCTGAGCCCGGCGTATAGTATAAATCAATGGTCATTTCGATTTCTGAAATAAATATTTACTGAAAGTGTACACATGAATATACGATTATAATCTCAAAAAGAAAAAAAAAACGTACTGTGTCCAGGTTCCATTTTTTGTGCATGGGAGATAATTAAGAAAAAGTAATACTTTGTTAATTAATAATTCCGGTATCACGTAGAAACTACTATGCGAAATTCGATGCGGTTTTCATAGTTATGTTCCAAAAGGTATAATTTAAAATGTGGTGTATAATTTAATTGATTTCTTTAACCACGCGTACAAAGTAATTGTGTTGCTGAAGGTCTAACTCAAAATCCGACGTACCGATGTTTGATATGTCATAAAACTGACATACAATAAAATACATCGAGAACACATTAGGTTTCCGTATCAAATTGATACAAGGAACCTTTATGATTCGTCTTTTTTCTTTCGTTTTTCATAGCGCTAATGCTAATAATTTGGAATAGTTTTAGCTATCATGCCGTAGTCGATATGCCAATACCGAAAGACAGAAAGGGTCTAGAAAGGTTTCTAGGTATGGTAAACTATCTTTCTAAATTTATTCCGAACTATTCCGAAAATGTAGTAGTGTTACGAGCGCTTTTAAAAAAAGATTTGGAATGGGTATGGGGACCCGAACATACTAATGCTGTAAATAAATTAAAATGTCTTATTACATCAGCTCCCGTCCTAGCACTGTATTCGAACCGATTACCTATAGTGGTATCAGTGGATGCGAGCGCGGAGGCACTAGGCGGCCTGGTGCTACAGGCAAGGCGGCCGGTCGCGTTCGCTTGCCTTACACTTACTGATACACAACGTCGCTATGCGCAAATAAAAAAAGAAATGCTGGCGATCGTCTTTGCTTGCGAACGTTTTCATCAGTACATATTCGGTAGAAACTATGTAACAATACAGACGGATCATAAACCACTAGAAGCTATATTTAAAAAATCGCTCTCAGCTGTGCCGGCGCGATTGCAACGTATGATGCTACGCATCCAAAGTTATGACGTCAAAGTGGTTAATACGTCCGGCAAATTCATGTACATAGCGGACACTTTGTCGCGTGCCCCATTACCTATATTCATGCATGAACGGATCAATGAAGATTTGTGCTTCTACAAACCTGTTTTATGTTAGAACATTTACAATACAGTGATAAAAAACTAGATTTAATAAAAGAACAATAAAAAAATGACAAAGTAGAGCAAATATTAATTAATTATATTAGTAATGGATGGCCTCGAAGTAGACATAACGCGAACCCAGAAGTACGTTTATTGTGGTCTTATAGGGATACTTTACAATATGTAGAAAACCTGATCCTTAAAGATAATCGGTTATACATTCCGAGTACTTTGCGGGAGGATATGTTGCGTTGTGTCCATGAAAGACATTTAGGCATAGACCGGTGCAAACGGCGCGCACAGGAGGTAATGTTTTGGCCGGGCATGTCGCGTGACGCAATTGTGTCGCGTGTGCACTGCATGCACCGCGACCGATCCGAGAACCGATGATACCGCATTCAATTCCAAATTTACCGTAGAATAAGTTAGGGTCGGATATCTTTGAATATAAAAAATAAATATATTACCTTATATTAGTGGATTACTTTTCAAATTATGTAAAAATTAATAGAATAAATTCAATTGGAAGCTCATATGTTATTGGAACAATGAAAGAGCAATTTGTAGATATGGTATACCAAAAATGTTAATAACAGACAACGGACCGGCGTACACTTCAAAACAATTTAAACAATTTCTTTACAATTGGGAAATTGAGCATGTTACTTTATCTCCGTTATATGCACAATCTAACGGGAAAAGCGAGCACACGATACGTACCGTAAAAAATATGCTAAAAAATGTGAAGATTCGGGACATGATTTCCATTTAAGTTTATAAATTTAAGATCTATACCTAGGGATAACGTAGATTCGCCTGCACAAATTTTGATGAGAAGACGTTTAAATACCCGTCTACCGATTTATGAGCCGTTATTAGCTGACAAAGTGGATAACAAGTTTAATTATGATAAGTTATTAAACAAACAGACAAGACAAAAATCCATCTATGGTAGACGAGCAAAACACAAAGTCTACCCCAGCTTGAACAAAAATGATAAGGTGGTCATTAATGATGGCGGTCAACGTCGTTAAATGAAGGTAGTGCAACAAGCAAAGGCGCCAAGGTCGTACATTTTAGAAGACGAGACTGGACGTATGTTTAGACGTAATCGTCGTCATATAGTTTGCAGGCGGCGCAAAGGTAATGAGGGAGCACAAGCTACAGTCACAGGTACGAATAATACTATATATATATATTATGTGTCATATATATATGTGGGTAGTGTAAGATGAGGTTTCTATATTAGTACCCTCGACATAAAATAAACAGTATTAATCTAGCAAGTTGTGTTTCACTACAGTATTGTACCGTTATAGTTACACCACGGTCTTTACAATCGATCAGCAAAATACCTTTTGTATCCCAAAAGATAGTCGCCATGATCTTTTTGGCCGATTGTGACACTTTAAACTCTTGCTTCGACTCAGGTTCATAGTGTCAACCCAGGTTTCATCTACAGTAACAATCCAGGTCATAACTTCTTCCCTACTCTCTCCACAGAGCTTCAAAAACTGGCGAGAACACTCGACACGCTGACTTTTTTTAAGTGGCGTGAGTATTCTTGGCACCCATCTTGCACTGAACTTAGTCATGCCAAGACGATATTGTAGAATATTTAAAATACTTGTTTCGGATAATCTAACCATTGCCGCAAGTTGCTTCTTCTTCAGCCGGGTATTTTCTAATACAAGTTTTTCTACTTTTGCGACAATTTCCGGTGTGGTGGCCTTAATTGGCCGTCCGGAGCGGGGGTCATCTTCAATAGACTCTCTTCCTTGTTTGAAAAGACCATGCTTCTTGTAAACCATGGTTTTACGAGGGGCAGAGTCCGCGTAAACTGCTAACAGCTCTTGAAAAAACGTCTGAGTGGATTTTTCATGCTTGATGAGGAACTTAATAACGGCGCGGTGTTAAATTTTCGCCATACTCGCTGACTTCTTACCGATTCACTTGTTTGCAGGTCGATAAATCGAAAGTTAACGACCCAATTTGATTCAAACTTGGTATATATACTCTTAATAAGGTGCTTAACAAGTGATTACCTGGACGAGTAAACCAACCTCCACCAACCCGTCCATTCCGCGAACTTTTTGACCTCCCCTCGTAATTCACCTGATTCTGCTGATGTTCAATAGCTAGTCCTACTTAGTATTTAAAAAAATCAAATAATTGACTAATTGTTTAGATTTGTTATTAATATCATTTAGAAGAGTTTCTGTGATAATTTTTGCACAAAATCTTGGTTACCTTTTCAGTTCTATTGAAAAAGAATCCAGATATTTCTGAAACAACGTCTATGAAGTTGCGGGTAGAAGCTAGTTGCTAATACGCTTTAGAAAATATTTAGTGTAAATAATTTTCAAATCAAATACAATAAAAAATTCACAAAGATAAGTACATACCTATTGTTATGTCTGGCAAGGGTGACAACTAGTGGCAACTTATCCAACAAATTACGGTCACGGTTGACTGATAAAATATTTTTACACCACAAAATATATTTCATAAAGTGATGAATTGATTGGATGTTTACCATCCAACAATTTTCTCCAGGAATATTATACTTTCTACCGAAAAATGTTACTAATGAACTGTATTGTATTTTATTGTATTGGATGCATGTCGGTTGTTTTTACTGATATAAAACCTGTTGGCCTTGGACCTTGATATAAAAGTGTTGCTATTTCAAATATTTTAAGTGACCACCTACCAATTTTATATTTAATCTTGATTTCTTAATGTTTTAGATACTTAGTTTTTAAATGTAGGTAATCTTACGAATATTATGAAAGGTGTTTAGATATTTTTATATGTTTGTTACTCAATTACACTTAAGCAGAAACTGTACACGGTTTTTTTTTAATGGATGGTAAAGGAATGGTTACCTCGATACCAGTGAGGAATGATAGGTGAGGATTTTTTTTTTTTTTTTTTTTTTTTATACTACTTAGAATGGCAAACAAGCTGACGGCCCACCTGATGGAAAGTAGTAACCGTCGCCTATAGACATGAGCAGTACCATGGACATAATAGAGTATACTGTTTCGCCCATGATACCCCCCATGCGTTGCCATTCCTGAGGACTCAGGTGTTATTCCTCTGTACCCAGTAAATTCACGCCATATCCCATCCTTCAAACCGAAACACAGTTATGCAAACACAACTGCTTCACGGTTGAAACACGAATGGGACAGAGGTACCCAAGCAATCGACTTTTGTACAAAGTCTCCCTCTGGTAATGAGGTCCTCTGAGGATGAGAAGACAGGTCAGTTAGTCTATCGTGATGAATACATTTGGAATTCAGCACGATGGTTTCCAGGGAGGACCACGTTGAGGTCGTTCTGATAGGGTATATTGCTAATAATGGGACTGGTTGTCCGTATTTCTAACAATCCCTACCCAACACTCTGATACACGGATACATTATATAGATACAATATATAAATAGGTACCTATATTACTTTGTTCTTATTATATATGATTCAAATACTTACTTATGTATTAGTATAGCCACGGAAAACAACTAGTAATTTATGTGATTATCATCGATCCTATCCGTGTCTATATTAGCCTTGTCGTCCCGGTATAAATGGACCATCATGGACCACCCCTTATTTTTCTGTGAATTTCGTAAGAGACGACTATAGGACCTTAATGGACAGCAGCATCCCTCTTAAAACGTCATTAAAGTCTAACTGCGCCGTCTACCAAGCGTAACTACTGGCAAAACCCCCCTCATAGGGGAGGACTATGTTCAGTAATGGACAGTCAACGGCTGATACGGTACCACCGATCAAATCAAATACAATAGATAATAATAAAGTAAATCGTATATTTGCAATTTGAAAAGGAATAAAATTTCATATCTGGCAACGTTGGTTAATAGTGACGTGCCGAATCGTTAAAGTCCATTATTTTAATAGGTACTCGATAAAGATATCGAATTGAATTATAGTATTTTGTAATTCTAAGGTTCAATAAATGTTCATTAATCTAAAATTTTTCCTTGGTAGTTATTAAGTAATGAACTTGGTACCTAATTAAGGAAAATGTATGGTTTATAAATACGAGACTAAACATAATTATTTTTTATCGATGCCTTTACCGACTGTACGCTAATAATACAAATGTTTTATTTTTTATGACTGGGTTCTAGGTCTCGGAAAAGCCGTTTCCTTGATTGAACATTTTACTTTTCTTGATTTCAATAGCTTCGTGTATTACTTGTAGAAAATTTGTTCCGCAGAAAGAATTTGTGGACAGTGAAACTCAATCCAATGGTTGGCACCTGCTCCCAGTAAATGTTCTATAATCGCTGATGTACTAGTTTGGTAATTTTTCACTGTAGTGTAATAGTTCCTCGACTCTTTCAGAAATTATCCGTTTAGTCTGGCCTATTACGAACCACTTATTCGAGCCAGTACTCAAGTCAGGGCGACTTGGCACAGCACTACACATGTGACTTGATTAGATTAGATAAGCAGGTATCTGAAGTAATGTTAATTTTTTAGATAGAAACCGAACCTGAAGCCGAACGCGAAACCTGTAATTAGGAAGCTTTTAAATTTTACTTCTGCTTATGTAGGTATATGAATGAATTATTGTAAAAATTTTGAAGGTAGAAGCAAAAAATTTAAAATCGTTGTGAGATTAATGGTGTTCTCTGTGTATTTGCAGTGTACTGAAAACAAAGAAATTTTAGTGTGATTTATCACTGGCGGTTAAGTTGTTTTTGTTTTCTTATGTCGGATTTTAGCAAGATGAAACGGTAAGTTTATTTTTTATTTAATATATTAACGTAATATAACTGTAACTACACGATGCTTATACTCGGGTGGTCAAAATGGTAGAAAGGGTCTCAATAAGAGCAATAGAAGCAACAACAAAAATTAGTATTAGAATCTTTATCGGTTTTTATACTTGTTCAGACATCACACAAAAATTACTGCTTCAAATCGGATGCGATTTTCACAGTTGTGTTTCTGTAGTTCTACGTTAAAATCTGCTATTTTGTAAAGTCTAGCACTTTATTTCACAATTTACCTCACAAACATTTTCACTTTCCTTAATCATATTTTGTATGCATTGAAAAATGAGTTTTGAAAACTAACGTGAGTTGCCAAGAATGGAAGCATCGTAAAAATAGAGACTAGGTAGAAGTGACACTCCGCAAGAATTGAATTCCTTTAACGGCGCGGTCATATGCCACTGCACGTATTGCTCAATATTAAATGTAATATTTTTAATAGTTCGCCTATCGTTATATCTGATCGGTTCCTTTCGGCTGTGGTTGTGTGCGCTCAAAGCCGTGAAAGGGCGGATTACTTATTTTCCCCCTTCTTCTGTGTTTTGTGATTATTTTCTTTTTCCAATGCAATAGTCAACAATATTACGTCAACTTCAAGTATTTTCAAAAATTAGAACACGTCAGCACAATATTAGTTAAACTGTTTGATTAGACGCAGAAAAGGGATACGTTCGCAAGCGATAGTATGAAGTCAATCGTATGCATCGACATCTTGCCGGACGTCATTGACAGTCGTCGCATCCGTTCGTATTGATCATATATTGATACGAGTTGTTGGATGGAAATCATCCCTTAGCCCATCGTGACGAATTTAACAATGGTTTCCAAGGGGAATCGTGTGGAGGATGACCTAATAGGGTACATTGCTAGCAATGGGGTCGCTAGATCTTATTATTAACAATCCTTTTCCTCCTTCTAAAATGAGTTACCTACTTCCAAGATCCGTGCGTACAAATTTACAGCCAAAAGCTAGTTCTTAAGCCAAAAGTTAGTTTTTTTTTTTTATTTATTTATTATTACAAAATTTCAGAATTACATAAAACATGTTCTATTAGCATTCAGAAACCACGTAGATTTGTATTAATGCTAAATACATTGAGACTGTTCAATTTGTATTAACATCATGCAAGAAAAATTTTTTTTATTTACATTTGATGTTTTCAATAGTAATATCCCGTACATCGGTGGGTAGTTCGTTAATAAGTCGAGGAACTAGATAGTCACACGCCCACCATATTAACTATTATGGTGGGCGTACGGCTATCTTAATAGTTATAATAGTTATTTAGGCGAGTGCTATTGGTACAAAGTAAATTCCGAGCGACCGCCCTCTTTGGAAATGAATTTGTATTTTAAAAGTTTAAAACTACTTTACTTTTATACATTATATAAGGATTTAGGTTAAATGTTCCGATTTAGTTTTTAACTACGGGGTTCTATGATATTTTAAAATTCTATAACATTTCTAAAAGATTATTTGTAGTCATTAGAAGGCTCTTTAACCCTTCTAGAATATTTTTCAATATCAAAATAATTCTGTAACGTTTTCAGGGTGTTCTGGGTACCTATAAGTATTTGTATTTGTGTAGGTGTTTATATGCATGTATGCATGTGTATATGTATATGTGTATATATAATAATGAGTAGGGATGTATATTTACTATATTACATGTATTACATCTCCATATTTAGAAATAATAGAATTTTCGTCGTGTCTCCGATCAAATTGTTTCTAATTACTCCCCTCCATCCAAAGGTTGCCTGGAAGAGATCACTTTTAGCGATAAGGCCCATTGTTCTCTCATAGTAATTATTTCTTGTGATTGTTTGTATTTATAGGCTTACTATTGTTATCTTTTAGAGGAAACATTAAATAGTATTTATCTATAAGATTTCTGGAAGTTTCTATATAAAGGATTTACGGGTAAAATGTTTTATATGGTTTCTAAAAATTTACACGAAAGTACCGATGTGAAGAGTTCAACCTGACATGGGGCATATTGTTAATAATAGAACTTGCGCCTTACCATTAACTAGTATAGTATTATATTATCTGTGCCATTAAAAATTTTCTGATCAAGGTTTGCTTTTAAAGAAATTAGAGCAAATTTTCAAATTTAAAAAAATCTTAATATTATATTATTTCTCTGAAATTTTATTTAAAACTAGGATTAAGAAAGTTATTACCGCGTATAAAAGTTTTTTTTATTAAAAAATTGTGATGAATAATCACAATAAATAATACCAACAAATTTAAATTAAAAATGCTTATTTTTAGTGGGTCTTTTATGTTTGTATGGGTTTTATCGTATTAATCCCTAAATGTAATCATATTCTCGTTGTACTGCCCTCGATAACGTCGTTGACATCAAACGATGTCCATCACATCTTGGTTTTAAAAGGCCGGCAGCACACCTGCAATGCCATTGGTATTGTGGATGATCATGGGCGGCGGTAGTCACTTACCATCAGGTGAGCCGCATGCTCGTTTGCCCCCTGTGTTGTAAAAAAAAGAAACATCTTGGTAAAAACGTTAATTTTATCATGAATTCACTATCATCGATGTTAATAAGCGGTGTAAGTACTAAATTCTGTTAAACTTTGCGACGACAGAATCCTAAATTTATTTGGTTCTGAAACAAACTTCATATCGTTTTTCTCTTCTGTATCAGGCTATAAATATTAAAACAACTAGTATAATATATAAATGAGTAAATTTATGTATAAGAAAATAAGTTCGTTTGACATTTTAAAAATGTTTGCATTTACGTTTCTTACCTTCAGTTCGCAAAGTAATTTTGCAATTAATACAAGCAAATTGAGGCACCTGTTTCTTGTTTCCGAATTTTATATAAAGGATAAAATAGGTCTCATAAGCTTTACAAAACTTCAAATTTGTTGCTAAAGCAATTTTTTTGTTTCCTACTTTAATTTATTCACCACAAACAGAATGATCAACACTTGTATATACACAATCTTGACGCCATGTTCTAACTCAGTAAGACACAAAAGACGCTTGTTACAGCTGTTAAAGACAAAAGATGAGTAAACACTCACTGTTATGCTCTTTATAAATAATACACAATTAGCAATCGGGATAATCAAAACGCTACCACCTTAAGTGTTACCATTTATTTCTAATAAAATCAATTAAAATCTTCAAAACTTATTTATCGAAGTTAATTATACAAATGCTGACTTTAAAAGCTAAAAATGTATATTGGAGTATTTTTCGATGTTTAGAATCAGAATTCAAGCATTAGAACAGAAATCAAAAAAAAAATCGTTTTGTTGACCTATGATTCTTATAATTTACCCGTGATTTTACATTTCATAACAAGGTAAACAGTACATAAAATTCATAATAATATTTGTCTTTACTGATTAGTTTAACTTATACCTCTGTAAATGTATATTTCCATTTTTAAGTAATTGAAAACGGCCATTTTAATTAATACATTTTTTCAGTTCATTATTTTATATAAAAAATTAAAACAAATTGGTCCATCTTATATTATTATTTCTTGTTTCAGGTGTATTTTACCATTTATTGCAATATGCATACATTCGGCTAATTGTGCTGTCTCAGCACAATTAGCCGAATGCACGGAAGATGTGCATTGTGATGTAAAATATTATTGCGATCCGAATTTCAAATGCCAAAAGTGCATTGATTGTAAAAGTTATCAGCACACTCTATGTCCTAAGTCCATTACCGATTGCGAATCTTCAGAGTCTGTTGTGTAAGTACCTAATATCACGTTCATTACGTATTCAATATCATTCAATATCGTCATTCAATATCAAGTGGATCGAGTGATAACTCGTTCCACTTGATATTGTGTCTCCACACTGACAGTTTTCGAAAATTTTATTTTCTTAATTACTTATTGTACTAGCCTATGCGCGTTTTGACTAGTTTTTGGGTAAACTGTTTAAGAGTAAAAGAATGATGCGTTTTCTCTTAATCATGATGCGTTGTACAATTTTCATGGGTTGGGGTAAATGGGCCAATAAGAGCCAACGGCTAGTACCGAAATAGTATCACGCGATTTACAGGAGCTGCGATTGGGTAATCCGTTTGACATTGAAACGGAGCCGTAACACTTATAAAATTAATTATTTTTCACATAATATTATATTTGAATAAATACAGAAAATCAGTTATCTGGCAACACTAAGATGTATAATAATTTAGGCACATTAGATCCGTGTTCCATTTAGAGACAGTTCAAACTGAAATACTCAATACAGTATTCTGCTAGGTTAATAATCACACTAAACAGGATCGCTCTAAACTAGCTAGTTTTGGGTCCTAGCTTTATATTTAATTACTTTTATTTTTTAGACATGCAACAACAAACAAAGACAAAGAAAGCAGTGGTGGTTACCATTTTTTTATGATATATACGAAGATTGGACTAGTTGTCGCGTTTATCACTATAGGAATGTTGGCTGTTTTTGTAATACGCAAAAAAAGATTATTTCAGCCTCGTAAGTACTACCTACTTATTGTTTTTTTATTATAATAATTTAATTATACTCATAAAATATTTTGTGAATTACTATTACATGAAAAAATAGGAACTTTTATACCTATAAGTAAATAATAATCAAAGGTAATAATATAAAAAAGCAGTTTCGATGTTCTTAAGTTCGCATAAATTATATAAAATCCTATCATATATAAATAATATCTATTCGATATAGAGGACACTAGATAAAATATAATATAATTTATTTCCTACTGTGTTCAGGTTTCCGCATTGATGACATCGCTCCAGTAAACAGCGCTACCGCTCCGTTATCACCCCCGCCACCTTATAATCCAAACCACAATAGCATTGAACATTACAATGGTAAGTTTTTTTATGTAACATGGAATAATAAACAAGACGATGTAAACTTGTAACCGTCGTTTGTGACGTCCATGACACCCCTAATGCTGTTCTATTTTTGAAGACTGATGTGTTATGGCGTTCTACCGTAATTTCACAGTTATATCCTGTGATGTACTCATTAAAGTTGAGACTGCAAGTCCCCCCGCTCCTGCCACTCCTCTGGGTGACGTCCGGGCGGGTGGTCGTGTGAGTCGCATTGTGACATATTATTGTTTATTATTTCCTACACCTACCTACCATACGAGGAGAACAGCACAAAATTGGCGACGAGGTGAAAATTTGTAAGTAAAAAATATATATATATATGTCATACGACTACAAAATTACTTGTTCTAATCAGTCCAAAGAGTGTAACTATTGCGTTGTTATTTTAATGTAACTTGACACGAATAACATTAAACTGTTAAATTTCTAAATTCACAAGGAAGAGAGAAGATAATTTATTAATTCTCAATTAATTTATTAAATATAGAAAAGACTAAAAGCAATTTCAAAAAGAAATAAAGATTTGATTCTATAAATTGTATAGAGAGAGCAAAATATTGATAATACATATTACGGTGCATAGTACGTTTTGTAATTTAGCGACACACTGTGACTGATTTTAACGCGTTTGCGCATCATAGTCGTACAATAACTTGCTATACATGCCTAAACAAATGGTCGGCGTTTGTTGATGTCTAGGTATACCGTACCGCATACTTTCTGTTTATATTTACATCACAGTATAAGTATAACAGTTGAATTCTTAAGATAAGTAGTTCGGGGATACCAGCGAATACTGACTATACATACAACAAAATGTGCCTGCATGTATTAGCCGAGTCGGAGTAATTATTTTGACAAATAAAATACACCGTACAATCCGAATGAGCAAAGCCCATTAAATACATAATTCCACATAAACTGTAATCTATTTAGATACAAGTTTATGCAATTGGTGGTTCCGATTATAGAGGTTGCTTCCATAATAAATAGATTTGTATGTAGGTATAAACCTAATACAAATGTAATTATCATAAGATAATTATGATATATTCAAACACTTCACATTAATTTCATTATTTAACAGATATTTGGTAAGAGTTGAGGTTACGATTTTATTTTTCTTACAAGGAACCAGCAGAATATTAGCATTGCCGGTAGTTCTCTGCTTAATTCTGAGTTGGTTACCCTTTCGCCGTTGGGGCACATAAATTTACCTACGTATTTATGTTGGTTTATAAGTTCAAAAGGCTGTGTTTGTAACTGAGAATAATCCATTTATCCACCTGTACAACAAGTACAAGTATTCGCATTTACAATATTGTTGCCTACAATTATAATAGCATACATTATTACGGTAGGTAGGTATAATCATTTAATAAAAAATAAAATAAAAATAGCCTTTATTCCTGAATTACAGATTCTTTTTTAAATTGTAAATATGTATAAATAATTAATGTTGACATCAGCAACATCTTATTTTTCAGGTTGTTTTAGAACAATCATTTTAGTATATTCATTTACAAACACAAAATTCTGAAAAAAATATAATAATAACAACTTATAATATTTTATTTAGATTCAATCCTTGACGGGGTAGTCAGACGCATTTGTCGACTACGATATACGGTTAATATATTTGTTAATAATAGTAACATAATTGGTTATTTGTCGATTATCATTAGTTAACAGTATTTATATAAATACGTATAAATAATATACCACCATAAAATTCCCGTTTTGCAAATTGTCTTATTATAACATCTCAATTGTCAAATCGTAGAAAAATGCAGTTCCTCAGAACTTAAGTTAAAAGATAATTCTACTTAAATAGAAATAAATATTGTGGAAGCAATTCAATAGAGACTGATGAAAGATCAGTAAAAGGACACTAAAGAAACCAAATATTGTAAAGAGATTTCGGTAAAGAATATACGGTGTATGAAATGTGAGAGTACATATCAAAATAGTTATGATGCACAATGTGTTGCAAGAAATAACTTTTGCTAAAAGTGTGGATTTATAAGCCATTTAGGTCAAAAGCAATATCGCACTAATCGAAATAAGTGCATGAATGTGCAAGCGATAGTTATATGGCGAAATAAATAGTATAAACCAAATAATCCATCAAGTAAAAAATAAATAAAGTTACCAAACAATCATTCAACTCTCCTATAACTACATTCATACTGAATGTTGAACATACTCTATTCCACTATAAAATATCTTGCCAAAATAGTGGAACTAAATGTTAACCATACTCTATTCCATTATAAAATATCTTGCCAAAATTGTGGAACTAAGTGTAACTCTATTCTATTATAAAATATCTTGTCAAAATGGTGGAACTAAATGTTAACCATCCTCTATTCCACTATAAAATATATATCTTGCCAAAGTGATGGAGTTACATTAAACATACCCATTGATTTGGGTACAAAACTAGTATACCCATAAATTCGGGTACAAAACTAACATACCCATCAATTCGGGTACAAAACTAACATACCCATCAATTCGGGTACAAAACTAACATACCCATAAATTCGGGTACAAAACTAACATACCCATCAATTCGGGTACAAAAGTAACATACCCATCAATTCGGGTACAAAACTAACATACCCATCAATTCGGGTACAAAACTAACATACCCATCAATTCGGGTACAAAACTAACATACCCATCAATTCGGGTACAAAAGTAACATACCCATCAATTCGGGTACAAAACTAACATACCCATTAATTCGGGTACAAAACTAACATAATAATTGACATAATATTATATACCCATCAATTCGGGTACAAAAGTAACAATAATAATAATAGTCGACAAAACCTAGGACTACTTAAAACTACTTAAAAAAAAAAAAAAAAAAACTAACCAAGAAAAATCTGACAAAATTCTAGGACATATCGAGTCCTAAAGACTCGTTGATGTACTGGGCCCATTTAAAATGTCAGTCTTGGTTGGATCTGGAAGAAGTAGAGAAAAATTGTACTCGCAGCTTATTGTGTACCTAAGAGACTGCTATGATTCATTATATATTACAATTAAGTTGCATATTAATTTACTAAACACAAAACAAACAAAAAAAAATCCAAAATTCAAATTCAATATCTAAATGAACATCAGTTAGATATTGATCATAAAATCAAGTGTTTAGTAAAATAAAATAGTATAGCTCAAATAAACAGAAAATATAATCGAACTTGTAGACAAAGCTGCGAATTGAGTTTCTCTAGTCATAGTTATTTTAAAGAATAGAAAAAAGGAATATGAATCTGTCTGTCAAGGGAAAAGTCCTAAACAAAAAATGTGCATGCTAATCTTGGTAAAAAACATGTTACAATTACTACATAATTAAAATACCTAATATGTATTTACTGCACACACACAACGTGATTTGTTTATGCAAATAAATTTATCTTTATCTAAACCTGGCTTAAAAGATGCTTTTTATCAAATTGAGATTAGAATGTACTTAAGTTTTTATAACAAGCAAGTGGTTATTTCGTTTCGATTACGATCCTACTACAATAAATAATTAAAACTCTGTTTATTTAAACAGTATTTACCAAATCTCTGTTTACAGTGACTAAATATTATATTATTTAGTCTGTGTAACAATGATACTTGTAATTTAACGTGTCAAAATCTATAAATTATATAAATATAATTTATTACTTTAAGTATCTTTATTTTTAATAACAGAGACTTACCTTAGTTTAAATATAAACAAATATTGGTCACGGTTTTGTAGCAAGACATGTAAACCACCAACTAATAGGTATATTATAATATACACATGAATGTTTTAAATGTAATAATTGGAAATAATCCCAAATAAAGGAAATGAATAAGACACCTAAACATGTATTAAATATCTTACACAAGATTAACTGTTTGTTTGTTAATATTTTAATTTCGAACAAATGATGTAAGGCTAAAACATGTCCTACATCTATTTAAATTCGCGATTCACAACGCGAAAGTTTAAAAATGTGTTCAACGTATTTTAACTTTGTAAGGCAAAATAATATACCTACATATCTGTACACGTAGGTTACAAATAATGTATTAATAAAGGATTTATGTTCATGTTTAATCAATCGTAAGTAGAATTTTTAGGGCATGAGCTAATCTCAGAAAGTATTACTTGTAAGTCCCTAAAGACTATAGAATCACTTAGAAAACCAATTTTTTGGAAAATTTTAAAGTTATAAAACTAGTAACCTATTTTGAGAAATAAATATGATAATGTGTTATAATAATATTTAGATTTTATGCGTAAATATTTTAGATATATGTATATAACTGTATATTATCAATATCTTAAATTACAAGTTGTACACAGTCACACTTATCTATCTTTATCAGTTTATTGGTACACAATAAAAGAAAATGGACTCAAAATTTGGCTACAATGACTGAACAAATACGTAAAATGTTAAGGCGTAAGCTCGCTAAATATACTGTATTCAGAGTTCTGGAAAGAAAAGCAAACATTTACAGTAATTCGTAATTTCAAAGCAAAAAGAGTTAGTAAATTGTGGACACTTAAGTTTTATAAGCCATGCAATTAGTAGTTAGATGCTCCCAGGAAAACTGAACCTTAAAGTCAATCATTACAAACTCTTTAAATACGAATTCTGAGTCCTTTATTAATGGTTTTCTATTTTTATTTCATTTGAGATAGCGTAGACGAGCATTCGCTACGACTCATGATAATTATTCTGGCACCCCGGCACTGTTGCCATAAACAGTAGATTATGTATCAAGGTACAAAGGATTGATACCAGTCTCGGTACATATAATAGATGTTGTAATCAATGTTCATGAAGAAATAAAATTTTGTCTACATTACATCTGATCTAAAACAATATATTATGTAACATTCCTAAAATTAATCGATGTCTAAACTATAATAAATGTGACGTACTTATGTAAATATTGAGATTATAAATAGTAACGTCTCTAATATTGTCAGTGTATGTATTGTAGGAATTATTAATTGGAATTCTGATATACTTAGTATAAGACCATAAATCTTCTTAAAAGTACATAAATAAAAGAAATTTTACAAGACTTGACACTTTATTCAGCACAACATTGGATAACTGCTTAGAATTTGGTATTAAACTATACTATTCGACACCATATCGACCGCAGTAGAACGAAGCAAGTAGAATACAAAAATGTGACATTATAATACGTGTACAAATAAATTAAAACCCAAAATCTGACTGGAGGGATAAACTCCTGCTATACCTCATAAGTTACAATATCATGCCACATTATTGATTTGTCATTAGAGATAAAATCTCTTCTATTGTACATGCTAAGAATAATGAGATTTATTTAGAATGGCAGAGACAAATCAATAAAAGAACATTTTAAAATTGGAAGGGAAAGATATAGTGACATAGATATTGAAAATAGGAGAAAGTGTATTCGGAATATAATTAAAGAAAATATATATGCGATACTTCAATCCCTGTATACATATACTTATTGGCGCTATATCTAGAAGAAATTATGGGACAAGAATTAAGATGAAATATACACAATAATATACTTAAGAAGATGAAAGATCAGTAAGAAATTATAAGGATGATGAAAAGAAAGATCTCGATGGACTTCGAGAGGAAATAGTCATATAGTTATTTTTATACAAACCAGTCTTATTATATTTAGTTGCCTAAGTTATATTTTGTAACATAATATATATGGTAATATCATGATATTATTTTAGTTACCTATGACTGTAATGTAAAACTATATTGTTGTAGTTGTATCTATATGAAATTTGTGAGTAATTGTATCCTTCACATTTTGTTGTAAACTCAACTTTGTTTGAAAAAAGCAACAGCTAAGTTTCTTGCCCGTTCTTCTTAGCTGAAATTGCATTCCGAATGGGCGGTAGATTTATAAAAAAAATGACTATTCAAAAATGCTTAAAAAATAATAATTAAGTTTCCTAGAGTAAAAATATTCATATTCTATTATTAATTTTAAAATATTTTGAAAAGGGAGAGATGTGATGTACTCATTAAAGTTGAGACTGCAAGTCCCCCCGCTCCTGCCACTCCTCTGGGTGACGTCCGGGCGGGTGGTCGTGTGAGTCGCATTGTGACATATTATTGTTTATTATTTCCTACACCTACCTACCATACGAGGAGAACAGCACATATCCCATCTTTCAATCTAAAATATGACCATGCGAACACAGTTGCTTCTGTATTCGATGTACCCACGAATAACTTTGATACAGTCTCTCGCTGGTAAAAAATAGTAGGTACCTATTGCTTTACCATCAACATCATCTCCATATCATCCTTTAACTGTCCACTACTGAACATAAGCCTCCCGCTTGGGGACTTTTGCCAGTTGTTGCCACGTTTGGTAGGCGGATTGGCAACCGCAGTCAGCCTTTAAAGATGTTTTAAGAGGGTCGCTGCTGTCCATCTCTCGCCTTTTCTTAGTCGATTCTTGCGACACCTACGGGAAAGGAAGGGGCAGCCTATTCTATGCCAGAATCACACGGCCAATTGCTTTATACGACTTAATAAACTACTAGCGTATATGTATTTGACTTCCCTTTAGTTATATATGTACAGTATATGTATAATTATATATATATAGACGTGGTGAATATACCTGGAATTCAGCACGATGGTTTTCAGAGGGCACCACTGGAGGTCGACCTTATAGGATATATTGCTAGCAATGAGACTGATAGTCCGCAATACTAACAATCCCTCCCCCCCAGTTTATATCTTATCCATTGTGTGGTATCTCAAGTTGTGTACGAAATAAAGGCAGTGGGTAGATAAAGTGATGAGATTAAATTATTTTCTTTTTTATTTGGATAAATTTATATTATAGTATGATATTATAAATTACTAAATTAATTAATTTTAATGATAGAGAAAGTGCCGCTGAACTACTTAACAGCATATGGCGATCGAGAGTCGGATGGTTGTCAAAACGCGAACATTTTCAACTTGCCCCATTATGTTCGAAATGCAGCAATACCCGGGTACGTATTATTTTTTTATTATATATATTTATATACTTCAATCAGGCATTTCAGGTAACAATACCGATCAGTACAGGTATTTAAATACATAGTATTTTTTTATATACTGAATGAATGAAAACTTTTTATTGATCCTTTCAAAGAATGATACAGATTGTAAAGATTTACAATATGTACACAAACATAAAGAATAATAATTACATAAACTTAATTATATAAAAGCAAATAAAAGAGGCAACAATGGGCAGTCGTATCTCTAAATAGCGATCTCCTCCAAGCTTCTTCTTTGATGGAGAAGAATAATTAAAATTATATAATTTACAATAAATATACTCTATGCGTTATTTTTTAACGAATTCGCTAAGCTATCAACATTACGTAAAGTTTATTGCATACCCCCTACAATTAACTGGTGTATCCCAAATTAGACGCGTACATCATTTTAAGGAACCTGCAGCCTTTAGCACGGTGCCGGTGACAGTCATATTTTCGTAATCTTTGAGTTTTTTTTTATACCACTGAGGTGGCAAACAAGCATACGGCCCACCTGATGGTAAGCGGTTACCGTGGCCAATTGAGTCATGTCACAAGGTACCCACAGTTTTCTTGTCATTGCTCGTAAGAATAGTCAAACAATCATAGCGTAAAGATATAAAAGTCAGACAGAGTCAACCCTATACCCTTTAATTTGGTTTAACGAGTATTTAAAAAGTCATGGTTGTATGTGAAATCCTAGCAACGGTACTTGTGATAAACTGTAAAGGAAACCTACTTACAACTATCTCTACTTACTCGTATGTTAGTATGAGTGGCATATTGCCACACTTGTGAACATTAAAATCTCTTTAATACAGTACCGAGCCAACGAACCCTGATTATGATGATGTTACCTTCCCTGAAGAAGAAGACACCAGGGAGAGTGCGTGGATGCCTATTGATAGAAATAATAATACTTTGTGAGTATTTGATATACTTATATTGTTTGTCTATAATATACATTTCAAAACTGTTTTTATTTATTTACATGCTGTAAGGTTTTTGTTATGTTCTAAAATGTGAAAAAAACACTTCTTTCTTATTCCTAAAGTTTGTAATGCGAAAAATCTGAAATAATTACAATTTATAAAAATATACGTAAACATTACAGATAAAATAAAATTATGTATACCACAACTTGAACTTAAATTTGCAGTCCGGTTTCTTAGTTAGTTACAATTACGGCTTAAATACGGAATTTTTAATTGAAATAATTATTATTAGTTGTCTATTTCGTATAAAAAATACAGAAAGAGGCCATTTTATATCATATATTATTATTTTTAATTATATAGATAGAGTTTCCCCATACAAATGCTTCGAGAAAAGTGGGTCAATTTTTTCATACAATTTTGCGTGATAAATAGTTATGAGTGTTTCCTTTATAACTTCTATATTTATTTTGTCTTATAATTTTATTTATTAAATAATTAAATATAGATACCTCAAAATACATTATGTGTGTAAATATAATAGATATATAGAACATTGATAAAAAAAACGAGTCGGCAAATTAGCTGACAAAAAGTTGACCCGTTTTTGAGACTCGATGCTCTATCTATATAATCATGATTATTTAAATATGCTTATTTAATTTTTCAATAGATTTTTAGTGCTATAAATGATTATCCAATAAATGAGCTTGGATATTAATTATGCAGATTGCGACATGATGTTTTAATACAAAAATATAAATATTGTAGCACTATCTTTATAAAAACTTTTTTCATGTTTTTTTCTGTTCTTTTTTAATGTACTGTTTTTTTTATATGTTTATTCTGGTAATTGCGAATTTTTAACACTTTTGCCTTGTAATGAATAATTTGTTTTATTTCTCTTGGTGTTTCGGTGTATTTTTGAAGTAATGATAAGAGTTCATATACAATTTTTTTATCTAAAACAACCAAAAAAAAAATTAAGACATTTACGAAGCCCTCGGTCGCTGAATTCACCTCACACTTCACTAGGTTTTTTAATAATAAGCGTGACTATTTCTAGGTACGATACTAATCTCGAGACCCAGAACATCTCAGAAGGTCAATCTTCAAACTCTGGACAACAATTGGCGACATTTAATAGTGTAATATCACAAAATCAGGTTAGTTTTGTATGTTAAAAACGTAAATTTTAGTTTTATTGTTTATATTTTGTTTTAATTTTATGTTTAAATAACAACATGCCATTATGATGTTCCTAATAAAAAATACTGAATATTAAACAGGAAACCAACATAGCAGCAAGGAGTCATCCACCAGAATCGTTACATAATGGTAATATAGAGGATTGCGAAACAAATGCACAATCGCCGGATAACTCGCAACAAGTAGTTGTAAATATTTGCAATGTAGTAAATATATCAGGAAATAATAAATTTGGAAACTGAAATGAGATAAGCAAATTAAGAAATATGTTATTTTAAAAATATACATGTATACATAAGGTAATAAGTTGTTACATTACATATAGTGGAGGGAATAGTCGTACTTAAAGGGGAGGGCTAAATGGATGTGCTCACCCCAGAATAGTCTGGTGCCCATCCAAAGGTCAGCAGCGGAAAATCAGTTTAGAGTTGATGAAGATATTGATATGTGATAAAAATTGAAACTGGCATTGATAAAAACTATGAAATTTTGATATTGAAAAAAGGAAAATTTATTCTAAAAAATACGACCATTCCATCCATAACCAAGTACACAGTAATTTATATTACAAACTAAAATCAGTCATCCTTTGTATAATATTGCATCTATTATATCTACATACGGAGATAATGGGTTCAGAAATGAAAAAAACGTCCAGATTTTGGACGTATATACAGGTCTGTAGACGTTTATTTTTATGATAAACAGAGTCACATCTGCTTTTGTACAGTTAATTTTAAGTTTTGCATACTCGCTAGGTGATTCTAGTATTTAATACTATGTATAACTAACGCTATATTACTGCATATCTATATAAATGTTTTTAATTTTGTATAGTTGTTATCAATATAGGTATTTATATAAGTAACGTCCATTATGTTCATATAGATCTACCATCGTAAAAATTTTATAAATTTTTTACAATATGAGAATCAAGTATCTATATAGATTTTGTCTCCATATACAGTCAGTTACATATTATTAAGATCGTATATAGAGTTTTGAAAGAGATCTTATTTTTAATATCATATCAATTCACAAAACTAAGACATTTATTTATAAATGAGACCATATTAAATAAAAAAAAAAAAAAACATAATTATATTACTAACTCGTCAATAACTTTCCATGATTATTTATGATCAAGTCGAAATAATTTGTTTTTTAAATATCTCATTAAGCACTAGCATTAGTCGTTCTTAATTATATGTACACGGTTGTAGATTTGAGGTGTGGCGAGTTTCTTTATTAACTGATGGCTGAAGTTTAAATTTCATAGTGTGAAAAATTTTAATTAAACCCTGAATTCATAAACATTGTAATATTTACCACAATTAATGATGAAAAATTTCTATATGCCGTTTTAGTTAAAAACGATAAAATGAAACATATATTTATAAAGTATGCGGTCACAATTCCGTCCTCAGACGTAGCTTCAAAAATCTAATCTTTGAACACCTATTTGAAACAAGTATTCACACTCATAGTTATCATTGCATCAATCTGTATCAATGCAAACATTTCTTTCCTAGAGAGCAAAGTGTTTTTATTAAAAAAAAAAAAATTGTTTCACGCGTATTCCACTTACGTAAAATATTATTTGCATGTAGACGTCGCAATTTTGTACTAGCTACTTATTTGCGGAGGTATGTATTTAATTTGAAGCTGTGCTATGCGCCAGCATTATTTGCTATATACTCGTAAGCATGCTACGATTAAGATGTCTGTTTTATAATATTATTCTAAATCTATGAATTTATCTAAAACCCTTACAATCTTATATAACTAACTTTATGTGCACGTCTGAGAGCAGTGAGTATTCCCGATAAGAAGGTGTTATTTTTATAGTAAATAATCTTACTTATAACTTGAATCTTACTGGTGTATCTCATATTTATTAAGAAGTGTTTTTTTTTATTGTAATTATTCTAAGTAGATATTTATTAAAAATTAGATAATTTTAGTATGCATTTGCTCACTTTTGTTATAAATAGGTACTTATTAAGGGAGAGGATTATGTAGTAAGTCTATCGCTCATTACACCAAAGGATTTTTACGTGAATAAGTTTTATATAAAGTTTTAAATACCAGAGTCACACATTTATTTCATGAAATTCCAAAAAAAAAACAATGAAACAGATAAACGTATATGAATTGTGATATTGAGCCATTTAATAAACTAGACGAACGAACGAAAAAAGATTTAAAATAGTTACATTGCGCTTAGTTGCACAGTATCCTGCGGCGATGTGATTATTGAGCCGACCTTAAAATAGCCTTAAAAGGTTTTTTGAGGTTATTTGTAATGGATATAGTATTTGTATGGTATATATGTTTTTATATACCATTAAATTAAAATCTACAGATAATATTACCTATTTATTAAACTGAACACCGTTTCAAAAAAAGCATATGCTTTATAGTTAAAAATTAAGTAAATATTTATTATTTTTATACAATACTATTTTCTCGAATTTAATAATTTTATTATTACCAAACCGATCACGTGACGATCGATTAGCGATAGTAAATATTAAACGATTGATTAATATTTACTATCACTGGGATTATCCATTGTACAACTTGGTATATCCATTACGACTAATCTTTTATTAGTGGACTGTGAAACTGTGATACTATGAATATCAGTGAGATATTATGTAGTACCTATACAATAATACCTCGACTAACGCTACCCTAACTTATGGTACGTGAACTCGGAGGATACGCCATCTTTAAATCTCGTCGATTTAATTATTTAAATGCTAATTAACTCATTACTCACTCTTCTTATGCTATTGTTAAGCTAATGTGTATATATTAAATTATATCCCGCGAAATGGACGCATGTAACTTACGCGAATTCGACTTAGGTACGCGGTTATTGTTCAATCCTACCAATCGTGTAAGTACGAAGTATTGCTGTAATTATTTTAAATATATTTTTATAATGTGTTTAAACACAGAAGATAAAGTGATTTAAAATTAATATCCTACTTTATTGCACTGTTACCTCGTTATAATGTGTGCGAGAGCTGTGTGCGTGTGTGCACCCATGGAGCGTAGTCAGTTTAGTGTATCGACGTCTGAATCATTCGTCGATGACTCAGATACCTGTATCTACCTGTTCGAACTTTAATTATCTCTTTAAGTAATTTATTTGTATTGACATCGACATTATTTGAATTTTGTTGGAAGTACGGAGTAAAATCAAAGCTGTAGAATATGTTAGAATTCTATAAATTTCGTGAATCAAAAATTCAATAACTTTGAATGTCTAATACCTGTTAACAGATGAATGTGCTGTAATATTAATAGAGACCTAAATTTTTTTAGCGGTTATTGATTTACGCCCATTTTACTTTAGGAAACTTCCACTGAAATCCCAGTGAAACTAGGCACTGGGATAATAATTCTTTTAAAAGGATGCTAATGATTTCGATTTAATCCATTATATAATATAAGAACTTAAATGCATATTGATACAGCTTTATATGTTTTAGTTTAGAAAATAAAATAATTCAAATTTTAACGAATCGGCTGCCCAAACTTAAAACATAGTAAGGGGTTAGAAAAAAATTTTACAGTAAAAACGAAAAATCATGATTTCACCAGCATGTTTCAAGGCCGTGCCCTAGAATAATATTAGACTAAAGCTTAATAAAAGTTGGCTTAAAAGTTGCGATACGCATATCATTGGCTTTAATATATGTAATTATATTTTTAATGGTTAATATTCGCAATTAAATTTTTAGCTTTAGAGATATGAGTAGTAATTACACGTGTTAGGCAGTAGACACCTATTATTTAAAGTTGAGTAATGTCATTTAAAATATTAAATCATAGTAAGAGACAAATCCTTACAACGTACAAATACTAAGATTTGTATTTTTTTTTTTTTTGTAAAATTTTATACATTCGATTGACCAAGTAAGAGGTACATTTATATACTAATCCCTTTATTCATTTGCAAAACTGTTACAAAATACTAATAGGTTTGAGAATATTTCAATTTTTATAAATAAGAGGATAATATATATGTGCATATCTTGACTTTGAATTTAATTATATTCATATAGATTTTACACCCGCAGGCTATAAGAAACATGCCCCTTAAGTTGAAATATGCAAAGAACCGTTTTTTTTTTTTTAAATATGGTCCTTACTTGGTTTTAACTTTGGCCAATCGACATACATACGTAACAACAGTTTTATTTTCTACCCATGATTTATATATATATTTTATACATACCTACAAAGTATTTGTTGTGTACCTATTAACATTTTTATCTAAAAATATAAATACTGTCAATAAAAGGGTATTATACCAAAATATCTGTGTGATTTATTAATTTTATAACCTATATTCTGTTTTCTGATGAATGATAATAGAATGATAATCCCACCTGCGCTATCCGTATACACTAGTGGGGCACCAGTCAGGTATGATAAGTGTGGATAAAGCAGGTTATTTGGCCCGTCGTGGTGAATTTATTAAAAATTAATCACAATGGTTTCCAATGGGAACCACGTGGAGACCGACATGATAGGGTATATTGCTAGTAATGGACCTGTTAGATTTTATTACTAACAGTCCCTTTCCCCCACTTATATAATGTTTTTTGTTTTTTGATGAGTGAAAATGAAAATGAAATGGTAACTCCGCCTGCGCTAACGGGATACGCTGGCGGGGCACCAGTGAAGGGTGATAGATGAGAATGAAAACAGGCCAGTTAGCCCATCATGATGAATTCATCAGGAATTAACCATGATAGTTTCCAGGGGGAACCGCGAGGAGGTCGACCTGGTTGGGTATATTGCTAGCAATGGGATTCTCAGTCTTCATCACTAACAATCCCTTTCCCCCCACTTATATTATGTTGTTTATAACGTAAAATAGGTAAATAAGTGATTTAGTAAGTATTTCTCTAAACCTATCTTTTATCTGGCCATGTGATTTCGGTATAGAATAGGCTACTATTTCTTTTGGCGTGGATGTCGTAAGAGGCGACTGTAGGATGGCGAGGAACGAGTAGCAGTGTCCCTCTTAAAATATCTCTGAAGCCTAACTGCGATTGTCAACGCACCTACCAAGCGTGGCAACTACTAGCAGAATCATCCACGGGGAGATTTATGTTCTGCAGTAGACAGTTAAAGGTTGATATGGAGATGATGTTGATGGAGGTACCTACTATTTTTTACCACTGTGATATGGGATTGAAATTTTAATTTTAGAGATAGATTTGTAAAAGTGGCGCCTCAGAATCGACTTTATTGTTTCAGCAATGCCTACCATATAAACTTACCATTATCATAGACGGGTGCAAACTAATAAATGATAATATAATTTTTATTCTATTAAAAGCCTATTTATTAATTTCTTGATTGAAACGAGACTACGCGGCAACCCAGACTCAGCTGATCTATACTAAAAAAAAATGTAAACATGTTGAGACGTGTTCGGGTACACTTTAATACAGTGTATACCTCAACTCTCGAGTTAATGGAAAGAAGGTTGATCTTGCCACGCTCTTGTTCGTTTTCAACAAAACAAAAAAGGAAAAGAGTGGTATAGTGAGTCATAATAATTCACAATCCTACTTACTGGATAGTGTAGTGCTCGTGCCTGTGGTGTCTGTGATTTTCATAATTTACAAGTTAAAATACCAAATTCAAAATGTTTCGGTAAGTGTAGTTTTAATAAAAATAAAATCTAATTAAGTAGGTAAATATTCTTAGTAAAATATTTTTTAATACAATAGTTTAAAAGTACACACAGAATAGTACATTTTATTCTTATACCTAAAATAGTATCAGTGATCAATAAATAGTTAATAGGAATAGGGTTAATGTGCCGAACAGTGATCAATGAAATCATAATAAAAATAATTTACAATGATCATGTAGATATGTATACTTTAAGTATAAAAAGACTTCCCATAAAAAGAAAAGCTATTGTTAGAAATTTCGTTAGGTATGATGTCAAGGCAACGGATCACAGAAAGAGGGTAAAAATTTTCGTGCTAAACTTTCCTAGATTTTAAGAAGAATTTTAATTTAAAATCCTAACAAATTGTATGCTAGGATTTTAAATTAAAATTCTTATATTTCTGAATACCAAAATGGAAGACAGGCATGACAGACATGTATGTTATATAAAAAATAAACTCCTAATTACATACTTATCATTGATTTTATGTTTTCGTATTAAGTATTTTCCTAGGTTAGTGGGATCCCTTAGTACTTATGTATACTATTAAAACATGTTTTCTAGAAAGAAAATATATTTTCATATTCAGGAAAACCTCCCTTTTTCACAGATGAAGTAGGAATATATTTATATGTTATATGATAATTAAAATCAATTTTAGTACCTAAATGAATCTTTATAGATAAAATGAATAATAATAAAATGGCTTGTAGTTTTGACTACTTATATTTAAAGGGAAAAAAATAAAATTTACAAAGTATATTCCATACAATTAAAATTATAATATTAATATTTTAAGATAATTGAAACTATTAATTATTAATTAATTTAATATTAATTAAAATTATTAAATTAAATTTTAATACAAAGCAGCAAGTAAACAACTATTTTACAAAAGAAAGTTCTTGGTTCATCAGATTTTTTGTGAATGTTAGCCAATTTTACAATTCTGTTTCTATTAAAAGGATTTACTTTTGTATTGGTTACATGTATATTATTGATGATTGATATTGCCGTTTTTCTTTGTGGACTAAGAACTTCGTGTTGTAAAGCTTCATACAAAGACATCTACTCCCCTAAAAGTTACCTGCCTTTGTATCCGCCCGAATTGTTCTAATTGTGTTTGCTGCACCTGTCTGTTCAGTCCTCAACTTGTCATAACATGTAATGAAACTATCATCAAGATATACGGCCACCGGATACTCGGCTGCCTAGCCTCACAACTGAATATCCAGAGTCCGTCTAAACGACTATTCCTCTCATTTGTAATAATCGCAATGTCTATTATGATCTAAACATATTTGAACACAAGACTTAGATTATAGATTTTACCAGAGGGAGACTTTGTACAAAAGTCGATTGCTTGGGTACCTCTGTCCCATTCGTGTTTAAACCGTGAAGCAGTTGTGTTTGCATGACTGTGTTTCGGTTTAAAGGGTGGGATATGGCGTGTATTTACTGGGTACAGAGGAATAACACCTGAGTCCTCAGGAATGGTAACGCATGGGGGGTATCATGGGCGAAACAGTATACTCTGTTATGTCCATGGTACTGCTCATGTCTATAGGCGACGGTTACCACTTTCCATCAAGTGGACCGTCAGCTTGTTTTCCATTCTTAGTTGTATAAAACAAACAAATAACATGATTGCGTACAAATAAACGTCAGTCATATTCTGACTGGCTGAATTTTTTGTTCATTGTTTAAAGAAAAGATCAATTGAACCAAGGTAGTTCAGTAAAAAATAGACCAATGGGTAGTCGTAAACGAAAGCTTTATTTACGTTTGTAATTTTCGTGATTGTCTTTTATTAAAAATAAAGATCGAATTATGTTGGTTAGTATGATAATTAAAAATAGCAAGAAGCTTTGTCTCGTTTTTGGAGTAATACAAATAAATTTCTCCAAAAACCGATGGTAGTCGACTTACCGGCACATTCACCTTATACCTAATAATATGTACTTTTCAGCTTCTCTACTCCGGTACCTGGGTGAGTTCACAACTACGTAATAGATGGACAACAAACATATTCGAATGTATAATAACTTAAATACAAATACGAGATAAGATAGCAATTTGAATACCTAAGTTTCCCTAACTTAAATAATTAGGAATCCTCCTAGGTATCTACGTACCTACATATTATTTACCGCCAACTTTCGTAGAAACATCTAGACTATAGTCAACTCTTAACAACACCTGAATAATTGGCTACCTAGTACTTATCGTGTAGATAAATAATTTATTTTGTTGATAACCAGTTATTTTCTAGATGTTTCGAAGTAATTATAATTTTTATTGTTGGATAGATAGCATCGACACCTACTCAATGATAATGTAATTAATTAAAAAATCATTGTATCTACAAGCTTATTAATAATAGGTAGATGTGCCATTTTTCCGACCACTGTTGATCCTCGAAATTTGTTTTTTTTTTTTTAGTTTTTTTAGTATGTAATTACTAAGCTAATCAGGAGGGATGGTAACCGCAGTTAGGCTTTAGTAATGTTTTAAGAGAGTCGCCGCTATCCATCCTTTGACCTTTAAGACCTTTTAGCCTCGGATACTTTTACGTAATACATACAAGAATAATATAATATATGCATAAGGAGACAAAGGTTCTTATTATTATTAAACGACTTCTAAAAGACAGATATTTACAATATACCAAAATTTTTAAAACTAAAGTTTTTAAACTAAAATTACGCGATTACGTTGAAAATTTTACGTTGAAAATTTTGAACCGATTTTCCTAATGATTTTTTAAATAATTTTGAAAGGTTGTTATAAATACTTAGGGTACCAATTCTGCGGAACTTAGAGGTTCTATAGAACAGTTAACAGGTTTCCGTGAACTTATGAAAGAATTAAAAAAAAGAATAGGTATTTCACTTTTAAAATTCTTCTAATAAAATTTGTTGTCCTTATTTAAATTACAGTGTTTTTGATTGGTAATCATTTGATATGGGGTTCCATAAAATAAAAAGTATTTGGTTGGTGATCCGTTATTTTAAAAGTTTAGTAAGCAGGATCTCCTAAACTTTAAGAAAATAAACGCACTGTCAAACGCGTTTTGAAGTGACTTAATTTTTACGGAGCAATAATAAAGTTTGTGCACCTATCCAAAGAAGTCAAATATGTCATAATAATTGTTACATTTAACAAAAGAAAGGACGTAGGTATTTATAGCTACTAATGTAAAAAAAAGTTAAAAGCGAATCGGATATGCACATACGACAAATTTTAAATATACATACATATATGTCGATCTGCTTGCTTTGTTAATTTATTGAAATAAGGTGTTTGATTGAATATTAATTGTATAATATCTAGGTACCTATCATGTTACTTTTTTGACAGATTTTTGTTACTCTTCCTGCTGTATCGATTTAGCCAGAGTGTAGAACTAGCTGCTTGTGATGAAGATTCACACTGTCCTAGTAATTTTTATTGCGAACGGGATGCATTTAACTGCCGCCAATGCCTTCGATGTGATACGTTTAATCGATCATTACCACCGTCATCTATAGAATGTGTAAGGTCAATTGTTCAATGTGGTCCTTGTCTTCAAGGGTGAGTAAAATATATTTACATAGGTAACTACAATTACAGAATTGTAAAAACAGTTGTTAGTTATGGAGTCTCAAAATCCTGTTGCTAGCGATATATCAGGTTAACCTTCACGCGATTCGCGCTGGAAAACCATTGTGGTTAATTCTTGTTGAAATACCTCACGATGGTACAACTGATCAGCTTTCATCCTCGCCTATTATCTCTCACTGGTGCCCCGCTAGCGTCTACCGATAGCGCAGACGGAGTTACGATTCCATTTCCATCTATTAAATACTACAATTTAAATTATAATATATTAAAGAAATAAATTAAAGACTACAATTAGAACAAAGGAAGATTTTGTACAAAAGTCGTTCTCTACCTCTATCTTGTCTGTAGGCTTTTTAACAATGTTTTCTCTATATTTATTAGTGAAATTCTTAAAGGCTCCGAAGTCGAAAACCTATCAGTACATTTTCATTATTGACCCGCAAAAAAAAATTGGTGTTTCGTTAAATTCCATGCATGCGGTAGCAAAAACGTGTTTACTAACAAATTCGTTTTCCGTTTATTGTTTGGAGTTGTAGAGAGTAGAGTGCAAGTTTTAGTAAAGTTCACTCTGCCCAATTAGTACTGACACCTACATACCTTGCTAGTTTACCCTGCTTCTTGATTGCAAATGTATCCATTAATTATTTAAAATTTTCAGTTTTGGCTACGCTCAACATGGATTAGAGAAAAAATGTGTAATACGCGGTGCGTCAGAAAGAAAGTTTTTACCGATTTATGTTTGGATTATTTTGACAATATGCGTTGCTGCTTTATTATGTATTGTTTCACTTCTATATAAAACACGTGTACTGAGCAAAATAGTGTATTGTAAGTTATATTTTATTTTTATAAAGTTGCATAGACTTTGGGCTTAACATCATCTCAGATTTTTTTTATTGCTAAGAAGGCAAACGAGCAGACGGTCCACTTGATATTATTATATATTTGTATTTAATTTTTTTACTTAACCTGGAATGGTACATGAACTGTTGATCAAGAGATTAATCGTCGATTGTAAAATGGTGTCTGTTACCATAATAACATAAGAGGGCGACATATGGGTGTCGTTGTTTTCTGTCAAGATTGTGGGTCTTGTTATGTATATAGGCGACAGCTACCATTTACCATCAGATAGGCCGCCAGCTTGTCTGTCAATACAATTTACAAAAAATTGCTTTATTTCGTTACTAATTTTTATATTTTGATTTTAAATTAAATAGTTCAAGATTATGTATATAACTAGTTACTTGATTACTTCGTTACTTGGCATTTAACAAGTATAAATCTTTTTACTTTCTTATTGGATATTATTACTTAATGTCCAAACACTTTTTCAAATTTTTTTGTAGCTATAATGTGTACGGCTACGGAGCAACCACAGAGACACACATATGAGCATGCACCAAGAAACGATCCTTTATTTGCTAGTGCACCTCAGTATTCAGATATCACTCCTACGGATTCCCGGATTCCCAGTTCACGTCAAGATCAGCAAATGACATCGGTCCCCAAAATGCATCGTCCACCTTTATATAATACTTACTGTCCACGCTTGGAAAATGAACCCCTAATTCTAGACCACAACACACCAGAAGGTAAGTACCTGTGATATTATTTTTTCAAAAAGTTTATCTTTAATAATCCATATAATACAATAAGATATCTAACGTTCAGGCACATAGACAATAATATTTTTTGTTGTCCATTGTCCAGACTAATTAATATAGGCATCCCCCTATGGGGGGAAATTAATCTATATTTATACAAGAAATTCCTAAAGAAATATGTATCCACTAACTACCTGTTACATATTGAAAGCATCTTTTCATCCAGTAGCGGGTTTGCTCTATACTGTGTTTACATGTACTTGGTCGCTACTCTGCTCCATTTACGAGTATGTGGTTAATTGCTAGTTTGCTATTACAGATTGCCGATCTTTGGACTATAAGAGTGTTTATGTTTATGTCATTGCTATGTACATACACCTCATGCCTAGATATCACTCAATATCGAAATGATCCTAAATTTTGTTAAACAAAAAACTAAGGCCATCAGTGGCCTGGTGGTTATATATAGTACACAACATGTTAAAATTTTAAATACCTATAAATATCTAATTTAATTTAAAATTGTGTATCACAAAAAACAAATTATTCTTGAAAAAAATTCTTAGTTTTATTAAGAAGATTATTTTTGAAGACAGTTGAAATTCTAATCTTTAAAATAATAATAATAAGTAAATTTTGGCCAACAATTTCAAAAAGCATTCTATTGATGGTTTTGTTTCAGAACCGATTAACTCCAAACCAATAATACCCACCTGTCCAAGAAATGCCTATGAATCTGTGGATCATCATTCTGCGGTCGTTTTCAACAAAGCAATTTACGATTCGGAAGATGTGTAAGTATATGCATATAACTTAATCTTACTCGTTACTACTTGGCACTGGTACAAATTGTTCAAAACTAACTTTTTTCTTGTAATAGTCTTTTACTTATTAACTCTTCTATTGTTTTTATAAATTCTTCGTTCAATTTTAAAACTGTTTTAAATTTCTGTTTCTATTATTTGTTGTTTAGTCTAGTATTATAAGCAATCGGAAATTCTTTTTCGTCAACTCTATGACTTGTCTCTACAAAAAAAGAGAAATAAAAAATTAAACTGACTGACGACCGAACCAACGAAAAAAGATACTAAAAAGCGAAAAATAAAATTAAACTAACAAAACAATAAATATCCGAAAAATAACACTTCACATAACATACTTAGCTATTGAAGTGTTTTGTCTTTTTCTTTTATACTAATTTTTCAATTTTAAGAACAGTGACAAAACAAGACTCTCTTAGTTAAAATAGAATTGTAGTTAGTTTTTATGTATAATAAGGAGGTTAGTCTATGCTCGTACATTAATACAAATATACCTAATAACCTAAATTGTTTTTTGCCCCTTTTCTCCTTTGGTTAAATTTTTTTTAACATTTTTCCCTCTTTTTTCGTTAATATATTATATATATTAAAAACTAGTACAAACAACTTCAAATTCCGTGCTTACCTACCAACCTACTATTCATTACCGTTTATAATACATATTAAAACAATCTCTTTTGTACTAATAATAATATAAACCTACTAAATGAAATATAGAAGAATTTATTATTGAAAATAATAAAAGATTAAAAGTAATAAAGAAGAGAAATAGATTAACACGTTCTCAGGAAAGTTTAAATCTGCGTGAGATAAGACTTTTGTCTTATCGCTCGTGATCGACCTGGTTGGGTATATTGCTAGCAATGGGATTCTCAGTCTCCATTACTAACAATCCCTTTTCCCCCTGTAATAGGGGTTAACACAAGGCAACGAAGAGCAGTATACTCATGATATTGAGAGCTTTATACAAAATATAAAGTAGTATAAAGTCCACGTTTAAGGCGCGTCTTTGATTGTCTTTCGTCTTCATGTATCCATATTTCAACAGAATTTTCAGTTCGCAGATGGAAATTCAGTGATGGAACGACCAATATTCCCTTGTAGTCCTCATACCATTAGGGATAAATTTATTTTTTCAAATTTAAATGGGATTAATTCTGAAATATATTCTCTTTATTAAAAAAAAAAATATTCGAATCGGACTACATGTAAAAAGTTACGCATGGTCATACATAAAGTATAATAACATATTATACAGATTCACTTATGAACCTTCTCCGTTTTTCGTTGGTTAAAAATGGATATCTAGTATGTAATTTTTCTTCGCTTATGTACGAAACAAACTTTATTCTTGTATGCAGTTTTTAAAAAATATGTCTATTGCATAACATTATATATTCTTTATTGTATATAAACATAATAATGAAACATTTAACTTTAAAAATTGTTATAAATTATGTTTCAATGTCTACTGCCTGATAACAACTAGGTATCATCGCTAATAATAGGTATTTTAATATGCGATACCATTGTTAATACAATAATAAGTAATAACTGCATCAAGTACGTAAATTTTGTTAGTTACTCGGTATATCTACCTACTAATATAACTAGGCCATCTTATATTCTACCTAGAAAGCTAATATAAAAAAGTTAACGATAACTCAATATTTTTGTTTATAGTTTCCCTCCTATACCAACAACAGAAGTATGGGAAGACACAGAACCAACTCAGATCGATGGAAACGTAGAAGTTATCGCTGCGTAAGTGAATTTTGTGCATATACTTGTAAACCTATCGATCATGATCTCAGACCATTTACTATTAAATATTTCTTTTTACATAATAATACAGCTTAGAATGGTAAACAAACTAGTAGCCGTCGTTTATAGACATGTACAGTTCCGTAGATATTACTAAATATACTGTGACGTTCATGGTAGCTGATTCATTCAAACATATTTTATATAACTCGCCCCAATTATGCAAGGGTAAAAATAATAGAAGTTAAACCTGAACAAAAAAAAAAAAAAAAAAACTAAACGTAAGAATGTTCGCTCATATCGCGGTATTTTTCTTACTTCCTGCATTTTATAATTCCAAAGAAAGGTCCAATTTGAATAATTTAAAAGAAAACTAACATGGCCGTAATCAACAGTATAAATAATAGTACCCGTTTTAGATTGATTAATTTGAGCAAAAAATTATAATTGTGACTTAACTATAAAATTAGTATAAACATGTAGTACGCATATTATTTTAAGTATTAATCATTAGAATATTCGCAGCGCATGCCATATAATGACGTTTATAATATATAACGCAATTTTTTAACACATTGATTTACATAATTGTAATTTTCGTAGAAGTTTTAATTTTTTTTTATTAGAGCACATGAGCTGTTAGCGAGTTTCATATTATTTTCATGTTTCTTTTTATACATGAATGAATTTTAGAAATCGGTTAAGTAGTTATTAGTTTTTCAATTACAAACTAACAAACACAAAATAAATCAAATCTTTTCGCTTTATAATTAATTTAGATAGCTAATTATTATAATATTTAATCATATTTGTAGTGTTGATATGGAGAGTAATGACGCTAACCAACTTGCGGTGTTGGCGCAGAACTCCAACTCACCGATTACATTAAACATTCCATCGAACGTATCCAGTATTCTCCACGTGAACACATCCACGACGACTGTATCAAACCCAAGCGTACCAACATCATCCGCCACACCTATGGACACAGTAAGTATTTACAACATGATAATATCTTAAATAAATACCTAAGCTGAACGACGTAATGACGTAACGCAGGTCTTTTTTAATGGATGATAAATGGAATGGTAACCTCGCCTATGCTAACAGTATATGCTTACGGGACACCAGTGGTAAATACACCTGGAATTCAGCGCGATGGTTTCTAGGGGGAGGAACGGGGAAGTCAACCTAATAGGGTATATTGGGAGGAAAGGGCTTGTTAGTAATGGAGTTTGACAGCCCCATTGCTAGCAATATGCCCTATTAGGTCGACCTCCACGTGGTTCCTCCTGGAAACCATCGTGAGCAATTCTTGTTTTCACCTATCATCTCTCACTGATGCCCCGCCAGTTACCATTCCATTATCACCCATTAAAAAAAATAGGGTATATTCTTAGCAATGGGACTGAAAATCCGCATTACTAACAATTCCTTCTCCCAAGTGCATGTGTTGTAGTAATGAGTACATAAAACAAGTCTAATATATTCAGACAATTCTGGGGTGGACACAGCCGTCACCCTTAAATACGCCTATGGTCTTACATACCTTATGTTTTTAATAGATATTATTCAATGTTGAGACTAGTCCATATTAAGTATATTCTTATATAGGCACATAAATGAATACAACGAAATAGAAATTGCTATATGCTACCTTCTACTATCAACTTGCTTATAAGTAGATAGTACCTATAAAGTTGTTTTATTTCGATTTCTTATTTTTCAGGAAGTCTCATGCAGCAACAGTACGATAGTTAATCAAATGACCTGTACATTTTCAACCGCTCATGTCGACCAAGGTAGTTTATCCACAATCACGGTTCAGAACACGAACATAGTACAGGTGCAAAATACTTCTGGTCATAATTAGGTATCAACTTTTTGATAAGTATTGAATATATTACCAATACCAAATTTGTAATAATAGTTTCAAAATAAAATATTCCCATATAGGCTAAGGTGAAGAAAATTGGGTACACAGTGAAGAACTTATTAATGTGATATTATATTATTAATTTATAAGTCTTTAAAAAAAAATAGTATAATTATATAGATTTTATTCCATCGTTCATGTATCTTTTTGTATTACTGCAGCACACGCATAAAGGGGAAAATTGTTACTTTCTTTATATTGTACATTTTGTTTTATTTTTTGTATATGTATTCTTTTATCTTTTTTCGCTGTGCATGTCTATTTGTATGTGTTGTTATTTGTGTGCTGTAATGCAAATAAATTATCTATCTACTTAGATATATGAGTTATCTATTGATTTAACGTTTTATCGCAATTGTCACGTTACATGACGTATGAATATAATAAATACCTATTGATGAGTTATCTTCAAATTTAGATCATACTGGAAATGTTGAGTTATTGACCCCTTAACTTTAAGTACCATTGATGTAGTTTCGTTCATTCGTTCATTTAATTATAATAAGGATCTTCTATGTCTTTTATATAACTTAATTACTTGATGTTCTTTTAATGTAAATTTTTTATACTTATAAATGCAGCACGGTCTTCAATCAAATGTTTTTATTTTATCCACAGTTTTGTTATAATTTTGTTCCATGTTTGATTTTTATTAATATGGAATACTTACTAAGTTATGTATTAAATATTATACAGCAATAAATATGATTCGTTATAGGGATTCATATCGATATAGGATTTCTAGTGAAAATTTCAAATAAGTACATAATGTGAATATTGTTTAGACATAAGTAAAAGTGATCTCATATAGTACTTACTAGGTTAAATTAAATATTATTGCTGTAGAGTGTAGATAATTTTTAGTAAACTTTTCTGTACATTTAAAATACGAATAGTTTTATGTTCCTTAATCTATGGAAATAAATTTTTAATTTCCGTGTTAATAAAAACAATGTTTTTAAACAACACAAATTAAAATAAAGGCAATGTAAATCCATTTTGTTATAATACTTAGTTACAAATTAATATGAGATAAGCAGGCACAGACAATGTCTGTTTGTATAAGTAGGTGGGTATGATTTGTATTAACTATAAAGATTTGATAATATGAGAATAATCAACTGACAAAATAAGTACATGGTAAATGGAAGAAGCAGGATAGCTAAGCGAATTCATGTTACGTCAAATATTTATTGCAAATAATTCTATACAATTAATTGCAATAAATTTTTGATAATTTAATTCTAAAAAATACAGTTCTAGAAATAACTAGACTATAATAATTTATCAGAAATGTAAGAGGAGGTTACTTATTATTGGTTATAATGAAAGTTGATAATTCTTGTACTCAATGACATTTGAATCTGATTACATTGTAATTAGAATAATTTGTATTTTAATAAACTTTTTATGAAAAAAAGATAATGACTATTATTGATCCATGGTGCTGATCTATAGTGTATATTATATGTTCTAGAGACAACAGTTAGCAATTTCCAAATTGTCTAAAAAATATAATTATATTTATTATATTATTATTATTATTTCAGCCGTTAACTGTCCACTGCTGGACATAATCCTTCCCCATAACGGGAATTTTGCTAATAGTTGCTACGCTTGGCAACCGCAGTTAGACTTTTAGAGATCTTTTAAGAGGGATGCCGGTGCCCGTCCCTCGCTCTTCCTTAGTCGCCTCATACGACACCCACGAGAAAGGAAGGGATGGCCCATTCTATGCCGGGGTACTCATAAATAATTAAATTACAATAACAAAATAGAATTTCTTTTGTGTGATTGTTTCAATTCAGAATTTAGGAGACAATGGCTAGTATCAAATTGATAAGTTATATTAGATATATACGAATATAATAAGAGAGATAAGACTTCAAGAGATAAGGATGTTTGTGATGATTCGTGAAACGACTGAACATGTAATAACATGTAACGCTGACTCAATCCAAGTAATCGTATTTTTTTTAATGGATGATAATGGAATAGTAAGTAAAAGTAGTAAGTATATATTATATTATATACTAGGTGCAGGACGACCCCCCCCCCCACTAGATAGAATGACGATCTCAAATACATTGTAGTGGCTCCGTTCTCTATGGCATATTGGTGGAAGCCTATGTTCAGCTGTGGATAGATAATGGCTGATATGATGATGATTTTTATATATATTTTCGTTTATTTATATAGATTATATATATTCAATATTTTAAATTAGTCTTAGTGTTTTTATATAGATAGATAGATAGATAGACAATTTATTTACATTACTTACAGCACACAAATTACAATAAAAAAAAACATACACGTAATACACAGCAAAAGAGACAAAAGAATAAAAATAAAAAAAGCACAAATAAAAAAAAAATACAAAAACAAAATACATAATCTAACAATCTCCTTTGTTAACATTCCTTCATGCGTGTGCCATAGTAACACAAAATGGTCACAGCTCAGTTTATTGCTTTGCCCTTAAAAGAGCAAAACACTGATATTCTGCTGTGGCCAAGAGTCAGTCGCAAAACTTTTCATTAAAAATTTACAATATAAAAAAATATATATATACATATATAAATAAACTGCATTGTATGTGTCCATTATATTTGCCTCCACTCGATATTATATTCTACATAAATAAATAAATAACAGATACCATTAGATGAGGGGTAGTCAGAGATCACTTTCTGTCACATTCAGATATTCAGTTTCCCTTTTAATTCAATGTACCGTCTTCAAACATCTGTTTGGCCCATGGTTAACTAGTAGAGAACGCCTTTAGGTGTTATGTCCGCCATGTGTACCTTTATTGAAAAAGAAATGAAAGAATGAATAAGTAAATATCTATAGATATAAAAGAAGAAATTAACTAACTACCTCTTCGACGTACGACGATTGCTGGGTTTAAAAAATATAAAAGTTTAACTGGAATGTGACGGCGCAGATTTGGTACGGCATATTGTGGGAAACAAAGTTTTTAAATAAAACATTAAATTAGTAGTACGTAGTGATTTATTTGCTTCAAAACGACAAACAGTGCATAGTCCTAGATTAATTCGACAGGGGCGATGAAAAGTGCCACGGCGTTGAGTAGCGCCTCGTCGCGAGGGAAAGAGCGCGCGAGTGGGGCGCGGACTGACAGCACCAGTTCCTCACGCGCCTCGCTACTGTACACCGGCACCTCCAGTGTCGCGTCCTCCGCCCTCTCCATACCCTCAAATCCCACTACCGTGCTCTCCTTTGTAAAAAAAAATATGTAACCCTGAGATCGATAAATGCAACTATATATATAATAGAAGGAAGAGAATTATCAGGTCATCTTCCAAGCGGTTCCCCTGGAAACCATCATGATAAATTCGTGGTAAATTTGTCATAGTGGGCTAACTGAACGGATTTCATTCTTACCTATTATATCTTCCTGACGCCCTGTCAACGTATACTAAGAACACAGGCGGGGTTCCTATTCTATTTTCACGTTTAACAAAAAATATGCCGACAGCAGCCACTATGGTGAACAAGCATATTTAAATAAAAAATGGCACAAAGTGAACATACACATGATAATATTTATTAGAACAGTTTTAGGTTTTATTCATAAATGATAATCCCTTCTGCGTTATTGGCATACATAGGTGGGACAATAGTGAGGGAGAATGGGTGAAAAGAGTCAATTGGTCCATCGTGACAAATTCAATAATAACTCAATCAAAATGGTTTCCAAAGGGAACAACGAGGAGGTTGACCTGATAGAGTATATGTTGGAGTTTTAATACTGGTTGTTGACACTGAGGTTTTTTAGAACAATTTGTTCTTTGTCAGATTTTTATAAGACATGTCTTGTATTTTTTTCACTAAACTTATTATTTTATATCTCAAATACATATATGTTTTATTACTGCATCCTGCTATTTACAACAGTATATTGCTAGTAATAGGGCAGTTAGACCCCATTACTAACAATTCCTTTCCCCCCAACAGTTTTTGATGCTAGCTAGATACTAATAGCTCACGATCTCTGCGGTCTTCGTTTGACTGATTCTGAATGAAGTTTTAAAAACTGTATATAAATTGGGCTCAATTACGTATAAAATGTATGAGAAATCTGTTCAATCATTTTATTGATAGGATAATAAAAAGAATGGAATGCATGTTGAATATATTTTGTGTATCACTAACAGCGATATATAGGTAATTTGAAGATAAATATGTTTTTTTTTTTTTTTTATACCACTGTGGTGGCAAACAAGCATGACCTGATGGTAAGCGGTTACCGTAGCCTATGAACGCCTGCAATACATTTACGCGCGCGTTGCCGACCCTGAAGAAACCTCTTTACCCCCTTTTGAAGAACCCCATGCTGTAGTCTCTCGATCGGCAATAACCTGAGTGTTCGTGGGAGAAAGCATCTCTGAAACCGCGTTGTACGCGACCATTTAGCATAAGTTGAATATATTGATTGTAGGCATCATATCGAACAGTTCCTCTGAGCACAATCCGTTGTATAAGCGGTATATATAGGGTTCAATACCGCTTGAAGATATCATCGATATATACATTGCACTGAGTCGAAGGGAATATGTACATGCAGACTTTACTATAGACATATTTGTTTGATATAATCTTGACAGATTTAATTTTAGATAGTATTTAAAGGAATATAGTAATTTCAGATATACTCGTAGTTGATTTGAAATAGCACCTATCAATCCTGATAGATAAAAAAGTGTCGCTGCAAGAAACGTCATAAAATTTTGCCATTGATAGTAAATTTGCAGTAAATTCTAGAATTAGAAAACCAGAACAAGACAATCTGAAATAATACGTAATCTTTTGATACATATAGTTGTCACTGATATACACGTATATCTTTTATTTCGTAAATGTTTGTTTGTTTTTATATTGACTTATTTTGCATAGGCGTCACAGTGTATCCGTGATGTCTATGACCACTATCTACAGTTATCACTTACCATAAGATGGGTCGTCATTTTGTTGTCATTTTGAACATTTTGGTACTTAAAAAACAGCAGCGTCACATAATATTCTTATAAATGATGAAATTTTTTTTATACAACTTAGAATGGCAAAATAGCTGACGGCCCACCTGACGGAAAGTAGTAACCGTCGCCTATAGACATGAGCAGTACCATGGACATTACAGAGTATACTGTTTCGCCCGTGATACCTCTCATGCGTTACCATTTCTAAAGACTCAGATGCTATTTATTCCTCTGTACACTGTAAATTCACGCCATATCCCACCCTTCAAACCGAAACACAGTCATGCAAACACAACTGCTTTACGATTGAAACACGAATGGGACAGAGGTACCCAAGCAAACGACTTTTGTACAAAGTCTCCCTCTGGTAAAACATGTTTCATAGATAGTTACTACAGATAATACTCGAACTTAAAACAGGAAATTGTGTTCTACAAGTACCTTGCTTTTTTTGCTTCGTTAAGAAAAGCGGCGCCTTCGATTATATAAAATGTAGCGTTGGCACTTTTAACTGCGGGCGGATTTGAGCCCCCAAAAGAAATCATACCTGTCAGGTGAGTTCTAAACAGTTACAGCGTTAATCAAGTAAAGCCGGACGGGACCTACCTGAGCTTGTGGCACGTAGTAGAGTAGAAGCGGCGGCGCGGCGCAGTGCGGCGCCGCCTGCGCCGACACGGCCACTAGCGCGCCCGCTCGCCACTCCGCGCCGCTCAGACGCAGCCCAACTACTATCACGCCTTCTGCACGCCGACTGTCATCTACACATGACACATATATGACATTGATGTCGTGTGTATATATTATATCACCAAATGTGAAGATGTTACGTACTATGTGCGTGCGTGTGCATGTACGTACGTGTGTGTGTGTGTGTGTGTGTGTGTGTATGTGCATGCGTGCGTGCGTGCGTGCGTGCGTGCGTGTTAGCTGAATTATTAATATTTTTAACAGAAAGGTCGGATCTGACAAAGATTACATATAAAGATCCGTCAGTATTCTACGACTATGACGATATGTTGTTAAGTAACATTTGATTTCGATTGACTAACAAAATTTCAGTTCGATATTAATAAATTAAAAGTTAACAATAAACATCGCTGACTGATTAATATTGCAGCATGATTAGGTCGTATCGTCTACTTTTTAGTCTAAAATTTACATTCCTTAAAACGTGTTTATGTTATAAGTATTACAGTAACATAGATACCGGCGGGTGGATCCCAGAGGGTGGCGAGCGCGAGGTGGTGCGGCGCACGCTGCAGACGGCGGGCGGCCCGCGCCCGCGCCGCCGCCGCCGCGCGCGCCGCCCGCACCCACACGCGCACGTCCAGCTCTGCGCACGCGCAACAAGCACACGCTACAGCTACCGGCCGCTTTTATAGTTTACACTAGCATGGTGGACTTTATAACACGATAGCAAATGTTCGAAAATGCATTTAAAATTCCCAAACTATTTAGGGCAACAAACCCCTTTTCCAAAATTATTTAGGGCAATAGACAACTAAGACCTTCATAGCCAAATTACTTTAAAAATCCTATTTCTAGGGTTTTTTTTTTTGTAATATAAAATACTACTAAAAAAAAAACATTATAATCGCAAAGGAAAGATAAAAAGTTTGTGTTAATTAACAGGGATCGAATAATAGACCTCAATGACCCCCAAAATCAGTTTTCGTTTATTTCGACCCCTGGGAAACCGTTTTCGATGCCAAGAGATCGTTATCGATCACTCTGGGAATCCCTAATCTAATACATATCTAAACAATATTTGATATTTGTTATTATTTATTTAAAGTAAAAGTGCTTTATATTTATACTAGTCTATAGTAATATAATATTATAAATATGAAATGTGAAAATGTAATTACCACTTAGCATCTTAATGGCTTTACCAATCAATATGACATCTAATATACACATATCATAAAGTGGAAAAGGGGATATACTACTCTTTATCCCGGTTAATTGACGTATTCTGATTACGTCGACGAAGTCATGTCTATAAACTAGTGATATATATTTCGTATGTCGACTTAAATGCCTGGAAATGGCATAAATGTACAAGACGAAGGGTATTACCTGCAGGTATGCGCGCAGGCGCGATACGCAGCCGCTCGACGGCGGCGCGGGCGCGGGCGCTCAGCTCCCTCACGTACTGCACCGGCGCCTCCGGGCCCGCCCATATCATCTGCCACTCTTCTGGAACCTACACAGTCATACTCAAGGCTTTATACTTACAACTCGCATATGTTGTAGTTAGTATAATTTTTAGACCTTAAACTATACTTATAGATAGAGCATCGAGCCTCAAAAACGAGTCACCTTTTTGTCAGCTAACTGTTAAATTAGCTGACTCGTTAATTTTATCAGTATTCTATGTATTTACGTATAAAATGCACCTTGACATATTATTTAATAAATAAATTAAGTATTTACGCATTAAAAAGATGCAGAACTATAAGACAAAATAAATATAGAAATTATAAAGATACTCATAACTATTTATTGCGCAAATTTGTACGAAAAAATTGACCCGTTTTTGTCGAAGCATTTCTATGGAGACACTCTATCTATATAATCTAAGGTTTAGACATTATAGTCATTTTGTAAAAAGCTGTGCCAGTGCCAGTCCAGTGACAGTAGGAACAGTTTGTTTGAGGAAAAATGGGACGTTTACGTTTTTCCAATTTTTCTCTTAATATCTTCCTAAAAAATACATTTTTTCGATAAAAGGAAATAAAATTTTTATAGTCAATTGCGAAAGTATTACAAAACGTATTACGAAATTGATATTTCAGTACTAGGTGGCTTTTCGTCGTCGTTTTTACTAACATGATAATGTAATAGTAATGGATATAGACTGTAAAATGAACTTAGTAGTAAACAGATTCACAGAAAAGACATTGTTGTAATTAGTTACTAATTAGTAAAATATTCGAATACGGAAATTAGTATATTACTAATTCATTCATCGTATTATAAAATTAGTCGTTACTAATTCGAATAAATAAAGAAAAATGGTCTAAGGATATTATAGAGTGGTGTCCGAGACAATATAAGAGAAAAAAAGGGAGACAGCGTCGTAGATGGGAAGACGATATCAAAAAAATAGCGGGACACACCTGGAAAAGACAAGCGCAGAATCGCATTCAGTGGCGAACTCTAGAGGAGGCCTATGCTGGACAGCAAGACAATCTTCACGTACCGGTGTCAAACAAATAACTAAATTATTATAACTATATTGTAAGATTGTTAATAAAGGCTATTATTATTATTATTATAATTCGAATAACAAAATGATTCGGATTCGAGCATCGCTAACACAGACGCACCTTGTGCAGGGCGCTAGCCGGGCGGCGGCGTGCGCGGGCGAGCGCGGCATGCAGCGCACGCGCAGCGCGGCCCGCGTCCCGCGCCTCCGCCGCCGCCGCGCCGCCCCACCACCGCGCCGCCGCACTCTCCGCCGCGTCCGTGCCGCGCGCCGCACTCGCGCCCGCTGATATTGTTATCTCATACTGTAGCATACGGGACGACAAATAAAGTTATTAGCATCCTCGTCGTTTAAATCTACCTAGCTCTATTTCGCTGTAGTTTTGCTCACGTGAGTTAGATTAAAAATATTCTATTAGTCGATCTAGAGTATAGTCTGCGTATCAAATTTCATTCAACTTCGTTGAGATGTTTAAGCATGACTGACTAAAAAATATCTAAACATTCGTTTATTGTATTAACGGGAGCGGCATAGTACAATAAAAATACATGTCAAGATTGTTTACTAATTATGTCAAGTACGAGTATACAGAAAGACATTTATATTTTTTTTACTAATTCATATTATATAATGATTTGCTATCAAATGAATCGTACATACATTTTCTACGACGTAGTCTCCTTTCAAAAGTGGATTACCAGCCATCAATTTCTTCCAAAGTGACAACAAGGTTTTTAACGACGATCCATCTCCAGTGTCATCTTCGCTAGTTTTGTCTGTTGTACTTAGTTCTATAAATATAATAAAAGTTATCAATCAACTAAAATCTGTTTAAAATTTGACTAAAATCAAGATAATTTAGTTAGCAACCTAGAAATGAGCTAGGAAGTTTTCATGTTTCACAGCTCACCTAGCCAATAGAATTGAACATAAAGTGAATTTATACAGTAAAATATATTGATAGCTTTATCCTACACATTACAAGCTGATCTATCTATTTAATCTGATCTATTTTATTTAAGATTAGATTCTACATAAAGTACATAAATATGTATCATAACGGGCGCTACCTTTAAGTCCAGCTATAATGTCGCTAGCAGCCTTCTTTTCCCAAGCTATGCCGCAGTTAGCTGGCAGCCCGAGCAACTGTGGCGTGTCGATGTCGGGTAAGGCTTCAAACGCTGGCACGTACGCCTGAAATTTATTTTACGTATCATTATAAAATGTAATCTAGTTAATTTAATTCATTTAAATTTTAGAATAACAGCGAGATGTTTTTTTTCCAATTTTATTACAATTAGTTAATTATAAGCCATTCAAAATACTAAAATATATGTAAACATAGTAAAAATAAATATAAATGTAAAAAATGAGGCGCCACTTCTCTAAATTTATCTCTTCATCTATTAATTCAATTAGATAGTTTCATGGAATTATTGTTTTATGCACTATAATAAAGTAAATTTATAATGGCATCTAAGAATCGACTTTAATGTAAAAAAAAGTATCAATTGTGCTGCGTTGTTTGGTAACAAATTTATACAACTTGTATAAACTTGGTGATTTTACAAAAACCGATATTTTGCGTTGTTTGGTAACAAATTTATACAACTTGTATAAACTTGGTGATTTTACAAAAACCGATATTTTGAATGATTAATACATAATTCTGTGGCAAAACTATTTTTCCCTAAATTCGTGATAATTTAAAATATATTTTTTTTTGTTGATAGATAAAATCACAGAAATACTTTCAAAACGAAATTAGTAACAAGTTCAAAATATTAAATCAATTCATCGGTTTTTTTATTGTGACTGGAAACGGATGGCACAGCGCGTGCGTAACGGAACCTGCAAGGTGTCGGCGCTGGGCAGGGCGACGCGGAGGCCGCGCGGGCTGTAGTGGTGGCCGAAGGCGCGGTCGTGCAGGCAGGCGCGCTGCATCGCGGCCAGCACGGCGCGGTCCGCGGCCGCAGGCACCCGCGCCTCGTACAGCGCCAGGCACAGCGCTCGCGCCGCCTGCAGCCGCGCCTCGCCGCCATCACCGCCATCACCGCCGCCGCGTGCCACCTCCGCGCACGCGCTCGCCTCGCCCCATCCCCACGCGTACCACTGGCTCCACCCTGACACGTATGACATCCCAAACGACATTAGTTGCTTGCCGCTTTTTTAATGGATAATAGTGGACTAGTAATCTTGCCTGCGCTTTCGGTATATACCGCCGCGGTAACAGTGAATGAAAGTGGGTCAACTGGCTCATCGAGATGAATTTATCAGAAAGTAATCACGAGAAACTGCTTCGAGGCCAACCTTATATATTGCTAGCAATGGGAGTATAAATATTACTGTTATTTTTATATCAACATCACGTTACTGTCATGTGGTGCCGGTATAAAATAGGCCACCCCTTCTTTTTCCGTGAGTGTCATAACAGGCGACATAGGAAAGGCGAGGGATGGGCAGCAACAACCCTCTTAAAATATCTCCAAAATCTAACTGCGACTGTCAATCCGCCTACCAAGCGTGGCAACTACTGGTAAAACCAACCACGGGGGAGGCTTATGTTCAGCAGTGGTCAGTTAAAGGCTGACATGATGATGATGATGATGATCACGTCATTGAAAACTTTTGTAAAAATCCTTACTTTTTTAAAAATTTAATAAAGTGTAAAAAATAATAAATTATGAAGATAGATAATAATCTCCTTAGCGCAGAAAACGAGGCCGGGTACCTTGCGGTATGTAGGCGCGGCGCTCCTGCGCGAGCGCGTGGAAGAGCGCGAGCAGCGCGTGCAGGCGCACGGCGCGCGGCGGCCCGCGGTACGCCGCCCACGCGCTCACCGTGCACAACGCGTTGTGCTTCACGCCCGCCGCCGCCTGCACGCGCGCAACACGCACGCATCGTGCACGCGTCAACAGTAATTATAAATTATAAAGATAAACACAGATACTTCAAACGTAACGTGAAAAGACAGAGGGTTGACACAGTGAGACCAACCGTTGAGAATAGTACATTCTCTTTTCAGTTGGTCGCTCTCATAAGGCCTGATGTTTTATCGTTCAAGTGAACACGAAGTGAAGGCACTTTGTGTTCATATGAACAATTTGTTTTCTTAAAAAAAAAATTGCTTACTTCTCAAACCAAAACATCTGTGTTATGGGAAACTAGAAAACGTACATATAGGATGTAAGCCAGGACGCGGAGCCTAATAAATGTACAAGCCTCTCATTTATATAAATATTTATAAAAATATCTGGTTGCTATCAGTATTTTTATATTATCGATAAAAGCTGAAGCTAATAAAGTACCCCCAAATTATATATTAATCTCTTTAAACAACATCAACATCTCATAAACTTATTATAGTTATTGAACTGTTTTGTCCCTTTCTTTTATACTAAATTCTCAATTTTAATGAATGTGACAAAATAGTGTAGTAGTTAAAATAAAATAACATCAATTCGAATAAATTATTGTTTAAATTACTAGTATATAATATATACTTAATATGTAAGTTAAAATAGGTCTGTAGGAGTGTTTTTTTATAAATAAAGAAATTTAAATAGCAATAATACACACCTCAAGAATAACATTTATGCAAGCGTTGGATATGAGTGGTGGAATGTCACGCTCTTCTGTAACTATCCATAAACGAAACTCGTCGCTAAAATCTTCAGCCTGAAATATTAAATTTATTATTATAGTTCGGACTAGCAATCCGGCCCAGAATCGCACAGATAGATAAAATTTTCACAAATAATAATAGCCTATGTTACTCGCTGATAATATAGCTTTCTATAGGTGAAAGATAATTTAAAATCAGTTTTGTAGTTTTTTTTTTTTTTAATTTATCCATCACAAATTACATACAAAATTTTCCATTTTATTATATTAGTACAGATATATATCGTGAGACAAATATAATATTAGACGACCGCTGTCATCAATATGAATTTCTATATGTTTGTATGCAGAAAATAACATACTTAGTTCCGTTAGCTTATATGTATTTAACATAAAATTATTACTTAATATAAACAAAATAAGCTCAACTAACACATTAATATATTAATTGATAACACTTTAGTGTTTAGTGATTTAGAAACCTTCCATTAAGGTATTAAGTACGATGGACGTATGCTTCTAAGAAAAACTGATGCTAATGCTCTATGATGTTCTAATATAAGGATGTAAATATACCGGGCGTTGTATGAAGTCGTCGATGAAATGCTGCAGTTCCTGCGTGAAGGGCGAGGCTCCGACGAGCAGCAACAGCCAGCCACCTCGCCGCGTCCGCTCCACCGCCGCTTCCCACGCCGCCCGTCCCTCCTCTATGCCCACCTTTGAATATTCGTTTTGTTTACGTAGATATATGTGCGAAAAACTGACAAAAATATTCTCATATGAGATTAAGAAAAGCTAACTTGCCAATACTGTACTCTATATATATATATATATATATATATATATATATATAAATAAACTTAATACGCCCTTTTTGAAGAACCACATGCTGTCGTGTCTAGGCAAAGCCTTGGAAGGAATATCATTCCACAACCGAAGTGTTCGCGAGAGGAAGGTCCTCTGAAAGCGTGGTGTGTATGATTATTCTTTTAGGATGTGAGGATGGATTCCCTGCTGATAGCGAGCACTGCGTTAATGAAAGATGTCTGTAGGCATCATGTCGAAGAGTTCTTCAAAACACCAGAGGGAGACTTTGTACAAAAGTTGATTGCTTGGGTACCTCTGCCCCATTCGTGTTTCAACCGTGAAGCAGTTGTGTTTGCATGGCTGTGTTTCGGTTTGAAGGGTGGGATATGGCGTGTCTTTAATTTACAGGGTACAGAGGAATAACATGAGTCCTCAGGAATGGCAACGCATGGGGGGTATCATAGCGAAACAGTATACTCTGTTATGTCCATGGTACTGCTCATATCTATAGGCGACGGTTACCACTTTCCATCAGGTGGACCGTCAGCTTGTTTGCCATTCTAAGTTGTATAAAATAAAAACACAATCCGTTATATAGGCGGTATGCGTTTACTAAAGCATTAATTGCACGTACCTGGTGCAGCGTGTGCGCGCGCGCAGCCAGCACGTCGGCGACATGCGCGCCCAGCGCCAGCAGCGGCCGAGCGCGTGCGCCCCGCCCCGCGCGCACCGCCGCCAGCACCGGGTCCACGCTCGTCGCGCCCGCGCCTATATACTTTCTTTTTAATAGATGATAATGAAATGATAGCCCTGCCTGCGCTAACTATATACACTAGCAGAGCACTAATGAGGGATGATAAGTGAGAATGAAACAGCAGGTCAGTTAGCCCATTGTGATGAATATACCTGGAATTCAGCATGATGATTTCCAGGAGGGTCCACGTGGAGGTCGACCTGACAGGGTATATTGCTAGCAATGGGACTGGTAGTACATATTACTAACAAACATTATTAATCGAGGAAAAAGTCCCAGATTTTAAATATGTCGCTCTATGCTATAAAATTATTTTTATTTTATTAATTATTATTATTTATTTGTATTTACAATAGGTTTACTATTATAATCTTATGGAGAAAAAAAATAAAGAGTATCTATCTCTATGTCTATCTAATCATACGAGTCGAGATTTACTAGCATGAGGTCCCAAAAAAGTAGATGTATAAAACCAACGCTGCTATATACAAGTACATACATCGCATAATCATAAACATTAAAATAAAACATAAAAATTTACCGTAAACTATCAAATTCTGGATCCTTTCTTTTCGCTTCTTTGATATTAGTTTTAATGTTGTGTAGGTAAGCTTCACAATTTAACAAGGCTTAGCTCGCAATTTAATCGATATCGAATCGATACTTACCTAAGAAATGATCGACGACCGTCACTATAGCCCGATAGAGCGACTCGGGTCTCAGCGCCGACACCGCGACCGCGTTCTCGAACGGCGTCAGCTGCAAACGGGCTATCACCGCTGGGTCTCCAGAACTCAAATATTCTCGCCAAATTTCCTCATTATTCAGGGATAATTTGTTAAACAATTCTTCACACGTTACCTGAAACAGGATATATAAGTAAGTAAAGATGATACTCGTAAAAACATTAAAAGTTTAGTAAACTTGTTTTTCTTTAGTGCTCATTTCTTGCTTTAGTGCTCAGTTTTATGAATATGAAGGAAAAATCTTATACGAACTAAATGTATAATACCTTTATTTGAGCGACTTTATCTACGAGTTCGTTAGGTATCCACGAGTAGCTCTTTTTGATTTCATCTACAACAGTTTGATCTTCAATAACCAAATTTCCAATAAATATTTGCCATAACTGAAAAAGATACAAAACTATTAACTAAACAATGTTTGTTTATAATTTAATGTCTTGCAAAATCAGAATTAAATATACACAATAAAAAAAATACAGTTAATAAAATAGTAAAGTGGCAAGAGTGAAGTAAATATTTTTTTATTGTTAATAACTAATTACCTTATGAGGTATTTGTTCATCATAAACTTCTTTCAACAAGTGCAGTATCACGATGTATTTGTCCTTCTTATGGAGAGCCAATGATACTCTCTCTATGATCCTTTTTGTTACAATTTTGATAACTTCTTCATCGTTAATGTTTTTCGGGTCCTTTGAACAGCATTAAATGAATATAATTACAAAGATGCCACTGGGAAACAGGAGCCCTGTTTCTATGTTTCAATTAAGATTTGATGGTTATCCATCATTAGTAGCTATTTGTACATATACATTATATATACTCCACACTATTACGTTTACTGCACGAAATTCTATGTGGAATCGGAATAAGTATACAACGTGGCACCACTCTTTTTCGTGTCTAGAATATTGTAAGAGGCAATATAAAAAGTATAGACCTTGTTCCAAGTCACTAGGTCAGCGTGGTAATAATAGGTAAGAATTCTCTTCAAGAACAGGAAATTTGTGCTCAACAGTGGGATATTAATGACTTTTTAAGGAACTATATTATTTATACTATACTATAATAGTGACTAATGATGGCGTACTAGTGGAAGATAAAACGATGAGGATAAAATCAGGGCGTGGCGAAATGACTAAGAGTTAATCCTGATGGTATCCAGAGTTAACATAATGTAAAGGTACAGGTCAATAACTGTTGGTAACGTCTACAACTGTAGACGTGCCCGCCTCAAGTCGGGTCAAGAGGGGCGGTGAATGCTAACCGGTCGCGTGCGCACGGCGTCCGCGTAGACGTGCAGCGCGACATCGAGCGGCAGCGCGAGCAGTGCGCGGCGCGCGGCCAGGCGGCGCACGGCCAGCGCGAGGCGCGCGGCCCGGCGCGCGCTGCGGCCGAGCGCGCGGCTGGCGGCGTGCGCGCGCGCCTCGTGCTCGCGCGCCGCCGCCAGCGCCGCCGCCGTCGTCGCGCTCGTCGCGCGCGTCTCGTCCAGCGACGCTAGCACGCCCGCGTCGTGCAGGATGTCGCTCTTCGTCGACAGCTCGCGGAGGAGGTTCTCCTGTGACCATGTCGTGAACACGCTATGAAACATATGCTGTAACGTCGTCACTCGTAATACGGGCTTAGTCAGTGTGAACTCCGTAAAATATAAAAGTTCACTAGAAACTGCAATTTATGAATTAATTAAAAGCGAATGAATAGTAAAAAAGAAAATAATGAAATACTTTTCGTTATTTCTCATACCAAGACATAGTCAAATAGATTTGAATGTAAACAGTATTTCTCGTACCTGCAATTCATGCTGCTGCTTCTGCAAAACAGCTTTAGTCATCTTGATTTCTTTAGATTTTTCAGTTACATCGGGATTTTGTTGTTGTAACGCGTAGTAAATTAATCGGTCTGGAATATAGAAGTGCAAATTTATTTTATAAATAAATATTTGTCTGCTCATATCTATAGGTGACGGTTACCACTTTCCATCAGGTAGACCATCAGCTTGTTTACCATTCTAAGTTGTATAAAAAAAAAATTGTCTGCTCATGGACTGACTGCAAAGACACTAGAGGAAAAAAGACATAAGCTTGGAAACTCTACTCATTACTATCCGAATTATATTACATTAATATCCGAAGTTATATTGTATTGAACTCGAGCAGCTAACTACAGCGTCGATATCTTATTACATTTGTAATCAGCAAGAAGAGCATTAAAATAAATACGGGAATGTTAAAAGAAAGTTTAAAAAGAATAATAATATAAATTCAAGAGGAATATTAAATCGACGAACTTTATCGACAAATAAAACAACATTGCTTTTCAGTGGTAATCATATTATCTTCATTTTCTTATTATTAGACATTTTACGAAAAATAAAAATAATTACGTCCTATTTATAGATTTATGTTTGGCTGTAATTAACGATAATAATCCAAAGTACAAACCTGTGAGCGGATCGAGCCGCGCCGCAAAGTGTACGGTTGAAAGTCGCGCGGCGACGTGCGGCGGCAGGCGGTGCGTGGCCGCGCGCGACACCAGTACTAGCCGAGCCCGCGCGGCGCCGCGCGACCCGCCCGCCATCTGCCGCCATCCGCACACTACCGACGCCCACGCTTCGTGCAACTGCTCCACATCCATTACTACCAACACGCGGCCCAGCCTGCACACGAATACACAATATTTAAAAAAAAAAAAAAAAAAACTTGAAATGTCATACAAGCCAACGATTCACCTGAGGGTTTATAAATAAGTGTTTAAAACATGACAATTAAACTGAGAAACACAAATAAATTCTCGTAGATTACAAAATCAGTCCAGAGATAAATATGATAATGACTAAAATTATTCTGCACAACCGTTTTCTTCACAAACACCAGCACAAAATGGTTTATAATGTGGATTAAAACACTCAGTTTTCTGCCTTGTCGTTAACTTGCATTGAAACTGTGGGACTTAAAAAATTATAATAGGTATCTTGATGAAAAGTAGCCTGTAGACCTGAACAGCACTATAAAGATCATAGAATATATTGTGATGTTATTTTCACCTCTCCAACGTTGTCATTATTGAAAATTATATAGTTGTCCTCTGTGATTTATCTACTATATCCTTTAAAACTTCAAGCACAGCTGATGTTAACGTTTAACGTTAGAAACAAAAGTAAGATAAAGCAGACAACTTTTGTAATGAGTCTCACATTGGTGCGATGACATATACTTAAATACTAGTCTGTTAAAAGGTAACAACAATAAAGATTTTAAAATATTGAACGTTCAGTCAATATGTAGCATACTAGTACACATAGATAGCATGTAGCATAGTAATTGAGACAGACTGATAGTAAGTAAAGTCGGTAATAATACAATACCTGACTGCATACTGAACGGCGGTTTGCAGCTTATCGCTGTGTTGTGATACAAACTCGCAGGGAGCACCGGCCAAGGTATTCTTCAACCACGAGATCGCATCGCCGTCAGGATCTACGATCAGTGTCGTGAACCCACAGTTTTGTCCTTCTAAGATCTAAATTATGAAATAAAAAAAAAAACTATTTATATAAATGTAGTATAACATGTATGTACATACATATGTACATTATCAAATTAGATTACAAATCACGCGAACGCGATGTAAATTAACCACTATAACTAGGGACTCACTCAAAAAGTATTCATTGCGTCACCATTTATGTAGTATTAGCCAAATTACATGGTGAATAATTTAAACAATTTAGTAATATTTTTCGCTTTAAAACTCACTTGATCAATCAGAATAGCATTTTTCACAGCAGACATATCAGAGGGCAAGCCTTCTGCCTCCCATTTGAGCTGTTTTTCGGTTGTCGATAAAAAGTTCGGAACGGAAAATGTTGGATCATCAAACCCAATAAGAGCGCTCCATTTGTTGATGTAATCTCTGCAATTTAGTAAGAAAAACAATACAATTTTGCATGTCTTATAAAAGGACTGGACGTTAGTATAGACAGAAATAATAATTTTATTTCTGTATGACGTGCATTATTATATTATTATTTTAGCCGTTAACTGTCCACTGCTGGACTTATGGCCTTAAGCCTTCTCCATAAGAAGAGTTTTGTCAGTAGTTAACTCGCTTTGCAGGAGAGTTGGCAACCGCAGTTAGGCTTTTAAAGATGTTTTAAGAGGGAGGCTGCTGCCCATCCATCGCCTTCCTTTAGTCGCCTCTTACGACTCCCACGGGAAAAGAAGGGGTGGGCCATTCTTTGCCGAAGTACACACGGCGATGTGCATAAGTGACTTAAATTATCGTATATATTTATATTATTATTATTAATTATTTATTTTAATCATTTAATTGATATTAAATTCTTAATTTCTAAAATTTGTTAGTAATATTTTTTGCAATATTTGTTATACTTACCTTGCCTGCGGTTCCGTCATATGTGGCAAGTAAACAATGTAGGCAGCGGCCAGTAAAGATCGTGGATTCAACTCTGTTATTTCCTTCGAAATGTGTTCTAGCTAAAACAATTTATGACAACATACACTTTTACAAACCTCTTTACAGAATCATCTTATATTTTATAGATAGAACATAAATTAAAAATATTACAAAAGTTATGTCATTGACGTAATTGTATACATTGATTGTATTGAGTATTATCGACAATTCAATATCAGAAAATGTATATTAATATAATAAGTATTATAAGCAAACTAACAAAGTCAGATGTTTTATGTCTAGTTCAATATTTATTTATTTGTTTATTTATTGGGTACATTAGTTGCAATCTACCTAGTAACCGATAATAATTACATGAAATTAAAAACTCTGATACTAACTGACAAGTGCTAATTATTTAGCACTTACATCTTGTTCCCAGGCGTCGTACTCGTCGGCGAGGCGGTCGATGAGGCCGGTGGCGGCGGCGATGGTGTCGGTGGCGGTGGCCAGCTTGAGTTCCAGCGCGGCCGCGTCGCGCGTGTGCTGCCCGAGCTGCTCCTTTAGTGCCGCCACGCGCGACTCCACGCTTTCTAGCCCACTCGATAACGCCGCCAACTGCGCCTCTGCGTCTTGCAAATTCCTATATAATTATAAAGTAAACTAATGATATTCAAATTTTTTTTTCAATCTGGCGCTAGCAACACCTCGTGTAAAAAAGAAATTTAAAAATGATTCTCATTGTCCGGTTACGTTAGAGACCTTCATGTGTAGTGAAGAGGGCCTAAAAACGTTGACACTGGAGGTGTCATCCTTATACAAATAGCAATAGTATTACTACTTTTTATCTCCAGAATATCGTGGGACTGAACTAAAGGAACAAAGTACAATATGGTGTAAAGTAAATATATGCAAGAAAAACTTTATATAAATCATCATCATTCTTTTTTTTTTTTGTTTTCGCTCTAGTTTGTTCATTTTTTTCATTATGTTTACTCCTATTTTTGTTGCTTTGTGTACAGCGCCTTGTATCTATATTGTTGCTATTTGTAAAAAGGTATTAGTGGCTTATTTTGTGATCCTAAACTGTATTTTTTTGTTCTAGTATAGCCCTGGTTTTCCTATGAATAAATAAATAAATAAATATAAAACGCTATGCTGAGCCACTTGAACAACATTGTTATATAGAGCCATTATGTTCTTCTAATAGAGAGAGATCCGTTGTCATTGATCGTAGTAAACGTAGATGGAGTAGGTGCGCGTACTTGTGCAGATGTCGCTGCTGCGCCTGCAGCGGCTGCACGCGCGCGAGCGCGTCCGCGTAGGCGAGGTTGGCGCGCACCCAGGCGGCGAGCGGCGCGCACGCGGCGCTGGCGCGGCGCGCCGCCGCCTGCTCGAACGACGCGCCGCGCCGCGCCAGCAGCCGCTGCACCGACGACACCGCCTCGGCGCTTATCTGGCTCGCGTCCAGGCACCTGCCGCGCGGACAAGCGGCAAGGAACAGAATGATAACTCAATCTGCGTTATATTGGTTTATACAGGTGAAATCAGTTGGCCTATCGTAAAAATCTACTTTATTAAGCTACCGTTGAGTAAAAGAATTAAATCTAGTGTTTTTAATTGAATGTAGATATTTTATCGATATAGGGGATTATTAACATTTAATAAAGTTTTGAATTTATCTTTCTATTTAAATATCCTATGTTATATAATCCTATAATCCTCTATTAACATCTTTTGAGGAATAAATGTCTAACTGAGATTAAAAATTAATAACTTATAAATATATAATATATATAAATATAATAAATATATAATAAAGTGAGGTAAAATTAACAAAAACGAACGGTACAACAAAATCCTACCTGATGTCTTCTTTAACTCCACGTTTAGATAGGAAATTCTTCATAGAATGCCACGAAGTATCAGCGATGCCCATTAGTCGTAATACACCTTCTAGAATATCTCGCACTACATCAGGGGGCGCTCTTAGTGAACGAACCTATAATAAGTTATTTTTTTTTTTTAATATTTGTCTAATATTTAGAATAATTTATAATGGGATCAAACAAGTTTTAGTAATAAAAAAAAAAAAAAATACATAGTTTCATTAGAGAAACAGTAACATACTTCGCTCAGTGACTCGGGACGTATATCGCCGACTGCTGCTCGGGCAGCCGCTATAACTGGCTCAACAGAGGCTAACTCCGCTTCAATTTCTTTCTTCCTGATAAACGATACAGTTTTAATAAACATAAACGTTACAATGTCATAATTAAATATTGTTGGACTACAAATTTGGGCACTTTTTCAATATATTGCACTGTCAAAGCAAGACACGTTATACATCTGTGTTCCATTTATTAAGGAGTACTTCAAAGCAAAAATGTACTTGTAACAAAAACTGAGCGCGTTTGACCACAGCACTGGCAAGGGTGTTATATAAAAAACAAATATCATCAGAAGAGTAAAGATCGAAGACTTTAAAATTAAAATGAATCAGTGTGAGAAGTACCTTATCTGCAGATTGTCGTTCTCGATCTGTATGCTGCGCTTGAGCGCGTGCATCTCGTCCTTCTTGTCGGTAGTGGCGGTGACGGTGGCGGTGATCTGGTCAAGCGCGGCGGCGGCGGCGGCACGCCGTTCACCCAGCTCTTCCTGCTGCACGGCTGCCGTTCGCTGCAGCTCTTGTACCGAACTGCGGGCGCGACGCAGTGCCTCTACGCCTGCCTGCACACCGCACTAATTGTCACCTTCCTACCGTATTAGTATAAAGACGTGGCTCTCTAATGTCAAGTCTCTAAGCTACATTCGTTGTACACAAAGGCTTCTGACGTCAAAACCATATACTACCATACCATATATAAAACCATATACCATATTTAAAAAAGCAGAATACAATATGTACGTGATAAAGGGAGATATACAATATTCTTAAATACTAATATTATTAATGGGAAAAGTTAGTTTATTTGATACTTTCTTTTCTTCTTATTTAGTCTATATAATATGTATATATGCATATATATACGGAGATAAATTATAACAGTTGATAAATAATAAATTCATTACAGTTGATACATTAAGACTACTTTTTTATTTCAAAACACTGCAAAGGATTATTTGTTTTATATATATATATATATATATATATATATATATATATATATATATATATATATATATATATATATATATATATATATATATATATTATATATATATGTAGTACATTAGAATTATACATACAGATCCGTATACATACCGATAGTATCCCCTGTCTCTGAAGTAGAGCATCCCTCTTTCTGCTCACGATGCGGTAGTAAGTCTTGACAAAGTTGACATATCTGCAGGGTGCGCGCATCAATTCAGAATCAATACTGCCATAGATATTGACGAATCCATCCACTGGAACTGGCTCTGCCTCATCCTTGTTCGATTGCGATAGATTTTCCTTCATAAGCCTACAATAAACACAATTTGCAATATACGTTTCATACCTGGAATGCCGTAAAAAAAGAATTTAGAGTATAAAACATAACAACGTAATGAGGAGAACTGTATAACCGAGTATTGATATATAACCGATTGAATGAAAGATATTTTTATTTACAAAGAAAAAAGAACAAATAATAATACAACAGATAAGTTTGTATAAGTACAATAAGGGGACTGATCATTGTACTTGGATTTTGAATTCGAATTATTAAAACTAAAAATATTTAACAAAGTCACATAACAATTTTACTGTGTCAATTAAACAACACTTAAATATTAACCTTTAACTACCGATAACTCTAACATTTATAAAATGCTTGTGTTATTTCAATATGCTGCGAATTTATTTTAACATCAACTACTTTTTAGTTGTATTTTATTCGAAATAAATTCAGAAACAAAATTTTACAGGAGACACAGAAAGAATATTAATTTTCTGTGTCTCTTGTACTATTTTATCCATGTTAGTTATAGATGAACGGTCAATTTAGTATGGAAAGTTAATAATTCATGATACCACAAAAAATATACTCATTGAATTTTAAATTTTCACCTTGTTTACACATATTTTAAATATACTACCAGGACTTAAACGTTTCAACGCAGATTGCACCACGTCGTAACCACAACGTCGAAACGTCGGTAATAAAGAAACAGGTATGAAGGTACTATTTACCTGCAAATTTTTCATCGCGTTAAGTCCCAATAGTGTATTTAAAATATACTGAACACAAAAAAGATAATTAAAATTATTGAAGATATTATATCACATATACAAAAAGTGCAGACGAATTGAGAACTTTTATACTTTATACATATTTCGACTATGGTCTTCGGATAAAGCTGATCAAATTCATTATGATAATTATAGCTAGGTTTCGATTCCATTACAACCTGTATAATTAAAAAAAAACAAACTACCTACCTGCATCTGAATCTAGTGCAATGGTGCGTTCAATCACAAGTGCATATGTGTAGGCATCAGTATTAGGCCGAATACCTATTGATAATGAGCCGGGGCACTTCGCGCAAGGTCTCTGTCGACCAGTTCTCCAGCCACACTAGGTGGCTCTCGTCGTACAGTAGAGGATATTTTTCGAAGAGTTCCGAAATATTGTCTTGGTTTTTGTCGATGCATATTAAAATGCCTAAGTTTTGTTTTATATCTGCAATTTTTTAAAATATGAATGTAACAATGAATATAATTTTGCTGCTCTACTAATTACTACTACACAGGATGATTTTATAATTTGCTGTGATACGTCTGATTTGATCGAATGAATAACATATGATATTGTAAAATTTCTAATCAGATTCCAGGCAACGTCATATCGTGTACACCTCTATATAGGACGATGCCGCACATCCATCTTTAAATAGATCCTACTCTTATATAAATGTAAATTAAATGCACATATTGAAAATGTATCGAAATCATATCATCGGTATTTGAGTCAGAAAAAAAAAACGAAAAATTGGCTTAAATTGTTTTGACATTTATCGACCTATGTTTTTTTCTTACTTTCATGTTTCTTTAGGGAAAATGTTCAGTTTCACTATACAGATCACACCCTTAAAAAGCGCCAATTCCACTTGTAAGGATGCTAATTATTTTGATTACAACTCTGTAGTTACGTTAATTCTAAGACAAACCATGCAACTGATGGTGTGGCAGTTGATTAGGCCGTAATTTTGGTGGTAGCGTTCGCAGCGAGCGTGCCCGCAACACTGTCTCTATCGCCGCCAGCTCTGGGCCCGCTCCCGCTTCTGCCTGTGAGTCTGACCCCACCCGCACCATTAACACAGTGCGACCCTCGCTCGCTGAGCACAGCGCCTGCATCACACCATATGGTACTATTAAAATAATGATTACAGAAGAGAATTTGTAAATTTTGAAACGTAATTAAGTAAAAATTTTGAAAGATGAATAAATTCATTATTCATTTAACAAATATTGATTTAATTACCTAAAAATTATTATTAAGGCTTTGCAAGCTTGCATTATATTTACAATTTGACACAAATTTGTAATTATTCGGTTGTTCGGGGCATACATTATACAGGATATACAGGTTGTAAGGGACAGGTTGGCAAAAACTGAACGGTGAATTCAGACCATTATTCTGAACTGAAAACCAATGGCAATTTTTTCCAGAATTTTTTTAATATTTCTCCTGTTTTTTTTTCATTTAAAATTATGTAATCTATGTTGTCATAAATATAAAGAAACAATAATATTTTATAGTAAAATACTAAAAATAACAAAAAACACAGCAATATATTATCCGCGTCGTGGTAAAATTTTAACGACGCTTCTACCGCGAAGAAGCGGCTTTGTAGGTATCACGCATTGCAGCGATTGCTCGCGCACACCCATGTCTCGAAAAATAAAAGGAGCACCTACGAAGAGTGCGGGCATTTTCCGAGGTATGCGGGTCTGCCTGAGCATTTCCCCTCGACAAAAACAAAAAAATGTATCACGCATCGCATGGATCGTAAAATTCTAAATACAATTCGTGGCGTTAAAACTAAAAATAGTTAATTATATGGCTGTGATGCATTTCCGGTGGGAAAATAATCTGCCATCTGATTCAGACCATTCATCTGAATCATTTTGGCCTTTCCTTACACCCTGTATTACATTACATGATTACACAATTAATAAACCTGTAATTTGATAAAATATTGCTAAGAGAATAGATATATGAACACAAGTTGCATCAACATCACAATATAAATGATTACGTTTTTGAATGTTGCGTTAAAATGTTGCGTGTGCTCCGCGTAATAAGCGGTAGCGGGTAAAGCGGCAGCGGCAAGCGTAGCAGCCGCGCTTACGCCCGTCCCCGCTCCACTCACGCAAACCACCACTCCGCCACTAGTCTGTAAAAACAATCATTATTCTACCCACTTGTCTAGCAATTTCTGCCACTTCGTTTACGTAAGCTAAGCAGAATTAAAATAGCCAACATTCTTCCAAGCACCATGTTAATGGAATTCCATGATGCTAATCATCATGAAATTTTATAAAGCTGATCAGGTTCCAATAAATAACACACAGTGAAAGTGGTTATTTCACAATTAGAATATTAGTATGGAAATAGAGATGATACATTTGAGAAATTGTTATAAAAACATTTTTAAAATATGCATATCATATTTTGGTGATTCTTGAACGATTGAAAAAGTTTCAAAGTGGTCGAAAGTCAAGAAAAAGCAGGAAAGATCTTATTTTCCACATTTTCTACACGTTAAAGAAGAAAATATTCATAAACGGCGGGTGACTTACTGCTCGTGCTATAGCTGGACACAATATGGCTAGTTCTGAACAGACTTCTACACCGGTTTCGCCAAATGAATTTTCGTCGTCAGTGACTGTAGAGCAAAAGGTTAACTATAACTCGCATCTATAAATATAATAAAACTGTAGAGATCAAATGTCTGTACATAGAAAAAAAATACTAAAAACCGAGTCAGGGGGATGTTAGAAGTAAAATAGAATACGTCCAGATATTTTTTAAATTTTTCGTTTCTCTGTCTGTTTGTATGGGTGAATCTACGAAACTGTTGGACCGATTTAAATGAAATTTTGCATAGTGGTACCTACATCTCCGGTCAACATTTTAATCACGGAAAATAGAAAAGTTCTCGTGCGATAGTTAAAAAACTATAGTAACTTATACAGCTTAGTACACAACCTACGTAAGTGAAGTCATTTTGACCTAAATCAAAAAGTGAGAACGACACGTCATTTGTTAATTTTGTCTAGTATTCCCAGACATAATAATAGTTAGGTACATACATCGATACAAACTAAACAAAAATAACAAATACCACGCGGACAACGATGCAGGCACAAGCTAGTGTCTAATACAAATATGCCCATATTATTTTAGTTATATGTGTCATTAGCAAATGGTGTAGTGAAAATTTTCAAAATATACTTACGGCACTGATTGATAAGTTTTTGTGTCCACTGATACCATTCTTTTTTATCTACCATTTCCATATAAACCCCGTCGCTGCGAAGTTTAGCAGTAAAATATGGCTTATCGTTGGTCTGGGTCTTCAAATATTTTCTAGATATCGTTGTGAATTGATTTTTCTCCTCGTCTGTTACCAACCTATCCCTGAATATTGCATCGGCTTCAGCGCTTAAACCCTTGAAATGATAGACAACACTATGATAAATGCCGCATACCTAACTGAATTACCATAACAGTTATTTACAAAGGTTAAGGAGATAGCCTAGTATTATGATGAATAAGTTTATATTAAATTCTTGTATTGTATTTGTACCTTACTATCATATAATCAATAAAATTAAAAAAAATAATATAAAGTAGTATTATCGTATTCGTAATTTACTTAATTATATAATTAATTTTTACTGCTAATCATGTTTTGAGCAACTCAAAAACACATAAAGAAAAAAATATATTATTTTATAACATGAGTGTTACATTAAAATAATATACACTCTTGAACCCCGACGATCCAATAACATTGACTAATCCTCCCCCCTCCCCTTTCCGCGGAACATTCATCACGCGTAATCACATAGCCACACTGCCCACACCATCCCCGTCGGTGGGGACGAAGACCCCCGAAACACCATTCATGCATGATCAGGTTTACACTTGAGAGCATGTCACCGACCTCTCCCCCTCTCTCGATACGACAAACCGACTCTCTGTCTCTTGATAGGGGGTCGAAGTGCGGTGGCCCAAGCCGAGGTCCGAGCTGTTCTTAGTTTAGCTGCCGTAGTTTATCGGTAAGAGTCGACACTCTGTCGCTCCCTTCACGCGGGCTTGGAGTGCCATCCGCAGTCGCTCCTGCACATGCGCTCGGTAAAGCTGTCAAGGCCAACAGCATTTACAGGTCGAAAAACAAGTTTAGGTATTAATGATATAATTAGAGAGATATTTACCGTTATGATTTCTACCATATTTGTGGGCGAGTACCACTTGATATTCTCTGTCCACTTCATTAAATGAGATGCGTTCCATTTGTAATGATTTTGCGATTGAAACGTTTTTGTTACCTGATATCACAAAAATATTATTTTTAGAATATGTACAAATAATTTCATCATCATACATATTACATATTTTAATATAATTGATGAAGGATACGCCAAAAAATGGTCGACTTTGAATCCGTACACAATTCGAGGTAAACAACTGGAACAAACCCACAGTCAACGACTTATATTTTATAGTTGCCTTTTACATTATTTTAGAAATGAATTGTTGGATACTCATATATTACATTTTTTGCGGCCAATTGATTATATATAACCAAATTTATTTACCTCTTTAAACATGGAAACAATATCATTGGTGAGGGTTAATATTTCATTTTCCGATATATATTTGTCAACATAGCTTTTCAATGAACTTTTAGTTAGTTCTATTAGTTCATCATCATCAGGCTCGCTGAAAAAAATAAAACAATATTTTTATATTACCATTAAAATCCAAATATTTAAAGACAGCTTAATAAGAATTATAACGTTAGCTCGCTAGCAGAGCACCTTTTAAATAATTAATCGGAACCATTGCAAATTGTTAATTTTTTAATACTTCGACTTTGCCACAATTTAGGAAGTATAAACGCTCACAATCGGATATTTACGAACACGGAAAAAAATATTCATATTCACTTAATAATTTTCAAGAGATAATCCAACAGATGTGCAAATGTTGGATTATCTCTTGAAAATTTGAATATTTCCTATAATAATAATAAGGGTTGCCTAATTTCTATAATTATATATCAAATGGTGATCTCTACTAGCAATCAGTACCCCCCTCCCCTTCTATCGGTTTAACAAAGTGTAAAGAAATACATACGAGAGCACGCATGGTGCGAGTGCAAGCGCCAGCCGTGAGTCGGCAAGCGGCGCAGCGCGAGCAGCAGCTATCACGCGTGCTCCGCCCACCTGCCACCAGGTGGCGCCCTCTCCACCCGCCTCGCCACCCTCGCCACCCATTTCACCCCCGCCGCCTGCCGTCCAGAACCCGCTTTGCTGAATTATCTGCCGGCCACATTACAAATATTTATTTTTTATTTTAGAAGTTTGAGTATTCCAATGTTATGTGACATCCCTCTACCTCTTTACTAAAAATGGAATATATCACGTGTCACTTTATTTGAATCGAATTTGAAATTCAATCTTTAACAAAAACAATATAGCAAACGTAAATTGACAAATGACGAAGTGCTCGCAGCACAAAGCAGAATTTTGTTAACATGTACATAATAAAATAGATATAACGTAGATACGTTAGATTTGCTCTGAACTCACACAAATTATTAAACTATGCAAACACAGTATAAAACAATTTTGGTATATTTTAATGCAAAATTTTATTTATTAGTCGACGACATCCGAAAATGTTATTTTTTTTTACTAAGGGCTGTCATTGTGTTACTTACAGTAGTATACCATTTATATACATCGAAGCATATATTAATGACTTATCTCTGTGGGATATTTCAAGCCGTACCAATTTTATAATATCCTAGACGTTGTCTGTGTTTTAACATTAATATCGAATTTAAATCAAACCTTTATAGGTTTCTAATAGTTATCCAATGGGGAGAAAGGGATTGTTAGCAATGGAGTTTGACAGCTCCATTGCTAGCAATATACCCTATTAGGTCGATTTCCACGTGGTTCCCCTGGAAACTATCGTAAACAATTCTTGTTGAATTCGTCACGATGAGCTAACTGATCTACTTCATCCTGACCTATCATCCTTTACTAATGCCCCGCCGGTGTATGCCGATAGCGCGGGTGGGGTTACCATTCCATTATCATCCATTAAAAAAATTTGTTATTCAATACGTAAAGATAAACAGTACACTACCTGTAAGAGAAACTGTTGGATCGCACAACTCCCCCAGCTGTCGACTGGCGCGCGATGTAACGAGCGAACTACAAGGGTAACACGCGTTTCGCCACCAGTATTTGTTCGTCCACTGGTACCCGCGCTCGCTCGTACTACATTATTCTGACAAGACATTACATTATATTTTATATTAATATAATTTATTATATAATATTAACAGTGATATGGCATTATTAATATTATGATTATTATAAAATGTAAAATAAATAATATTATCTTGTAATAATGTATGGTGCTTCATTATATTCCAGTAAGTGACTTTAACGGAATCCGGGAGATTAAATAAAGTGATCATATAATGTATTTTTACTCGGTCACCATATAGACATATTATTATATTGAACAGAAAAACCAATATCCTTATAAACAAATATAATTACCCGTTTTAATTCTCCAATGATATCTACTGGCTCCAATATAGGCGTACAGTCTATTGTTATAACGATTGAATTTGTTTCCTTTAGTACGTGCTCTATGAGTAAACTGAAAAAAAAATCAAATCAAAACGTCATCTTTATTTTGTATCTTTTACTCACATAAACAATGTAAAATGAAATGATAAATATTAAAAAACATTGAGGAAAAAACGCACTTCTTAGCACTGGCGTCCGCTCCGACGAGCAGTAGATGCGCGTGACAGGCAGAAGCGGAGGCGGGAGCGGAAGCGGCAGCCGCCTGTAGCACGCGCTCGCAAGCAGCCAGCCGCTGCGAGACGAACAGCCGCTCTGATACCCACGTGCCAGCACTTGCGTTCACGCCCGATAACGCATCCTCCGCAAAAGGTGTGGGCCGCAGAGGAATCTGCAGCTACCGATAAAGGAAATTTCCATCGAGTCAGTTATATAAAAACTCAAAAAAATGTAACAACAGCGTATTTTTTTAACACAAAAAAGCGCGTTCGTTTGCAAGTTACAACTCTTGAAGGTTTTCTATATCTATTTACCTAGGTTAAAATATATCATTTTTTGTACCTAACGTTAGTAATGAGCAATAAAGAAAAAAAGTTATATTTTCCTAGACCAATATGATACGAGAACAATTTTTATATAGGTAACATAATGAACACATACATCTTGTGTTTATTTTAAACAGCGACTTTTTTTTTTTATAATCTACTAGCTTTTATCTGAGACTTCGTCCGCGTGACCGCGATATGTTTACTGATCGGGATAAAAAGTAACCTATATCCTGCTCCATCTCATATAGTGCGTGTATACCAATTTAATAAATTTTATAATGATTGGTTAAGCCATTAACAAACCATAAACAAACAAACAAACTCACTTTTACATTTAGAATATAAGATAAGCATTATTGTAAATCATGACGTTTTATTTATCCACTTTTTTAAATATAGAGATAAAAATATTGCTCCCAGTTAATGTGGTAATAATTATACATTCCTAAGCCATGCACACGAAAATAAAAAAAAATGAACTGTTTTTTACAAAGCGTTTGTAGTAAGTACTGTGACATTATAATAGATACCTCCTCATAAAAGCTATCCATTGAATTCTCTTTCAATAATCCTGTAACGCTGCGTTGGATAGCTAAGTAGGTAAGATCTTCTGGAACATATGCTGCATTCAAATTTACATTCTGAGCTATGTACGTGAACTGTGTTAATACTTGTTTGACCTAAAAAAACATACCATTTTATTTTTATAAACTATTAAAATCTTAACAATTTTACACAAATACAAAACACAAATAGATTATAATATTAATAATTGCCATATGCTGATCGTAAATATTTATTGATACTTTTAAACATACCATAGTCGTATTAGATATTTTCATGACTAGATCAGTTTTATGCGCATCAAGCCAATCCAAGCATTTCTCTGTCATTTCTTGCAACAGTGGCAATGTCATCTTTGTAGATTCGTTATCAAATTCCATTGTTTTAATCCAACTGTTCAGTGCTTCTTTAGAACAATTGTTTTCATCACTGGAAGTGTAATAGAAACAACATTATATATAATCTAATTAATTTGCATCATCTTGAATAATGTTCACGCGATTGTTCACAATCTTACCTGATATTAAACTAGCTGTACCCCGTGACTTTGCCTAATATATAAAGTATTCTGTGGTAAATTGGAATATAACCTGCTCGTGTACTAAACCCACCACCACATCTTCACAAACTTTCGTGTTTATACAGTACGTTTAATAAGGATTAAAACAAATGTATACCCGAGCAATACGATCCCGAGTCGCGAGATGGTGGCGGGCGAGGCGTGGCGCAGCGTGTGCGTCTCGAATAGGAAGTTGGTGGTAGCGAGGTGCACGCGGCCACCGGCCGGCAGCGTCAGCAATCGGTTGTCGTCAAGCACCGAGTTCAGCGCCTCCACCCACTCGGGCTCCACGTCGCCATCGCACACCACCCACGGCCACACATCTGTGCGCCCACGCACACACAAACACACATATTTATAGAGTGAAATGAAAATCTTTAGTATCCTAGAATGAAAACGAAACTGAAGATTTCCATCAAAAAAACATAGATAAAAAATTAAAAAAAAAAAGTTTGAATGACTCAAACAATTTTGTCATTTTTAAATTTTTGATTCAATAAATTTCAGTTCTAATATGTCCTATAGTACGGGTAGATTCTTAGTTTTGTGTATCTACAAAGACATGTCTGAGAGTACATAATATGCAGTTTTCCATAAGAGGCTAAACTCATTAGGCCCCCTTTAGAAAATAATCTTAAATACGCCAATGAAAGGGAAAGTTATATTAATATACATATTTTATATATATTATTTTTATATATTTTATTATATTAAGATACAGTTCATGTTAAACAGTAGACAATTGACCACTGAAATTATAATAATGAAGCGCAAAATACTACACTTGGACTGTGATAAAATTGAATTTTTAATTATATTATGAACTTATATAATTATTAACAATAATCTAGACAAGCAGCTACTAACAATATAACATAAACTAATAGAGCAAACGGGATTATCTGAGTTATTCTTGGAGTATAGATACAGACTTTCTGTTAACATGACTCAAATAATACCAACCTGGTGGTTGATTTGATACTTCTTGAGCAATAGCTGATATGACTCCATCTGTCCACTGCCTGGTATCCAGATCAATATGACCAAGCAGCCATTTGCGGCTCATTGCCTTTGGTGAAATCACGTACTCCATTATTGTCTTGCCTTGCTGTATGAGCGCCTAATATAAAAAAAAAAAAAATATTTGATACATATGCTTAATATGCAATCAGTAGACACTGTAACAAGCATATCATATTATTTTTTATTTTTTGATGCCTTAAAAAAATAAACAGGAACCCATTAAAATCCATTAGTGATAAAAATTTTACTATTCATTATAAGATTTTAATTTTTATTAATTTTTTTTTAGTTTTCGTGCAACATTAAATTCGTAGACACAATATGAATAGAAGGAAAGAAAAGGAACGTTAGTAATGGGGTCTATCAGCCCTATTGCTACCGATCGACCTATTGGGTCGACCTTCTGGCAGTTTTCCCTGGAAAACATGGAAATCAACGTGGTTAATTCTTGTGGAATTCATCACGATGAGCTAACTGGCTTGCATTCATTCTACATCATTCTTATTATTTTGATCTATTGGTTTACGCAACAGTGGAGAGATGATCATCTATCATCTCATGTGTATACTGATAACGTATACGTATATTTATTCCATTTTTACTCATCAAAAATATGATTAGGAGATATGCAAGCTTTATAATAATCGAACGTGTATGTACGTACATTCTTCAATATCTGCCTGATGGTTGTTTTGCCGGATCCGGGCGGACCCACGATCGCAACTCCCATTCGCTGTTGCAGCTGTTCATACAACTCCGAACATTTTTGTAACTGAAAGCAGAATAAAGCTATATAATATAAAAACCAATCCAATTGGACAAATTAGGTACTTATTACATAGACCTATCTAGTTTTTAACTTAATAGAGCTTGTATTATAAGTACCAGACAGCTAATAGGCAGACTTATTATTTTTTTTGTTCATACATAGGCACACATTATATGACATATATACAAACAAACACACTCATAAATACAAATGTTTGTATTGTGTGGGAATCGAACCTTCAACCATGAGAAGGTGAGTAAGCGTGTTTAATCGCTATACAAATAAAGTCATCAATGAAACACAAATTACTCCTCAAAATAAAATTCAAATATTAATATTATATAAAAGTTGAATATCTGTTAAATATTCATTTATTAATTACAGACACGTATCAACAGATAGGAAATATAATATTTTTTTCTGAAGGAATGTATTCACCTGAAGCTTACTAGAGGCGAGACCTAGCGTTTGAACACTAGACTCTAATGCGGTTTTCATTGGATCTATGCGTTCTTTTTCCGGATTGTCACCAAACACTAGAGATAAAATATCCTCGAATCTGCAATATAAATGCAAATCATAATTATAAATAAACAGTTATTATAACAGATTACAGATAAGTATCTTTAAAGCTTCGTTTTTGTAATTTATTGTAATTCATTGAACTGTATCTTCGATCGGACTTACTGCAATGAATAAAACACCTACTGCCGGTTATTGCATTTTCAATCAAAATCAAAAAGCCTTCACCTATTCTTAATTTTTTCTGTATTTTTTTATGGAAACGTTAAAAATATTTGTTAATTCTACGCTGATTTCGATGATTGTTTTTGCTATTTGATTTTTTTTGTAAAGTCTATTCCCATATTAAATCCTTAGTAAATTTGTGACCTCCTTATAATTTTTTTAAATTGTTAAGTTTCAATGAAGTAGTAGGTAAACACTTATCTCGATAAATATTAATGTAACACGAAATATAAGTTATTTTTCTAAAGTTATTTAATTATGGCTTTTACAAGTTATGGTATGAAACTGAGGATAACTATATATACTACACATAACATCACAATAGTCATACTACTAATAGTAAACAACATATGAAATAACCTGCGCGCGTCGTGCGGAGTCAACTTGGAGAGGTTGTTGAGCGCAAGCACGGTGCGAACAGTGTGGAGGGCACGGTCGTGGTCGGCCGACTGGGCTCCCAGCGCCGACAGCGCTGCACTGCAGCTACTCACTGCCGCCTTCAGGGCACGCAGGCCCCAGTCGTAGTGTCGCTCGTTACTGAGCAGTGTACTGTTATAATAACGCATAATGTAAGATCTTCACTGACGGAAAGTAAACATCTGAATAATTTTACATATACTCCTTTATATTAATTAATTCACATGAATAACATTATGCTTGCTATTAATTAAATTACTTGATCCATCAAGTAACGACAACTGATAAAAGCATTTAGTTTTGCATATTTATTGTATCATTTCAGCCTTTAACTGTCCATTGCTGAACATAAACCTCCTCCAAAAGGGGAGTTTTGCCATTAGTTGCCACGCTTGACAGGCAGGTTGGCAACCGCAGTTAGGTTTTTAGAGACATGTTATATGAGGGACACTGCTGCCCATCCCTTAACTATTAAGTTCCTTTAGTCGCCTCTTACGACACACACGGGAAAGGAAGAGTTGGCCTATTCTATGCCGGGACCACACGGCTATATTTACTGTATACGTGAGTTAAACTTACAAGTTTTTTTTTATACAGTTTAGAATGGCAAACAAGCTGACGGTCCACCTGATAGAAAGTGGTAACCGTCGCCTATAGACATGAACAGTACCATGGACATAACAGAGTATACTGTTTCACCCATGATACCCCCATGCGTTGCTATTCCTGAGGACTCAGGTGTTATTCCTCCGTACCCAGTAAATTCACGCCATATCCCACCCTTCAAACCGAAACACAGCCATGCAAACACAGCTGCTTCACGGTTGAAACACGAATGGGACAGAGGTACGCAAGCAACCAGCTTTGTGACAGGTGATTTATAGTGATCCATCATGTTTTAATCATCTGATCGTCATCAATCAGACAAAGGACACTAGCATACCTCGCGAGGTGGAACACGTCGTGTAGGCGGAGGGCGAGGTCGGGCGCGTGCGGCACGCCGGCGGCGGCCAGCAGGCGCGCGGCGAGCGGCACGGGCGCGGCCGCACGGCCCGCCGCCGGCCGCAGCGCGCGCTGCAGCGCGGCCGGCAGCTCGCGCCGTCCGCCGTACCCGCGCGCCGCCGGGTTCAGCGTCGCCATCACGCCGCACCAGCCGGACACTGCCACCTGCCAGCGACTTCGCTTAAAACATACGCACCAACTACCAAACATATCATATCAGTAAAAACATTCGAATTAAGAGCGTTCATAATAAAATATGGCAACGTCGCAATTATCTGTCAATTTAAAAAAACAATAGATCATTTGTCAATGTTTCTAAATTAGCATCAACTGACAGAAAAACAAAACATCAAAATTATGAAATAATAATTAGATTAAAATTTTCCTAGACTAAATCGATTTATAAATTTGAATTTGGAACTATTTCTTCGGATTTATATAAGTATACATAAATACATATAGGTTATAAACTAATGTAATAATTAAAACAGCGACCTTTGCAAAGCGAAAACATATTATAAGTAATACTTGAATGAAAGTAAATTTAACAAAGAAACTATGTGCTGTTTATTTTGTTGTTATAAATATATTCATAAGAATTTTGTATCATTTTTATTTTTCATCTTTACCTTACAATCTTAGATTATACCTACAATATAATTTCTCTCATATACTGAGCAAATAAATGTGTATTATGATAACTCTATTCACGCACGTATGGATAAAAAAGTTGACCTTTTATAAGCCTTCGTCGATGGAGACACTCTATCTATATAATCAAAGGGTGCTGATGGATTATAAAAGTGGTCTGATAGCGAACTAAAACGTTAATTAAGCAATAATAGTATTATTAAGCTGTCACAGAAAATTTAGATTTTGATGGCATGGCATGATATTTGAAAAATTCCGAAATAAAATATTAAGTAGATGCAAAATTATTAGTGGTAGATTTATATGCAACGTATTATATGATTACTATTTTAGTAGAACGCTTCTTAAATAATCAATCAGAAACATTGAAAAGTGTTTTCGAAAATTGACAGATGTTGCCACACTTCGGTAAGTAAAAGTTATAAACGCTCTTAAGAAGATCGATTTGATATCCTTGTCTTGTGAATTATGTACAAAATCACTGTATTACCGCCACAATCATCATATAAGTTTATATAAGTCTACATAACTTATTTTAATTATCAACTCACTTGTTTCCCGTTAAGTATCGCGATAGGCGGAGCATGAGTGGAAGAGGAGAAAGAAGGTGCAGTGGCAGTGGCACGGTGCTGAAGCAGGGCAGGCAGCAGCGAGGCGAGCTGGTGCGCGACGGCAGCGAGGGTGTCGGCCGACAACCGGTTGAACTCGTCGAAGCAGCCCCAAGCGCCGCTCAGTGCCAACCCTGACAGCAAGCGGCCCATACATTCCGCGTCCATTGCCTGCAATTGACAACGTAATTCAGACATACAACTCGCACTTCAATAAATCAATATGATTTATGTTTACATTTTGATTTGTAGCGTTAAATCATAACAATGTAGCAAAAATCTAAAACTATCTATTTTTACCTACAGACATTAAAAGTCGTACAATAAATAATATAGTACTCTCGAAGCTGGGAATAAAGCAATTTACAGCGAAGTTATGTAATTCCCGAGTGATTTCGAAAGGATAAATCGTCAGTGAAGTCTATATCAAATAGCAATGTATTTTGATTATTTATAGACTTTACTTATGACGATATCGATATTTAATTTTAAGTAACAAAGGTTAAATAATAGACAAAAAAAGGTGGAAAAATTAATGCTACACTATAGTAGATTACTGACCTCATCACAATTGAATATAAGTACTAAACGTCCAACCAATCCGCCGAGTGCTTTCACAGACTCCGTTTTACCAGTTCCGGCGGGGCCAAAAGGATTACCTACTAACCCGAGGTGTAAAGACTGAAAAAAAATATAGTACTTTTTTACCGATTATGACTTTTACAAGCAATATAAACTGCGGAGTATTTACGAGTATATTATAGCGACAATTTATTTTTATTAAGAACTTGTACATTTGTTTTCTATATAATTTTCATTTCAGCGTACATTTATTACTGATGTGACAAACCTGAGTTACGTTCCTTGGGGTTTACGTTTCTGGTTTGCGTTCCTTTTCATGGAATTTAGTCAATAATATACAGTAATTGGTTTCTTATATGTATCACATTGATCTTCCCGTTTTAATGTTAGACGTTACTGTCTCGTTTGTTTTAAGAAAGAAATTTTGTATTTTCTAATATCTATTTAGAGCCAAGTTTTCTAATGTTCCTAATTTACCGTTCTAATATAGTATTATAGATTAAAACCAACTTTTAATTCTTTCTCTCTTTGCCTTATTTAAAATAAGTATTACACAATCACATTATTTCTAATTGATTTAACCAATTATATACAAAATATAAGCCGATAGAAAGACACCACAGTAGTAGTTGTACCTTAGTGAATGTGTACCTACATATTAGAACGCTGACTCATCACCATGTTCACTCATTATTTAACGTAATGATTTTGTTTATTTAATGACTCACGTCAAAGACAACGTCATTTCAATTAGATAAACACAATTACAAAATAACAAACCTGCGTTAATATTAGAAAGCATTCATCAGCAATATCTGTTCGCACAAACTGCCCAGTATCGACGCCAAGGTATTCGTATGAATATGATATTTGTGCGAGTCCCATTTCAGCTATGATTTCTTTGGTGTTTCTCAAATAAAATCTACAAATAAAAAAAGCGTTCAATGTCAGCAAACCCACACCTTCCAACTTTGCCGAGCTTAGTGATGACATTCTACCACACATATTTCTACCGTCAAGCAGCTATACAGCTGTATTTCCTTGCATAATTCTTTTTAGTTTATATTCAGCAATCCGCTGGATTTAATGAAAATGATAAAAAAATAAATATATATTTTTATGGAACTTAAAATCAAATAAAAATTTAAGTCCCATCTGCTGAAAAGTGGTAACCGTCGCCTATAGGTAAGAACAGCGCCATTCACATAACACAATATACTGTGTTGCCCATGATACCTTTAATGCATTATCATTAATTCGGACTAAGGTATCATATCTCCCTGCCATACCCCACCCATATTCATCGAGCTAATTATCATAGACAAGTATGTTAATGTACGACTTTTTAGAAATTAAACACTTAGATGGAGTATAACAAATACTAAAACATGTTTAGTGACTGAATAATACCTAAAATATGCCTGCAGGAAGGGGAAGGGATTGTTAGAAATGCGGACTACCAGTCCCATTGCTAGCAATATACCCTGTCAGATCGACCTCCACGTGGTTTTTCCTGGAATACATCGCGCTGGATTCCTAGTGTATTCATCACGATGGACTAACTGACCTACTTTTTCATTTCACCTATCATTCCTAATGCCCTTCTAGCGTATACCGTTAGCGCAGGCGGTGTTACCATTTCATAATAATTCATTTAAACATATACGTGCACATAAAAACATCTAAATGGAACCAGTTAAATGTATTATTCATTTGAATGGTGGTCCATCCTTAAACCTTATTCATATTCAATAAGGTTCAAGATTTGGGCTTAGTAAGGCTAGGTGGCGCTGTGGAATATGTCAAATGGTATTTATTTATTTTAGAGCAATAATAAATAGTCTGTAAGTATTGTACGTATTGTACCTCAATTGTTTTTGCCATATCCAATCATTGGCCGACACCACGTTATTTTCTATCAGTGTTTGCACGATGTACGCGTAATGAGCGCATTGAAGTATGAGAGCTTGTCGTTTTTTCTGTTCACATCCATCCTCTACTTCGGCAGCAGCATAATACGAATTTTCCTTTTCTATATTATCTTTTAATTTGTGTAATTCCTTGGTCGCTATAGCCTTTTCTGCTTGCTCAGTGAATCGTATGTTTTGCGCGAGGCAAAGTATTTGCGTCGGCAGCGAAAATGGATCTTGGTCTTGTAAGGAATTCGTTACGATGCATTTTAAAGCCATGTTTTTTAAAGAAGTGCGCATTTCATTTTCTAGATTTTTTAACCACACCTGAAATTTAATATTACTTTTTCATAATTTGTGATATGATAGAAAGAATGAATGATTACACTTTAATTGCATTGTACAAGGAACAAAACACCATATAAAAACAATAAATACAATGAAAGTGATCTTATTGCTTAAAGAAATCTTTTCAATATAACTTTATTAGGATATATATATATAACCTAGGTAACTACGATATAATAATAGATTTGAATAGGTAAATAGGTATGTTAAGTAGACGACTATCTACAAAACAAATAAAAAAAAATCAGTTAAAAGTCTTATCTATATTTTTCGCATTGGGTTACTTTTACTGACTAAATAAAGAACATCGGTAGGTATAAATAATAGAAGAGGTATTACAAAATACTTCTATTAAAAGGTATACAAATCCATGTATTTTGCATATGAATATAATTGTATATAAATATATGTATTAATGTATATTTATGTATGATTTAAGATTTAAAATATACAGATTGAATTTATAAACGAAAAACAACATAAAAATAATTTATAAATAACATGTTGGTAAATGAAAGAGATGAGTTCAAAATAGTGTAGATATTAACTACATAGATCACAGTACATATTTAGTAGAATAAATGATAGACAAAGGTCAGTTAAGGGATAATTTCTAGTTCTGTTGGAGATTTAACTTTTATCAACCTTTTGAACTATCGTATAAATAAATAAATAAACTAGATAATCACCTCTACCGCACAATCTATATCCACTGGATGATCCAGCTGTAAAATTTCATCATTATGACTGCATAGGGCCGTAATGGACATCCCGCCGGGACCTAGGCGCACTCCAGTAGTGCCAGGAAATAATTTCTTGAGATGGTTCTGCATAACCGCCTCCCTACCTTCCGCTCCAGCACGCGCTTGTCCCAACAATTCGAGTAGGTCGTCATCACTCAAAAAGTACAGTCTAGGGAATATGGATCGTTTGTCCTAAAAAGTAGAATGTGCCTACTAAATATCGACATGTAACAGCCAATATTATAACTAGTATATAACATGAACAAACTTTTACAGCTGTCACAGAAATTTTTATTGGAATCGATTGCTTGGGTACCTCTGTGTGTGTGTTATTCGTGTTTCAACCGTGAAGCAGTTGTGTTTGCATGGCTGTGTTTCGATTTGAAGGATGGGATATGGCGTGAATTTACTGGGTGCAGAGGAATAACACCTGAATCTTCAGAGATGGCAACGCATGGGAGGTATCATGGGTGAAACAGTATACTCTGTTATGTATGGACACATAGTGGTTACCACTTTCCATCAGGTGGGCCGTCAGCTTGTTTGCCATTCTAAGTTGTATAAAAAAAAATTATTCCAAATACGGTGAAATATAGAAATAACATTGCAACTAATAGTAAAACACCACTTATGAGTGAGGCCTATGTTCAGCGGTGAACAGTTAGCGATTGATATGATGACAATGAAGTGATTGATATTAATAATAGAATTAGTATTAATATAAATTCTAAATACGTTGATGTTAAAATTATTTGTCTACGTAACATAGAAAAGAAGATAGGTAAGTTAGAAAAAATGTCTACAACAATGTTATAAAATGTAAGTTAGATTTTCGTAGTTAACCATCGCATCGGTATGAATTGTCATAATAGATACGTGTACGTATTGTTTTACATAAAAAAAAAAAAACAGGAAGCCTCATCGGTATCATCATCATCATATTAGCCTTTAACTGTCCACCACTAAACATAGGACTTACCCATAAGGAGTGTTTTGTCAGTAGTTGCCACGCTCGGCGGGCTGGCTGGCAACCGCAGTTAGGCCTTTGGGGATGTTTTAAGAGGGACGCTGCTACCCATCCCTTAACTATTAAATTCCCTTAGTCACCTCTTATGACAGCCACGAGAAAGGAAGGGGTGGCCTATTTTATGCCGGAACCGACGCGACAAATCTACGGCTCATTGACATGTGCACATACAGATGAACAACGAATTCGGCATCGATTTGAATGTCTATACTAAAATTACTATAAAACAATAATAGAATAATAGTGTTCATGAATATCTCTGTACATACATATCTACATACAAATTTGACACGACTATTTTGCACCGGGGAAGATAGAAATATATATACCGACCTCAAAACCAAAAATTGAATTGTTCAGTTTTGCACCTAAGTTGATGATATATAAAGATAACTTACTAATGTTTTTTATCTAAATCCATTGTCCCAATACTTACATCTATGTATTGATTCAGTGCTGACTGGCAGACGAGCAATTGCTCTGATATAGAATCGAGAGTCGTCTGAAGCCTCGATGACTGCATGAGTGCAGATAGGCGAGAATCAGCCTCCAGGATTCGAGACACTTGTCTGAATGCCTGATCCACCTTCCGAAACTTAACGCCTAGGTCACCATCGTCGTTAGATAATATGGCCTCCAAATATAACCATCTGGAACGTTTTTACATGTTTTTCTATATGCAAATCCACATTTTATGGGTTATAAAAATTATCTATTTATGTAATCACACGACCACGTATTATATTATCAATTAAATTTATTTATTTTAAATTAACATTGCCAGGATGAAAACGATCTAGAAAAATAATCTTAACAATATCAAAGTTAACAAGACAGTAAATAAAATAATACAAACGATGTATACGTAATTAATTATACATAATTAGGAATAAACTTTTAAAATGCATCAAATTATTAACAACAATTCTATAATCTATTCAAAATATTTATCCAACTTTCTGTATCATCACCTCTTGGCGACTATGAATATTCAAAGTAGATAAATATTATCCTATGACTGATTACCATACTCCTTTATCTAAATATAAAAAGAAAAAAAAACAGGCAACATTTTGTCTCATATTATTTAATTTGTTATTAGATGTGACTTTTATATTTTTTGTCGGTCTGACATGCCCAATCCATCTCTTGCCCTTTTATTTCTCTTTCTAAAAAGGGTAAAATTACGATTGGATTACACTTTATACATATACTAACTGTATCCCGCGCCTTTTGCCCACGTTAATCCTTACTAATAATATAATTTGAAAGCGAGTTTCTTTGTTGCTTTAACAACTTAACCAATCGCTATAAAATTTAGTATACATGTATTACATGAGACGTAGAAGGATATAAGCTATTTTTATCCAGTCGATAACATATGCAGATCGCGCGGTAGAAATCGTGGGTAAGTTAGTATTTAAGTATCCTACTCATGTAAAGTATTTTTTTAAGCAACTTAGAATGGCAAACAAGCTGATGGCCGACGAATTATACAATATCGTTTCTTATTACTTTGTAGATTATAAAAAGAATCTACTGTGTCTAAATTTGGTATTTCCATCTTTAGTAGTTCCGGTTGTGCATTGACAAGTCAGGCAGTCAGGTCAGTAATAAACTGACTTGGCAAATGTTGTTTCACCTTATACAAAAAAACTACCCAACCATATCTCTCAAATTGGAGCTGTTTGCTCATTACAATAAACAAAAACAATATTTACAAAATTTTTTTATAATCAGTTGAGTAGTTTCGGATCATGAATAAACATCGAGATGCGGAATTAAGACGTTTCCATCATCATCATTCCGGGCACTGATTTCGTTTCTTATACTCTTACTTATATTAACTGCTATTACATATCACGTTTCAGTCTATGCATGGAGGACTTCCTCCCTCTCCGTTCATACAATTTGTTAATAATGCGGACTACCACTCCCATTACTGGCAATATACTCTGTCAGGTCGGCCTTCACGTGCCCCTGAAAATCATCGTGCTGTATTCATCACGATAGGTTAATTGACCTACCTTTTCTTTCTCATCTACCATCCCTCACTGGTTCCCTGCCAGCGTGTACCGTTAGTACAAGCGGGGTTACCATTCTATTGTGACATCCATTAAAAAAATTCTAGGAAAGACATAGAATGAAATTGTATTCTCATTCCATCATCACGCATATCACAGTTTATAATACTATACTGCATACAGACTACGCCATTTTACGAAAAATATCGGCTATTTATATCCAGTTAAAGCAAACAGCAAACGCCGTAAAATGGATATTATTACCCTTATTAATATTATAAATGAGAATGTACCTGTAGACGCTTTTAAATTCAACCAATTATCATGAAATTTTTCTTATGCGTAGTACTAGGATTGTAGAAGAGGATAGTCTCCACCGAATACTAATACAAAGGCAGACTACTTTTAATATGGCGCCCACAGGCAATCAACAAACCAAGCAATCCCAAAAAAGTAGACGAAATTGAAAATAAAGGTAGTCTCAATATTCTTTATATTATATATATATAATATTTAAAGCGTTACTATAGATGTTAATTATAATTTAGTAAATAAAAACAATGTATAATAAAACAATATTCTTTTTTAATTTAAGTATTGTTGCCTCAAATGTTAACATACCTATACTTAGAAATGTTAATTTAAAAATATATAACGATGTATGTATGTTATAAAATATTATTATAATAGCACATCATAGAATATTTCTAATATCTTAATACCTAAGTATTAATTTTAGTTTACACTGACATAATTCCTATAATATATACGGCACAACAATTTCATGAACGTACGTAGCAACAGTTACGTTAAAAAAATATGGTTCTTTAGTTATTAAAATTATACTTATTTTCAACTTAATAAACACACATTAATGTTTAGCACATAGTGAATACCTGTAATTGGCGTAATAATAATAAAAGAAAATAATGTAGTAAACACGAAAAATAAACACTGACAACAAACACTGTTGAAATATAATAAAAATAAAATTATAACAATTCCAGAAAATTCAATAAGCTGGCTTCCTACTACACTGAATTAAAATAATGGGCGCTGCGCTGGCAGAAAAACATTTAAGGCTCGAAGCTGTCATATAAAATATTTCTTATGTCATAGTGTGATATTATATGCGTATTTTAGCTATAATAATAAATACTGACTAAGCTATATTGTTAAACTTTGTACTGGTACTAAGAAAACTGTCTTTTTGTTAGAATTATCACAAAGTTGTTCTATCTGTGTATATTTATTTACTGATATAGTTATAGATATAAAACTATGATAATATTATATGAAATTGATGTGCCTATGATAAAGGTTGATGAACTGTAGCGCCATCTAGTAGTGAGAACTATAAAGCGGATAGGAAACAATTACCCCTCGATAATTAGATGGATGGTACAAAGTTAATATGCTGCAACGCCATCTAGTGATAAGTTTTAGTCACTGAAAAAACATACACAGGCGTGACACCTTTTAAAAGTATTCGTATATATATATAAACGTCCATTGTTTGTGTATAGGTATTTAATTATTTAAGTTCATGTACACATTAAAAAAATTGTACATATGGAAAAATAACACCTTATGACGTTTTCTACCAGGCAAACATGGATATAAATTCAAAATGCATAATCTTCATATGTTATATATTTAAAGACGTAATATAACCTCTTAAAATTAACAATTTACTTTTAGCTATGACAAGCTATCGAGTTAATCTAGTATGATGTTGATCCCAAGATTCACAAGAGGTCTGAAGAGATGCAAGTGCAACTTGGCACTCCTATATTCATATCCATGATTAAAACATGCATTTTAAAACAATTAAAATGTCAAATGTTATGTTAGATGTACCCTACTATTAGATTTAGGTAGTCTTGAAGAATATTATTTAAATGAAAATATATTTTACACATTACAACTACAAAAACTTATAGAAGTGATGACACTTACAATGTAATATGTTATTTACTAAATTACATCTATAAACTATCTACATTCGTTAAGTTATTGAAAACAGAAAGTATTGTTATTAAGCTATCTGAATGAGTAAATAGCAAAAAATTATTTAATGACTTAGCTATAATGTTTTCAAAGAGCTAAAAGTAATTATTCTTTGGAATAATAGTTTCAATAAGTATCTATAATAATTAAGTATGATATTCACAAAATAATAGTTAAAACATTTATTACAATAAAATTATATTTAAGTCAGAGTTTGTCACATAAATCAACAAACTGCATTACAAATATGTCCAGAGCAAGTAGTGTAAAAATAGGACAAAAAACTGTAATACAAAATTATCTTTAAATATATAGATTAGATTTAAAAAAAAATTACAGATGTTAAAAATCACAAATCTTTTATTTTGAATTTCTATTCACCCTGGAAATTTCAGTAAAATATTATGATGAATTATAAATAGTAAACTTGGTAAAGTCTCCAGTGGCTTACATTGCTGCTCACTTATGGATAGTACTTTTAGTCATATATTTGATAAGAGTAATAAATAAATTAACTATTTATGTAACATTTTAAAGCAATAAAGATTCAATTATTGATAAACTTTTATTAGTTTTGGTAAAAAAAGTTTTTTTATTCATATTTGAGTACTAGGATAAGCAATTAAATGTTATACTTAACATTACAGATTACAGATACATCAATGTGGTCAAACCACTTCTCATAATAAAGACATAGTACTATGGCACTCATGAAAATTATAATCAGTATCATTGGGATAAACGCTGCTTACAATTAATTACAAATTTAAGAATAGTAATGGGGTCTATAAAACCGATATGCATTAATTTTTTTTTTTTTTTACGTAGTGCAAGATCTATAATAATTTGACCGTTTTGTTAATTCTGAAAGATAATATTTCATATCATTATTAAGTGCAGCAATTTTGTTCTCTAAATCATCCAACTGTTTCTTATGACTGTTATACATATTTTCCATACTTTCAAGTTGGTTTAATTGGTCGTGTGTGACTGCGGTTAGATTTGCTGCCCGATCAAACAATCGTTGTGCTCGATCTCTAGAGTTTGATGTTTGCTTTGCACGTTCTGCTAGAGCCGAATTTGTTTTTTGAAACTCCCGTCTTAGTTGACTCGCTTTTTGTTCAGCGCCTTCAGCTCTATTAACAACGTCGTTAGATTCATTTTTCACTTGTTCAGCATCCCTTTCGATTATAGATATATTTTTTTTCAGATTTGAAAGACGCATTCGTAATCCCTCAACTTCTTCTTTTGTTTCATTTGCTTTTTTCTGAGCTTGTTCCGTTTCCATAGCAATTGGAATCAAGTCACTTTTAGCTGCATCGATATCACTGTTAGCTTTAGTAATAGCATTCTCAGCTGCATCTTGCGCTGCCTGTGCGTCATCCAAAGCTTCTAAAACTTTATTCGCAGTTTCTAATGTTGAATTGGCCGATTGGTTTACGACTGTAGCATTTCGCTTAAGAGCTGTAGCCATATCTAAGTCAGGTTTTGTTTCTTTTATAATATTTTCACTATTTGTAAGTTGTGATGCTGTTGAAGTTATACGCTGTGACAGTTCTGTAATTTCTTTGGGTTCAACACTTATGGTTAAATTTAATATTTCATTAGCTAAGGTTCTCACATCAGCTGGAGTATTAGAAGTATTTGATAAGAACTCTTTTAACTCAGCAGTTAAGTCTTGACTTTCATTTAGAACACGTTCAGCATTTGTTTGAAATAAAAATGCTCGTTCAAACAAATCTTTAGCCCTAGATCGAACGGCAATCGTATCTTGTTTAACTAGAGAAACTTGGCGATACATATCTTCAGCAGTGAGTTCATGCTCTTTAATTCTGTGTTCGGTTTTATTTGCAAAATCTAATGCTTGTTGTGCTTTTGTAACTGCTCCTTTATCACAAGATATTCCGCCACATTTACCACAGCCTGCTCCACCACAAATGTCACAACTGTCACTTTCCTGGCCACACATTTTTTCATTTAATTTAGGTATTTTAGATTCTAATTCTGATAACTGTTTTTGAAAATCATCCAATTTTTTGTCATTTTCAATTTGGTTACTATTAAAATTAGTATATTGCATTTCGATAAGACGATCAGTATTTTTTATTTGCCTATCAGTATTAGCAATTATTGCTTGTACGTCTTCAACTTCATCCGCAGCTTTCATTGCTCTTTCTTTAGCTTCACGTGTTAAATTAAGTGCGCCTTCTAAATTAGCTTCTTGCAAATTAGTCGCATTATTATCTAAGTTGCGAGTCTGAGATTTTAAATACTCAATTCTTGTTCTTAGATTACCAAGAGTAGCATTGCCCAAATTTATATTAAATGTAACATCCTTCAGATGACTTTTACTATCATCAACTTTCTGTTTTATTCCAGACAATTCGTTTTGTAAACTACTAATATTAGATAGTAATTCTTTAACTGTTGTTTGTCCTAACTTGGCACTGTTAAGCATATTTTCTACCTCAGATATTTTTTTTGTCATTTCATCAAAATCTCGTGTGTATGCTCCTGTAGCACCAACAACTTTTATTTTGCTAGCATTGCCAATAGCATACTCGGTTTGAATTCGCAAATCGTTAATAACGCGATCCCAATTATCAAAACATTCACCACATGAGTAACAATAGGGAGCTTGGCCGAGATATCCTCTGGCACACATATTGCAATTGTACCCACCAATTCCTGGTTTACAAATACATGACCCCTTTTCCCGCGTACATTGTAATGAAACCGATCCATGCAAGTCACATTGACATGGATGACACTCTATATTTGGATTACCCCAGTAATTTTCTTGGCATTGATCACACTGTCTACCACCATGACCAGGTTTACAATCACATCTGCCAATATAAGGATTACATTGAGCCGAAAGTGAACCAATTGGATCACAATCGCACGGATCACAACCAGTTCCTAATGCAATTCTCCAATGATTTTCTGTACATTGATCACAATTAATTCCCATAACATTATTGAAACAAGGACACTGTCCAGTAATGCCATCGCAGTTACCTTTAGTAAAGTTTGTTCCTAAAACAGAACAATTACATTTATAGCAAGCTTGTTCTAAAGCATTTCCGTAATATCCATCTTCACAAACTTCACAGTGATCTCCTGCGGTATTAAATAGACATTGCAAACATTTCCCAGTATATGGATCACAGTTTCCGGGTTTGGTAATATCAATATTTCCATTACATTCACATTTTTCACAAGTACCTTTGACAGGGTCACCGTAATAATTATCGGCACAAACGTCACATTGAAGGCCAGCATAACCCTCTTTACAATCACAAACTACATCTTTCGTTTCTGGGTCTAGTTCACAGCGGTCAGCATGACTATTTCTATTTGAATCACCTTTTACACCGGGGCAAGGACAAGACCTACAAGGAATATCAACTCCAAGTCGAGGATCACCATAGTATCCTTCTATGCATCTTTCACATCGGTGTCCTTCTGTATAATCTCTACACTCTCTACACGCTCCTGTTTTATCGTCACATTCCACAGCATGCCCGTTACAATCACATTGTTCACAATTCGGGAAATTAAAGTATCCTGGTTGACATAAATCACAAGCACGTCCGTAAGTATTTGCTCTACACTTACACTGTCCACTGGTTGCATCACAGAAGTTATCTAAAGATCCTATACTATTACAATCACAACGTTTGCAACCAAATTTGCTGAAGCCATATGTACCAGGAGCGCATCGATCACACCTTGCTCCTACAATATTTTCCACACATTGACAATACCCCGTATATGGATCGCATTGATAACTTTTTGATCCAGATGGATCGCACTGACAGGATTCTGAACCATTTCTTACATAAAAACCAATACTAGCATGATATTTTCTACAAATTTCAGGAACAGTATCTCTATTTAGGTCGTAATAATACATATCTCCACAATTAAATCGATCGAACTCCTCTTTCAGGACACTACCATTAGAAAAGAATGGCAAATCCTCAAAAGATGGTATGAGAACTATAGAATCAACTAATACAGAAGCTCGAGGATTAGGTATACGTCTGTCTTGACGACCTAAATAAATACGGATCTCCGTATCTTTATTCTTTTCTAAACATACAGGTGGTTTTACAAGAACACTTCTTTGATTTGCAGGCAAATAAGTATTAATAATATCATCTTCTGGATTAACATTAGCACATGGTGAATCAAGGTCCACAGGGGGCCTTTTTACAAGTACAGTAGCTTCTTCCCAATTTAAATTAGACTGTGGCTCGTATCTTATTAAAATATTGTAATTCATAGTTGTTTTTAAATTATCAATAATAAACACTAATGAACTACCTTCTTGAATTTTCATAAACCCAGGTCCAGTCCACGTTTCTTTTCTACCATCTGGAAAATTCTCCCGTATTACAACATGACACTGTGGACTTTGTATAGCATTATCATCTATTTGAGAATCACATAGACTAGATTCACCTTCAAATACGATTGAATCGAGAGCACCAACGAAAAAGTTTTGAATAGGCTGATCACATCTACGGCCAGTAATATTTGGTCGACATTTGCATTGTCCTGTTATGACGTCACAATCCCTATCAATTGAACCACCAACATCACAATCACAAGGTGTACAACCGTCATCACTATCAGAGAGACCATAAAATTCGGGTAGACACTGATCACAATTCCTGCCAGTAACATGTCTCTTACAAAAACAGTTACCAGATGTAGGATCACAACCTCTTTCATTGATAGTGCCTAAACTATTACATGTACATAAAGTACAACCCTCAATATTTAAAGGATCAAAATTCCAATAACCGTCTTTACATCTATCACATCTTGCACCGTCAACATTTGATTTACATAGACACCGACCAGCAGTTTTATTATTCGCTATATCTGTTTCATCATCACAAAGTATCTCCTCATCAGTAGTTCCTTGAGGATCACAGTCACATGGTTTACAAATTTCTGCACTTTGTATATCTAAATTAGGGTCCTTATAAAACTTCGGCTTGCAACGTTCACAATTTACACCCATCGTATTATGTTGACAATTATCACATACACCACCACTAATTTTTCCAGTTTTATTATATACTGCAGCATCAAAATGACATTTTGTTGCGTGATTGTTACAAGTACATCTTTTACAAGCGTTAGATGTTTTTCCAACAGCTGGCTGCCATGGAAGATCATTATAGAAATCTTCACAATATTCACAATTTAAACCACGGGTATTATGAGTGCATTCACATCGGCCATGCACCATATCATTTTTAGACTCAACTCCGGGCATAGGCAAGCACCGAGATGCATGCCCATAGCATGAGCAAGAACCACGAACGGTCATTTCATATATGGCATAATAATATTTTTCTTGAATCTCAGCTCTGTTATCCAACAAATCATCGCCTAGAGTGTGAAGTTTAGTAAAATTTATTCTCAAATTTGTCATACGTAATAAATTTTGTACTTCTTCTGAATATGGATTCGTAACGTTTATATTAGACGGCAAAACACGAAGAATCACATCTCCTTCCGTAGATGGTGCAACGCCTGAATAACGAGATTCGCAAACAATCTCTGTCAAAGATCGTTGCGAATGCTTTGGAATTCCGGGGAAAGCTTCGTCGCAGTTGTGTGCAAAATATCTATAGACACGCCAAGTTTTGCCAAAGTCGAAAGACCTTTCCACCAACATAGCCGCAGGACGAAATGTTTTGAATTGTATTATTAAATGTGTAAGATGAAATTCAGCTTCCATATCTAACTGAATAGTTACATTTTCTTTTCCATTTTCAGATTGCCACCAGGATTTATATCTTGTGCCTGGTGTAAATTTATAAATTATATTTTGTATTCGATGATTTAATAATGGATCGTGTATCGTATTATTAGTGGAATCGCACCAAAAACACTTTTTTCTATCTTGTAGATGTGATACTATGCAGTATCGTTCGCGGCCATAGGCACCACACGTGGAGGAGGCAAAGAGTCGTGCTTCTCGTCCAATAAGCAGGTTTCCGGTAGCCGGATAGCACGAACTCAGTTCACAAGCACGGTCCAAGAAGCGGGATTCAGCGCGAAGGCGATCGCGTTCTCTATTATAGACCGCGTCGCTCGCGGCGATAAGTGCCGACACGATAAACAAGACGCGAAGAGCCATGGCGCGACCTAGGCTCCCCGTGCGCCTCACACTGCACTGCTGTACGTGATACACTTGGGCTGAACCACTCTCGCGCTGCCTCGCGTCCCCCACCGCCCTCACTGCCCTAGATATACAGAGACGTACTGGGATTGTTTAAATTTGGAAAGTATGAATAAAATAAATTTTTATTTGTGAATACTTTATATAGTTATATATACATAATTAAATTGAACAATGATATCACGTTAATAAATTAATTAAAATATTTAATCAATCAAAACAAATACATTACAAAAAATGAACTATTTAAAAAAAATATAGCCAGTGTTACTCGGGATGATGTAAGGATTCTGACGACCCTACATATCAAAAACTGTTTTGTCATTTAAAAGTTGGTGCTTGTACAACTATACTTATTCGTACGGCAACATAATTAATAAAAATATTTAAATGTGCTATCCTTACTGATATTATATATATTTTATTGTTCATTATTTAATACTTATAACTAGTAGGTAGGTTTTTTTTTTTGTTGGATGAAAATGGATTGGTAACCCAGCCCGCGCTAACGGGATACGTTAGCGGAGCACCAGTGAAGGGTGATCGATGAGAATGAAAACAGGCCAGTTAGCCTATCGTGATGAATTCATCATGAAGAATCAATCATGATAATTTCCAGGGGGAACCGCGTGGAGGTCGACCTGGTTAGGTATATTGCTAGCAATGGGATTTTTAGTCTCCATTACTAACAATCCCTTCCCCCCCCCCCCCAGTAGGTAGGTTAGATACTTATATTAAATTTTAAAAAGACATTCTGTTTCTAAAAACTCATTTTAATAAAGCACAAATGACAATCGAGTGCGGGCCTGTTCGAGGCGACGACCGCTCCCGCCCGCACACCCGCCAGCTCGTGTCGTTCTCCGAAACGGGCACTAAGCAACAAAAATAACGCCGCATTTTGGGATGCGCTTTTTGTTTTGGTCATTTAATATGGCAACGCCATAAAGAAAGCGTAAAGCGTCTGAGATTGGTACTATTATTAATTTTTAGGCAGTCTTTCTATGACTGTATTATTGATACAATGAGTATGAACAAATACAGTGACAACTAAATGCAGGAGTTTTAAATAGACCTATATAAGTTGTACCATTTGCATGTTTAAAATTAACGTTAGAATTTAATAAACATTGTAAGAATCATTGTAATTGTTTGATTTATACGATCAAAAAAAATATCGATTTGATGACAAATTCACCACTTATGTAAAAAATTATTCTAAAATTTTTAAAAAAGTTTGTATTATGGCTAAGTCTAATTATTTTAATAAACAAATTAAGCAGTCTTCTGACAAAATTAAAACCATCTGGAGCATTATAAATAAAGAAACTGGAAGATCTAAAATAGCCTGTAATCAATTTACATTAAATTATGATAATAAATTAATATCAACAACAAAAGATGTAGTTAATATTTTTGAAGATTTTTTTGCTAATATTCCGATTGATATTACATCTTCTCTGGACTCATCTCAATCTCGAGCAAAAAAATTACTAGAGACTAATATCGGTTGTTGTTCTTTAAGATTTAAATTTTCACATGTTAGCCCCTTTCATATCATAAAAATATTCAAACAGCTAAATTTAAAAAATACGGAAGACCTTTGGGGCATAGTTAGTTCTTTCATAGATATTGTTGCTCCATATCTAGCCACTATTTTTAATAAATGTATTGATAATGGCGTTTTTCCACATTTAATGAAATTTAGCAAATTAATCCCACTATTTAAATCAGGAGATAAATTTGAGCCAGGGAACTATAGACCTATATCTATTTTGCCAGTTCTAAGTAAGGTGTTTGAAAAGATAATGTTAAATCAAATGTTACATCACTTCAGGGTTAACGGACTGCTTCACAGTCAGCAATATGGTTTCACCGCCGGCAAGTCTACCACTGACGCAGGTGTTGCGCTAGTGACACATATTTTCGAATCTTGGGAGAGGTCACAGGATGCACTCGGAGTTTTTTGTGACCTATCAAAGGCATTTGATTGTGTGGATCATAAAACGCTTTTGTACAAGCTCGAACATTATGGTATAAGAGATAATGATCTAAAATTAATGAGAACTTATTTAGAGGATAGGGTTCAAACTGTAGATATTGACGGTGTAAAATCTAAGGGAGCTAATATTAAGATGGGCGTTCCACAAGGGTCAATCTTAGGCCCCTTTCTCTTTTTAATCTACATAAATGACCTTCCCTTTATGGTAGAGAAAATTGCAGATATAGTGCTGTTTGCGGATGATACTTCGTTAGTGTTTAAAATTGGACGTCAAAGTTATCAATTAGACGATGTAAATTGTGCTATGTCTGCAATATTAAATTGGTTTACATGTAATAACCTATTATTAAATTCCAGCAAAACAAAGTGTATAAAATTTACACTTCCTAATGTAAGACTAATAAATACACAGTTATTGCTTAATGATGAAATAGTAAATTTTGTTAATGATACAGTTTTTTTAGGTATAACAGTGGACTCGAAATTACAATGGGGGCCCCATATTTCAAAATTGGCCAGTAGACTCAGTTCTGCTGCATATGCAATTAGAAGAATTAGACAATTAACAGACGTGGCAACGGCTAAAGTTGTATATTTTAGTTATTTCCATAGCATAATGTCTTATGGCATACTGCTGTGGGGTAAAGCAGCCGATATAAATACTATATTTGTTTTACAAAAGAGAGCCATACGTTCTATTTATGGTATGGGTTCGAGAGAGTCATTACGTCAGTGCTTTAAAGACTCAAATATCCTCACAGTTACTTCACAATACATTTATGAAAATATTATGTATACACGGAAGAACTTAGAGAGTTTTAAAAAACTCAAAGACTGTACAAGTAGAAACTTACGCAATATAAATAAGCTTATTTTACCTAAATGCCGTCTGCACAAAATCAGTAATTCATTCTATGGTAATTGCATAAGATTTTATAATAAACTGCCGGAATCTGCATTAAATCTGACAGAGAGGCAATTCAAATCTTATATTAAACAATTTTTATGTAAGAAAGCCTATTACAGGATAGACGAATTCATAGATGACAACATATCAAGTAAATAATTAGTTTATTAGCATACAACGTTATAATTTTATTTTCTCATTGCTTTCTTGATTTAATTGATTAATTTTAGAAATATGAAAGCGTAGCGGTTTTTTGTATTAATTGCCGCATGCATTCTTATGTAAAATGTGAATACTATAACTATCAGATGGCAATTGTGAGTAGCTTTGACGTGGTCTAGTGTTTTGAGTAGTCATGCTCACTAAAATGTCCAGACTTGTGGCGGCGTGGTGGGCCGGGTCATTGGGCTCCCTAAAATATGGTCGAGCGCAGTGATGGCTGGCTCATCCGTCATACTCGTGAACGGGTGCTGCTTGTAGGGACTGGTCTGCTCTAATCACTATGACTGATTTCCTCTTATTAATTGTTTAACCAGTTGGTTATGTATTCAATATTTTTTTTCTTTTTGAGTATTTAATCGAATTAGTGCTAATTGGTGGTTTGTATTCACACAATTAAACTTGAAAATGTAAAGTAATAATAAAATTATTTAAAAGAGCAACACGCAAGTTTCTTGCTCGTTCTTCTTGTGATGAGACAGCTTTCCGAACGAGCGGTAGATTAAAAAAAAATGTAATGACTTTTCAAAAGTGCTTCAATGTAAGTTTATTTGAATAAATGATTTCTATTCTATTCTATTCTAATCAAAATTATAAAAGTTAAATAACAGACATCTTAAGGATCTAATAAGTAGTCTCAATATTCAAATATCTTAACAAACACTCACATTACTACAGATATACTATACATATATTATATATGTACTAGCTATTATTACATCATCATTATTGTCATTATATAATCATTATCATCCTATAGACCTCCCCAGGGGATTTTACCATTAGATGCCAACCAGCTGGTTGACAACCGCAGTTAGTCTTTGGTGATGTTTTAAGAGGGACTTTGTTGGCCATCCCTCGACCATAAGTTTTAAATTCCAGTTCCCTTAGTCGTGTTTTATGACACCCACGGGAATGGAAGAGGTGGCCTATTCTATGCCAGGACAAACAGGGCAATATTTAATTTGTTAATTTTATGCAATTATTGTATTATGGACCATCACAAACTAGATTTATAATCATTTGAATCAAATGTATTTTATATTTAGTTTATATTAGTCCTTAGAATAAAGATTTCGCTTCGATATCAAATTGACTTAACCAATTACTATGAAATTTGGTACACATGTACTATATGTGATGGAGAAAGATGTAACGCTGCTTTTATCCCGATCAGTAAATACATCCCAGCCACGCGGAAAAAGTCGCGGGTAAAAGCTAGTTATAGTTATAATTTACATTAAAATAGATCAAAGCTACATGATCCACTATAATTATGAAATAGATTTTTATCTAAAAACGTAAAGAGATTTCTTCCGAGTCGCCAACGCGCGCGTAATGCCCCTGGTAGGGGGGAAAGGGATTGTTAGTAATGGAGACTGAGAATCCCATTGCTAGCAATATACCCAACCAAGTCGACCTCCTCACGGTTCCCCCTGGAAACTATCATGGTCGATTCCTGATGAATTCATCATGATGGGCTAACTGACCTGTTTTCATTCTCATCTATCACCCTTCACTGGTGCTCCGCCAGCGTATCCCGTTAGCGCAGGCGGGGTTGCCATACCATTTTCACCCATCAAAAAAAAATGCCCCTGGTATTGCAGGCGTTATAGGCTACGGCAATTGCTTGCCATTAGGTAAGCCGTATACTTGTTTGCCACCACAGTAGTATAAAAAAAATATTTCAGTACTAGGACAACAAAATTAAAAAGTAGTAACATTATGGCGATGATATAAGCAATAACAGAGGGAGTAACGAACGTCGGGTTCGTCATGTCGGTCACGCGGCGGCCGGGCGATAAATACACTGCGGACAGCGTTACCAGATACGACTTATTACTTATCCTCATATTTTAAATATTCTTTCTCCAAATAAACATTAATTCCTCCAGTTTTATCCAACGA